TACGGGTAAGAAAACGCGTGCTTTTTTTGCTTCTTAATTCACTGTCGCTGATCATTAAATCATTCTGCTCCAAACAAAACGAGTTTATATCGTTACGATTACGAACAATATGTCACTAAGCGGGTGCTAAACGCACTTTCATTTCAAGCGACTCGATAGCTTCCCAATGTATACCTACAAGCACAGATAAGATAATAAGTACATACTACAAGTTTGTTGGATTCTTTTGCCTTCAATACTTTTATTCTGTGTCCCAACATCAGTCGTAGCACAGATAAGAGAATAGTACATAGTCACAGTAAACATATTATATATTTACTGTGACTGAAATATTCTGTGTAATGTGACTTGTTATGGAATTCATTAAACTAAACTTACGTATTGAGTGCGGGTATTATTTTAGATTAAGAAATTTCTTGTTTATCACATAGTCATTTAGACTTCGTTAATCCATTACCATCTTTAAACATATCTTAATAATATTATAAACGCGAAAATAAAAAGCAGTAGTTAGTTTTTGCTTCACGTATTACTGTATTGATATTATATTGTTGACTATTTCACTTCTTTCCATCCATGTGTGTCTCAAAAATATATAAAAAGTCAATCTTATTTGCATTAGAATCGACTTGTTTAATCTATTAGAAATAAATATGATATGAGTTAGAAGGAAATTACTGACCTACACGTCTGTTCCCGATATGTGATCGATGGATTCCATAAATCTAATATCTGGAATGAAATTACAGACACTAGATTCATGGAATCTAACAGAAGTCTAATGTCATAAATTATTAAACTAAGAAAACAAAGAGTATATAGAACAAGAGGTACAAATTAGAACCATAGTCATAGCTGTTAGTCATCATTTAGTCTAGGTATAATAAACTTATGACTATTCCTAAGTAGAAAAATTAATAAGAAACATAAAAACAACATGCAGCTCTCAATGTAAACGAAATGTATGTATAGATATTTTATATATTGGGATATACATATAGATATAGAAGACTTATAGGTAGAACACATAGGTTTACATATAGGCTGAATTTTTATTTCAGAGAAAAATTTGAAATATAGGTAACGGTGGTAGGTAAACGGTAACGTAGGTTACGTTATCACATTTTTACGATTCTTAAATAGTGTTGTGGCGTGTTCCTATATAGGAATTATTAAAAGGAATATTCATTACCGATATTTATATGTTATTTTTTAATGTCACTTCTGGATCTTCTGTAAAATTAAGGCAAGTAGCCTTAATTTTGCATCTATTCATTGATGATATACTAATTCCTGCCCAAAAATGTCGTCTGTATCTTGATCATCCAATCAAAATTTGGCTCTACAATAGTGATACTCGATTAGTGGTATGTTGAAGACCAATGGTTCGCCGGGGTTAGAGTAATAGTCTTCGACAAATTTAAACTTTTATTATGAAAGTTGTTGAAAATTACAATTATCAGTTAATCGCACGTCTTAAATATATTGATTTCAAGTAAAAAATATTTTTGTTTAGTACTTTTTGTTTTCGTTAATCTTGTGATCCAGGGTTCACTATTTTTAAATTCAATCAAGTCAAGTGGCCAAGAACATAAACGAAAGGTATATGCAATTACGACAAAACTAAGTAATAATAATAAGTAAACATTACATTACTGTGTCGTTATTCATCGCAACTGAATAAAGACACGTTTGTAAACATTACAGATACCTACGCATATGTAAGTTAACAGCTTTTTATGATGTCAAGACCTGAGGTTGAAGGTTGTCCTAGGTTAATAACCCAGTTGATTATCATCCTCATTATCACAACATTAACGTCCTCTAATCATAGGTCGGATCATACCTATTAGACTATAGAGTGCAGTTCTTGTCGTAATTCATTGTCTCCCTGCAACATTGTTCAGATCGCTAACCTTTACTGTTTAACTTACACTGTTTCACTAACTAGCCCAAAATTACTACTATAAGGTGGACGGGTATGTTAGTAATGGGGACTAGTTTGTTAGTAATATACCCTGTCAGGTCGATCTGTACAGTCTCCTCTGGAAGCCATTGCGGTTAACTGCTGGTATATGATGATAGGCCAACTGAACTAACTGCAACATTACCCTGTCATCCTCCGCTGGTGACCCGCCAGTGTAGACCGCTGACATTATATTATAAATCATTTATTGATCAAGCAGTAACGAACTCCGTGGGCAAAATGCAGTATCATCTTGTTGAAATTTGGCAATGCTTTTGGTTACGTTTTCTGAGACTTTTAAAATTTGTAATAATAATCGGAATCACCCCCGACGAGCTTGATTTCAGTTAATTCTATTTCAATATTGTATAATAAATTTTCCTGTGATATCCTTGACCACTTGAGCGAAGTTGAGGCTAGCCAATAGTGTGTGAATAAAGCACAATATGTAGGTATACACTATATAGTAGTAGTACTAGTAGGTACCACTGATAGGTATTTTGATGTAATGACCTGAAAAGTAGGAGATAAATATTAAACCATCGAATATAATTACACAGTTACATTGTTATGGCGATATTACTACAGTAACCTTAATGAAATAAAGTGATAATTATGTTCTCTTTTATAGCTATTTTGTTATGTTATTAATTGTTTATTAGTTTTAGACAATATTCACTTTAATTTGATAATACTCATCGAAAGCTGTACATAAGTAGATAGTCGTAATGTTCATGCCTAAAATGAGTAAAATTAAGACCCTTTTTCTTTTTGAAGTAGTTCATTAAAAATATTTATTTTCAATAGATAGGAAATCTAAGAAGATACATACCTACCCATTTATTGTTGTTGGTTTCTGCATAAAAATATAAATGGGTCTTTACGAGGTACGATGAAACGAGAAATGGGGCACAATATAAAACGAACTGGAACAAAATCTAAATGTTACTGTGACATTTGGGTTAGCCGTAGCCACCTAATATTACTTCTTTCGCACGAATATACAAATACGTACGTGTTTAGGGGAGTTACCTACATACATATGAAAGCCAACGAGTACTACATTTTTAAAAATATTAAGCTTAAGCTATTAATTTTGTCATTATGAATAAAGATGACATAATATTACATATTATGAACAACAATAGACGCCAGTAAATAAATATAAATGGATCTGTTTAATTGTTTTTGCTATTATAATAAGTATACTAGCTGTACACGCGACTTTGTCCGCGTGGAATTTAACTTTATTTTTCTAAAATAAGAGTAGCCTAAGTTACTCCTTATTACATCAGCTACATGCCAGCAAAAGTCCTGTCAAAATCGGTCCAGCCATTTCAGAGATTAGCCGGAACAAACAGACAGTCAGACAAAATTTGTAAAAAATGTTATTTTGGTGTATTTACCGTAATGATATTCATATGCATGTAATAAAAAACGATTATTTAAATATTACAAAACAGACTCTCCAATTTTATTTGTATCTATAGATAAACTTTGCGAACGTAAATGGATTTGACATTGGCTTTTATACTTACCAACCTTATCATTTTATTTTCAAATTAACCTATCGGCACTAGAATGTCAAATTTTAATTGGATTAACAATATCTATGAAGAACAAAAAAATAATGAGGTCTACCATTATTTATTATTACTTTAAAGGTTTTCTTATTACCGTAAAGAGTACGTTTACCTACTATCAATCCGATTTACTTTTTGATTCTTGTCTTAGATAGAGTTCGTTATTTGTTTACCATTTCTAACCTAACCTGCCGCATCTCCTTATGAATCGAACTTGACAGCATTCACTGTGCAAGAAACTTGCCTGTTCAAATTTCTTCTCATTCATCTTGCCCGAGACTGCATCTCGAATTGTTAGGATAAATATATGTGACTATGTTTTGTTATGGAAAAAAAAAACAAGTTACATACTATGTGAGTCATTTGTTCATAGAAAAACCATGAATAAGTCTAATCGTTTCGGCTATTGTGTTTGACTTTTTCTTTCAAAACGAAAGCTAAATTATTAATATAAATACCTTTTAAATGCGCCTACCATTATATAAAATGTAAATGTCGCCATGTTGTTTCATGTTTTATTTATGTTTATAATATATTATAACTTCATGGCAGTCTCATAATACACATATATAAATTGGTAGAGTATGGCGGCAATATTATGCCCTTCGGCTCATGTTTTGTTATGGAATTACATACTATGTGAGTCATTTCTTCATAGAAAAACCATGAAATTAGTCTAATCAATTTCGGCGGCTGACTTTTTCTCTCAATCTAAATTAGTAATATTAAATAAAATTACCATTATATCAAATGTAAATGTGTGGTTTCATGTTTTATTTATGTTTGTAATATAATATAACTAAACATCAGAATCAAAATGTGACTGATTGCTGCTACTGATTTCATAGAAGATATATAAGAGTATTATTTGGGAACTTTATCAATGATATTTGGTGGCGTTTTAGCATTGAATATATATATCTAATTACATTGAATTCCATTAAAACCATTAATGTCAAACAACCTAATAAATTCGTTTCTTTCTGCAATTATTCTCGATGTTAAACGCGCTGTTAAATCGATATATACTACGTATTTGAATCATAGTGTATGTATTAAATTGGCAAATCATACGTATGATAATACGGTACGGTGCTGTAGATAAGAAATAATTATTTGACAATATTTACATATGAATGTTAAATATATAGTACCTATACGATACGCAAAATATAAGAACTTGTTTGTACTAATATTACCATAGGCTAAAAACTTTACAGTGTTCAGTCGCTGTGATTTACAGCTGTAAGAAAGTCATTAACCTTGATGCTTATTAACCGTAAACTTATTTTATTGTAATCATTAACGAACAAAGTATAAGGTTCGTATGCTATAAATAGTAGAAATGAACAAATACCTATAAATCTCACTAAATTCTTTCAATAATTAGATAAAGTAAATCTGTAACCTTACTATGTTATCTATAACTAATGAAGCGTTTTTTTTTTCAGGTATAGCACTACGTCCGTTCGGTCTCTCCTTAATATATCTGCTATTGTATTTATTAGCACCGTTACCCCAGGTTCCAGACTCTCAAACGTTTAGCGGTAAGCCACTGTTCTATTTTGAATTTTAATAGCACACCAATGAATCTATTTTAAGAAATTTTGTGTGACTGGTATGCTGCACTAAACCGAAAATATCGAGTGTTTATATAGCAATGTGAAAAGATTATTTAGGTCAACAAGTGTAAATGTTATCACGGTTAGCGCCTCCTTGTATGCGAACATGAGATAGGAACGTAAGTAGATTAACATCGTATGTGTGTAATGTAATGCATCTATCGACACTATGTTTAGCTGTTCCACGCTTTACTGTGGAGGCATCGATACACGCTCTGTAATCTCTATGCAATTTTCAAGCAAAGTGGCAACAGCTGCAATTAACCATTAGTACTAAACTTATACTCAAACAAAGATAAAAATATAAATTTTAAATATGTAATATGAAGTTACTTACCGTAGTTCGGTCTAATTTTGGTGCTTATTTCTTATATATATATATTGTAACGTTAACACCTTACACTTATAGTTATTTTTAGACCCGGTTAATAATATAAATAACCTTACAATTATGGTCACTACAAACATGACACGAAATTGTTAGATTTTATCATCTCCTAAAATTTATTTATTTATATAACTTCAATGCACAAAATACCAAGGTAAAAGTACATATGGCGGACTTAACGCCTTACGGCATTTTCTACCACTCAACCATAGGTTGTGTAGAGAAACTGTAGGCGGTGCAAATGTAATTAAAATTGTGAAAAAAAAAACTAAAGTTTTGTATTGTTCTGTCGATCTTAGCGCAACTTCTTTCGTCCATAAACATTTTATAATCTAACGATATGACATGGATAAGAATTAAAAACTGTATTACTGACTACTACTGTACTACTGAATTAGCATTTACTTACACGTACGATTTAGCGAAATAGATTAAAAACTAATGATGTTAACAATCATACTATATAAGATACTTATTACCATTATATTATTAAAGTATGGGATTGATATTGATATTTTATTGAATAGAGATACATACATAAAACATTCAATTCAGCTGACTTTTTAAATCGAAATAACACTCCTTATTTGTTGTTCGATCCTAAAATAGTAAACCGAAGCCTCGAGGGCTTCGGTTTCGCCTTTTCTGTCCGTTCATTTTTTTTGCACTGGGCTATATTTTTGAAATTACCATTGTTATTTATTTGTAATTTAAAATGTACACAATCTTATTTGAAATAAAATATAAGAGTCGTTGTATTTTGCCGGTATATAAATATAATAATTATTGTATGTTTCAGGAATAAGGGGTAAATACCTCCTCCTAAATGTGGTGGTGTCAGTTATACTGTTGTTGGCGCATGCTGCATGGCACAGTGCTTTGGCAGCCTTCGCGCCCTATGGCTCTCTGCTTGATGAGTACCCTATCATACAAAAGATCGGGCACAATTTGGGGTTGGTTTCTTATGCTGGAGTAGATCCTTTAATGGCCGTCCATTATTTAGCACCTGAGGTAAGTTACAGTCATATTAGGAATGTGGAAGTGACTGTCTGACAATCATTGCCAATCTGCTGACCGTTTTGTAAAAACCAATTATTACTGAATCCCGCTAGTAATAAATTATACAGTCGAATGTATCAATCATTTTATATGTTTTTACGAAAATTGCGCGGATTGAGTAAGAAATTTATAAGCACTTATGGTTTATATAGAGAGTGCAGAATGCTATCTTTTTTTAAAATTAATCCTTAAAAATATAATATATTAAATCAGTTAATTAAATATTGCACACAATATTGTTAATTGTCAAATCAGGGAATCGAGGTTTGTTACTGTGCTTCTATAGTCGCAAAGTAATCTATATGAAGCAAGGCTTTAATACAGAACCTTAATAATTTTGAAACTTATAATTTAAATTAATTATGGTCGAATTTCGACCATTGGGCGACCACTAGTTCTAATAAATGGAAATTTGACTGAAAGTAACTTTTGTCGTACTTACATTTTTTTAAAATTCATATTTCAGAGATGATCTCTGTGTGAATGTGTAATAATAAGATATTCTAATTCCAGCTAGTTATGACAAGCGTATCCTTGGTGGTATACTTAGTGGTTAAAAAATTGGTAACCGGGCCTACGCCTGATAGCCTGAAGAAAGATTCTAAACATCAGCGGTATCCACTTCTTACAAGCGCTGGTGAGGTTAATTAATTTGGTTTTTAGGAATAATATATGTATACAGCATTTAATTGAGTTCAAAAAAAGAATGTTTATTTAGTCTGTATCTTTATTTTGTTGCCTTAGAACTATTTTCAAGGTGATTCGATTTTCATGCTTCTCTAATTTTATCAAAATTTAACCAGTCATTTTTAAGGAATTATTAATAAAGCGGTTGAAGTCAGATTTTAAGATGCTCTGTGGCTTGAACGTGTGTCATTATATATTATTTTATAAATAAACTTAATTTCAAAAGAAGGTTCTTAATATGACTGCTTCTCCTAATTTAAACTGTTTTGTTTCTCCTTTTTTCACTTCTACTGCCACTCTCAAATAGCTAAATTGCTTTTCTTGGTTCCTTATCCTACCAGACTAACAACGCAATTTCATATCAAATTCGTTATTTTAAGATGCTCCATTTTTTGACATATTGCTCGTAACAGTATTATAACTTGCTCTGCTCGTTGCCAGACCCTTAGTGTGCTTCCAACCCCCGCCGGACCCCCTAAACTATACTATTTTATAAATAAACTTACGTCATTTTAATAAAGCTGAAATTTATATATATTATTGAGAGTTCAAGTTTCATATTGGTAACAACGGTGTATACAATTATATGATATGATGAAAGGAACCACGATCCAGGTTTCAATATAAATTTTTTACGTTCTTACCTGCCAAAGGAACCACGATGTTGGGGACACACATACGAAAGACACAATAGAAGGTGCATAATATGACACCTTATTCTTGAAGATAATACATGATGCCGCCGTATAAACGTCATGTGAGATCCGTAGTACTGATATGTAATAGATAGATAAATAGTTTATTAAATCTTCATCCATCACACACAATTATACTATTATAAATATGGACAATACATAGGTCGACCTAAGATCAACGTGACAAGTTTGTCTTTATGTGATCCGCTGCAATAAAAAAGCCATTAGATACATATTGTAATCGGTACTCACATGTTTATAAGCGATAGTCACAGCAATCTGAAAGGTGGACTTGATAATCTGATAGTAAAAAACAAACTAGTGTTAAACAATTTTATTTCTCTTTCCAGGTAAATATTTGTCGCTATTCCTCATAATGTTCTCGGGTATTATGAGGCCAAGTGTTACCTCCGGGATATATTTCCTGGTGTTTATGGGCGCAGCAACCGCGTGGGCGCTTGGTCGCCCTCTTGAGCGCGGTTTTGCGGTTGTCGGCCGCTGCCTGATGGCCATTATGTCCATCCATGTACTGCTTCTCATCGTATACCAGTGTTCTTGGCTTATCGCTATTTACCCACCTGATATGGATCTCGCTAGGTATGTGTTAATGGCATTGTACTTTAACGTATGTTCAGTTTAGTTGTACTGATATAAACTATGTAAAATATCATTTGCGTGTGGGCACTTCAGGCTCCTATTTCCGCCGCAGAGCAGTTTGCTTCGTAAACTGTTTTGGTTGTATGGTGAGATAAAGCAGTAAAATTATAGGATATGGCGGCAAGACATATTGCCTTCCAGAATGTTCATGCATGAGTGTTACCACGGGCATCACTGTAATATCCATTGTTTTATAGATGTATAGGCGACAGTTACTACTTAGCTGGTAGCTCATTTGCCATTCCAGTTACAGTACAAAAGTAGACAAGTTGAAATTTTCTTCAAATATTTGTTTTTAGAACCCACTAGAGCACATACGATTATGATTGGCCTCCATCAGTTCACAACACTATATGTAGTTACTTAACACTAATGATGAATACTAAAATAAAATTCTCCCACGACACTGACTATGCCTATTCAAATATAAATTACTAGTTATTACTCGCTACTTCGTCTGCTTTTTTAAATAAAAGAATGTCTCATTCAAAATTAATTAAAATCCATTTAGCCACTGATCTTGAAAAAGTACCATATAATTATTTCACATTTATTATATTACAATGGATAATCTCAATATATTAACAAGTACGTGTCAATATAAAACTTGCCCAAACTTAACCTTATCACCTTATGAGGAAGACGAACAGAATTGATGAATTATCAATACCTCACTACGCAATTAGCATATCAATCGGGAAACAATGGAGTAAACAGACAACATTAATACTGATTCATCAGTTCGTGTAATGGATATTTTTTTAAGTATGCTCAAAGTAAATTTTTTCTATATTATTAATTGATAAATAAAATTTTGATTTCTTTGCAGGTACTTCGGTCTCACAAAATTGGTAGTAATAAACGATACAGACCCCATGAATTTTAGATATGAAGTAACAGATGACCATATGTGGGCTACACTGGCGAGTCCATTAGTTATACTATTCACGTATTTTGTTCTCGCAATAGAGACGCGAGAACTATTCAAGCCAAAGGTATGTATTAATATAACAAATCATAACATGGCATTGTGATTCGGTTTATTAGTTTATTTTACTAACCAGATGATTAGCCGTCTGCTTTTTAAACTAAGTTTCAATTGGGATTTAGCTGCTATCCTTTATTAATACTCAAAATTATTGACTTCTATCGCGATTTTCCACTTCGGTTCTTAGTTATTATATTTTCCGTATGTCCTGTAAGTATTGGTTGGTTAGTCATAAAGTATAATTAGCAAGGAAAAATATGTAGAAACCACACCGAACCGCACCGAAGTGCTTTTATTTTCAACCATTTCTTACGGGACATTAAATCATTGGATATTTTGATTTCTTATGCTATCGAATGGGGATGATAGGCGAAAAAAAAGAGCGCATTGACGGGGATAGAGGCCGGCAAGCTGAACGGATCGCTGGTGCGAGGCATGTCGTTCCACCGCGGCAGCCGCCGTGCCACCAGAGACAAGTGGATGAATGCCACTAAGAAAGTTCGAGTAAGCTTTCGCGAATAATCACCCACTGCATAGTTGATTGTACAGTATTTCATATATTGGCATTTATATGTTATTACTGCACATTAATTAATTTGTAGTTTATAGATTTCCTTTTTCATTATAAACGTTATTCAGTTCCTTCTAGATATTACTCCCGTATTATAATATAATAATATTTATCTAATATACATACTGTAAGACAATAATAAATTAAGAACTACAGAAGATTAATATTATAATTTTCGTGGTGTTCAATTTATGACGTTTATAAATGAGGAAAGTTGTCATGTAAATAGTTTAGTAGGTAACTTTTTTACCCTTCTTGTATGAAATAGTTACTAATTTCACAGTTGTGATTTTAATGCATGTTACATGTACACTTGTAGATAACTGTGATTTTGCACTGTTTTGCTATTTTTAAAACAACCTACACGTTTAAAAAGAGTTATACCTATATACAGTTTTATTTTAATATGAATTTAATGTACTAAAGTTGCATATTTTTTACACATACCTTTGCTCGTATACAATATTGTACATATACAAAATTTTAAACATTACATGCATAAAATAAAACAAATTATAACCTACGCTCATTCGCAACGTATATTTAGGCTTCTGTAAAAAGGTGGAAACGAGGAGTTACGAACCAAATGACGGAACTTCACAGGAAAGCATGACGCTTGTAGTAGGATTAGAAGAACTGTGTAATATGTAAATAATTGTGTTTTGGTATGAAATATTTGAATATCAAAATTTTTTAACTTTTTGTTTGCAACCTGCTTTAATTCTTTTATAGGTTGCATATTCATACATAAATTCCAAAGCATTCAGCGGGAACGCCAGTGAGACCACTCCTGTAGGTATTTCATATTTTTATTTTTTTTTAATGTTGTGAGGGATTTGGATAATGCCTTATTTATGTTTTGTTTCATCCATGCTCAGATATGACGGATAATATTCCTATCAAAATAAATTACATTAAATTGTTTATATCAAGGGCATGAATAAAACATGAGGCCATCATTGTGACATTTAAAAAAATATAATGGATATTATTATGTACCTATTTATACTATATATATTTGTGGTACTATATGCGAAAGGGAGCACTAAATACTTAAATGCTTAATCACGCTATCCATCAAAACGTTCATATTACATGTGCATTGTGTATGCCTTAAATGTTTGAGTGTATGTAAGTACATGTTTGTAGTAATCGATGTTTGCCGCACCGTGAATTTATCTATAGTTTTATGGTAAGTACTTGTTTTTTAAAAATAGTTTTATATTCGACGACTATTGATAATAATGATTTTAAGTACTAGTATTCAATATAACTTGTAATTTTTATAGAACATAATAATTAATTAAATTAAAACATATAGTAATCTAATGCATCAGGTATGACATTAATCTATAGAATATTAAATATAAACTTTAGGATGTACTGACTATGTACATATTTAGAATATTTACATATAAGATACAATCTGCATGTTTTTTAATAAAGTACAGTATACAAGAAATGGAAAAGATACGAGTACATACTGATTAAGTGTATGTACAAGAATATGGTTAACTAATTGAAGATACATGTATAGCTAATGCGCAACATCAGCCCCAACAAGCGGTGGTCAAGCATTCGCTCCGGATCGGTTACGAGGCAGCTACACCAGGACTCCACCGGCTCTGTGGTCGTACCTGATGAAGGTATGATACTATGATATATATTAATTTCTGCTAGTGGTCGCCCAGTAGTCGACTGTAATAGAAAATACAATATTTGTACCAGCAATAACAAATATATATATTTTAACAATAAACAAAAGAGTATATGTATATGTGTCAAATACTTGGTAGTGTGTGAATGTTTTTTTTATTTATTTAATTTATTTTTTATTAATAATTTTGACAATATTAGCACTCTGCACTCCTCTATATAAAATATAAGTGTGCTAAATTTCATACTCCTACAGAGTATTTGGTTCACATATTAATAATTATATTAATCATTAGATTATGAGATTTTGAACCAGATGTGATACTAAAAGTTGTATTTATCTGGGTTTTTTATTCGAATAGCATGCAAGTTAACTCTCTACATTATGGAAAGCTGTAACCGTCTCCTATATACATTTGTTAATAATTCCTATAAAATAATAAATTATATATGTTCTATCTAATAATTAAACTTTGTTAAGTGGTTTCGGAGGCCCCGAGTTAAGTGGACTTGGTTTAATTATTCTTTTAGTTTAATTATCTCCGAAAATATTATTATACACTTATTGTGTTACAATGAATATAATTATTTAATAACTAAAATCTTAAATTACCTTATTCTTTTGTAATCGTTTAAGTGATTGTTTTGTTAATTTGTAATATTTGTTATGCAATTATAATTCATATAGCGTCAATTTATGCTGCTGAAGGCCATTACTCAGGTGTTGTTAACTGTTTGAAATGACTAATAACCTGGCGAATATTTTTTGCAGAGTCAGTGATGGAAACTGAGGAACCAACCCTAATAGATGACATAATTGCTGCCGTCATAGATTTCTTTCAAGTTCTAGTCAGGTATTTATACCGGAATATAATTTAGCACATTATATTTCGATTATAACAAACAGTCTATAGACAAACCAAACCATTTCCGAAAAGATTTATGTATTTACTTTAGTTGTTTGTGCCTATTTCTGCCCGCGTTATGTATCTAAAAATAAAGAGAATCTAGAGAGACTATTTTGATAGATATGATGAGTCAATGTTGCACTCTACGACCTTGATATATAGATTCTTCCACATACAAACATATTTCTTATTCACATATTTATTTCCGTTTCAACTACATCTGTTTTTTCGTACATATTATATACCTCTATAACACTTCAGCGGTTCTCAACCCCATAGTTAAAGATATTTTACTGAAATAGATTCAGTGAAATTTGGATGTAAATTTATATTTCTGATTGATTCTCCGGTGATGGAGACGTTGAGACCAAACAATTCCGAGAGAGAGCGGTAAGGTACAGTCGTCGTACGTCGTGCTGAAAGCAGCGTTGGATATAACCACATACCCAGCGATATTTGGTTATATCCAATGCTGCTTTCACCACGACGTAGACAATTGGCGATACTTCTGATTACCTCTTGTGATATGGGGAACTGTAATACTAATTGCAACAATAGCTAACTAAATAACTTGTATATATATTATTATCAATTGTTACTAATATTATAAGTGGGAATGTAATTCAGAAGTCGCGGGCACAGTTACTTGTCAATATATATGTATTTGCAATGGATTCCAGATCGTCGTACATAGCGACTACGATCACCATGATGGCGTGGAGTATAATGTTCCACTCGTGGCTGACGTTCGTGTTCCTGATGTGGGCAAACATCGTTTGGTTGTGTCAGGATCAACGCTCCTTCATGCTAAAGACCAGCCCCGTACTAGTATGTTACGCAATGCTGCTGTTACTCGCACAGTATATATACGGCATGAATCTCACTGAAGCTGAGTTGCCGTCGAATATTACGGTGAGTGGGTATACCTGGTATGTACATATATATAACTGGATTGCAAACAAGATGACGGTACGGATGGACATCCTTTGGAAGTGATAATCATAGCCTACTTACATGAACTTTTGTCATTGTCATTCCAGAGGTCTAAAGTAGCATGGTTCCGAACCCTGCAATGTCTTGATTATAGTAATAGTGCCCGCGCGTGTACTAATAGACGACAATGGAAGTATCAATATTGAATGGATTTTAATGAAACTTTGTAATAATATAGCTTATACATCAGAATAGCACATAGGCTATAAATTTAACTCGGGTGAAACTGCGGGCACAGCTTACATATAGTGTATGTTTATATATACATATACATATGTTAAGATACATAAGACAAACACACTTAGCCTAATTATTAATTAATTGCGCAGGAGGTGAATCTGTGGCAGATAGGTCTAGGCCGCAGTGAGGGGGAGCCGTGTGTACCGTTGCTGATCAAATCGCTGTTCACGTGCATGTTCTGGGTGACACTGCGTCAGCGCGTGCAGGAATTACGCCAACGTCGCCAGTCGGCCGTCATCACCGACATGGCCGCGCCGCTACAACTCACTGTTTCCACCGCTGCCAGTGGTGAGTCTCTGCGCAATGAGTCACTGTTTATTGATGATCTAGAGTTATTGTACCTATTAAATATTTTCACAGTACATATATGTCGAGATATTTAATGTGATTATCAATTTGTGCTGTATCTGCAAACAAATCTTACGAGCAAAAATCTATGTATCCGCTGTCTTCATAGCAGAATTACATGTGACGAAAATTGATACTTCGACCTATAGGTAAACTATGTTCTAGATTAAGTACCATTAATTACCATCAGATGAGGTAAGACCAAGCGTAAGCCCATTATTAATAAAAAAAAAACTATGATACTTTTTGTACTTCATTCTCATAATGATTATATATAATAGGACTTATTAGAATAGAAATTAAATGTATGTAATAGATTTATGATTAGAATTTAGAAAATTAAATTTAATGTGATTGTCGTTATGCTATTCTGATTTTTAAATTATAATAGGTCTGGCGGATGGTAAATATTTTGTGTTCTTTTTCCTAATTCATAAATATTTTATATTTTCTTATCATACACAACTATTTTTATATTAACAACTATTATAATAATTAATCTTTACTATAATTGAAATATTTTACATATTAGTTTATATATTCACAATTTCCACAATTATATTATAGACTAAATTATTATTCACGGATCACAAATATATTTGTGAGCACCTACTTAAATCTGAAGTTACAGATCTTTTTCTTTCTATTTCCTAACCTGCATCAAAGTAAGGTTTGTTTGTACGAGTATACTGTTATTGTAATAAAACAATAAACAGTACCTAAAATAATAGTAATAATTTATCCACAAGAGGCTACGTGCACTGACAAGCATCTAATTCTTTTTAAAAAAGGGGGGTAATAAGTACACCATTCGCGATTAGATAATAGATTTAATTTTGTATATTTCTAGGACTGTAATAGGGCTCTCGCGCTCTACGCTTGGGGGAGGGGCTAATATTATACACATAAACAATGTGTAAGGTAGATTAATATAATTTTATTATGATTTATCTGATTTTTTTACCTCCCTGTAATAACCTGTAATCTCAATCATAATCTGCATATATAGTGAGTGAGAGTACATAAAAACTGATCTAATATGATCAGAGGACAAATTTAGTTATAATACCTACACAAGTATTAAGTATTCTCAATTCTCTAACCTTGGGATTCAGATCTAACCTCGTCTACATACAATTTATATTTATAAAAATAAAACTAAAGAGCACGGCAATAAAACCTTCTTTGTGATCTTTTTTTGATATCTCTCTATCTCGCACTAAACTAAAACTCACGAATACAATAATTATACTATAATATGATAATATAACGTAAAATTTCTAACTGTAGTAATGGAAGCCCAACGCGAAGAAGAGTCTCGTTCGCGTCTACTGCGTGCGCTCGGCGAATGGTTGCGGGCAGCCTGCGCGCGTTACTGGATCTACGTTGTCGTCATTATGCTGTTTGTTATTGGAGTCACTGGCGACCGGATGACCATCTTCCGCATCATATATATGTTCCTGTTCCTCGTATTTATACTCATGTTCCAGGTGATGCCAATGAAATAATTTACATATAGCTAAATTACTATTGCAACTGTGAAATTGGACAGTCAATTGCATAACAAATCTGGAAAAAAGGAATGAATTCTTTTACCCTTGGTTTATATACCTACCTAGCGAGCTCGAAAAACTCGAATTATTTTTCCAGAAAGAAATAAGACCTGCTTATTTATTTCTGGAAAAATAATTCGAGTTATTAATTTTTAGCCTGTAAAATATAAATATATTATTAAAAATAGTTACAATAACATTGTCTAGATATAAACTCCTGGATGAAACTCTAGTGGTGAAAGAATGTGTTCAGTTAGTTAGAAGTTTTATTTATTTATTTTCTGTTGAGTTAATGTCAAATTCTTAAAAATAAGATTCGACTGTCATTATATTACAGAATATAATGAATTTTAAAATATAAAACTAATATTGATATATCACAAAAAATATATTTAAATTTCGTTGTATATGTTTTCACAGATAAGTTGGTACTGGTGGCGGCGGCTGATGTACGTTTTCTGGATAACTGTCATTATTTATTCGATGATAAATCTAATACTCATATACATATATCAGTTCGACAACTTCTCCAAAACTATAGAGGCTTATCTTATGATTAATGAAAGACTGTAAGTAGTTATTTTAACCTTAATTTAATTATAATAAACTTTTTTTTTGTTTATTTCATATGACATAATTTATGTTTTAGGCAACATGATTTGGGCTTGGAACCCTATCATCCGGCAGACTTATTTGTGAAACTGCTTACACCTACTTTGTTCCTTATTATCACGATAATGCAGGTGCACTACTTCCATAAAGACTTTATGGCGTTATCGGATCCGAAAACGAGGCGAGTACTTATCAAGTTGATTTTCTTAGCTTAGCAAAGACTGGATATTGACAATTTTTATTATTACACTGCATTTGATATTCATATTGATATGGGAATAAAATTGCTTAAACTTTTATATTGAAATAAAAAGTCTATGTAATCTATAATTTGTATTGTTACAGAACAAACAGTATAGCCAAAGATGTTGAATCTAGTAGGCCTAGTCAAGCCGGTGCTTCTACTATGAAAGATGATGTGAGTTTTATTTATTTGCAAATTAACGTACTATGGTATGAGACAATTAATACTTTTTTACTTTAAAAAAAACTAATAATACTTGGTCTACTTAGTCTATGTTCATGTAGAATTGTGTTCATTTCAAATGTTTAAAGATTTTTTTCATTATTTTCCATATATACGATAATCGATAGTCATTATATAAAAGTATTTATCTAAATATGACTTATAAGTGTATTAAAACAAGCTTCTATCGATCCATTATTTCATTCTAAAGAAACAATGTTCAGGATTTTGCATTAAATCTGTTACAATTTGTATAAAATATTGCTATTGTATTTGAATTTTTTTTAGCTACCTCAACTACCTCTTGAAGAAGAGCAGGCTCGGTCGGCGGAGGGTGATGACAGGAGCATCACAGAAGCTGAACAATCTATGGATGTGTCTTCAATAAATACTGCCGCTAGACGGTCATTGCATAGGTATGATCAACCGTCGGATTCACTAGACATAACATCTTTTTATATCTTTTTGTTTACCTATTTTGTAAGTTCTTTTGGAACAGCGTTTACAATATGTAAAACTAATATTTCACCTGTACCTTGTTTAGGAAAGCGTCTCGTTCGTATGCTGTGTCAGACAGGACTGCCGGTGATGGTGAGGACCGATCAGGTTGGCGACGGTGGATCACCGCGCACTATGCGGACGCGCGACTTCTGCTACACGCATTCGCCGACAGACTATTTATCTACCTCGACATACACCTAGTCAAGATCATATTCTTAGCGCTCATGCTTCTCAGCGTATTCAATGTTTGTCTATTTTTTACGTATTATGTACTTAATGTCATGCTACAGAGATATATATATATAACTGCTACTTTGTTTCTTGGATTATTTACAGAGATATATAATAAAAAGTCGTCGTAAAAAGCGTCTCACCAATTCAATTCAAATTAAATCAAACCATTGAATCAAGTATGACATTTTAGCCACTTAAGGAAATCAAATTTTCAATTTTTCCTACTGTTCAATTCATATACTAAATGTGAACTATATTAATAGTTGCGTTTTGTGATCACCAGGTATGTGCTATGCACGTGCCAATAATGCTGATAATCTGCCCAGCACTTTGGCTAAGCGCAAGGAAACAACGGTTTTGCGTGCTGCTTATATCAACTCTCATCAGCATCTATCTTATGGCGAAAATGGTGTACCAGATCGAGTACATCAAACATGATTATTTCAACGTCAATTGCACTACGGTAAGCTTTTCAGTATTTGTGCACACGCACGTGGGTACGCATATGTGCGTGTTTTTATTTCGGTCGGAATACTAAATATGGTCTATGAGTCAACCCGTAGTATTACTTATTAGGCCTGTACACGATGGTCGTCACATCCATAAAATTATAATCACGCATTCTTACATTTCATTATGCATAGTATTTAGTATAGTACAATATTATGTTTATGTTTTAGGTGACTGAGAACGACACTATTAAAAATATAACGTATAACAACGCGGAGTGGGTTGGCTTCTTAAAGGCTAGACATACTCGTCCTCTGGTTGTATTACTTAAAGGATATATCGGCCTCATAGCGGTGTTTACTTTCTATTCACTCGTCACATATAGACAACAGTCGAAACGGTTTGTATACAAAGTTTTTGTTACTAAACCTTAATGTTTCTAATATTATTTCCTAATATAACTCGAATATTTATTTTATTACAGTGAACTCGGTCTGTTACCGAAAGATAAAGACAAGCTTATGTTTCCAGAAGTGTCTCGAAAAGAAGCTGATTTAGATATGATTTACTGCATTAAATATTTAATAAACTATGGTTTCTATAAGTTCGGTGTCGAGGTAAGATTGTATGCAGTTTAAAGGTTATATTTTATTACTTACTTACGGACGTGAGTCAATTCTACAGCATTTTTAAATGCATATAATCTTGATATTTTTAATGTACTTTTCATTCAAATTTAATGAAATTTTAAGTCTTCTCACAGTGACTATAACACAGTGACATTTGTAATTATAACTTGTAATTTTATCACTGTTTCGTATGTATGTTAGTCTATAATGGGTCATTAAAAATGTTACAGATAACCCTGATGTGCCTGATGGGCGTGATCGGTTCCCGAATGGACGTATACGCAGTGGTGTACGCAGGCTGGCTACTCGCGCTCGTGTCGCTGCGCCGCGCTCGTCAGGCCCGTCTGTGGCCCGCCTTCTGCGTGTGCGTCACGGTGCTAGTACCCGCACAGTACCTGCTCGCCGTCGGTTTCCTGCCGCAGTTCTGCATCGACTACCCGTGGAGTGGGGACGGCCAGGTTACCCACCCATTTATATCAATTAAATTAATTGAATATTGATAATTTTTAATTGTATTTTTTTTATGTAATTGGAATAACAAACAGTACGGACGCAAAATAATGAAGGATTTCCTGATTTATGTATTTTACCTATTTGAACGTAATTAGTATTAAATTGTAACTGTTTGGCAGTCATCAACAATTTTTTACCCAATTTTTTATTTCTACAGCAAATGAAACACATTCGGACATGGCTATTTCTCCCATACGCTGCCGAGCCGCCGCACGCAATGAAACTGGTTTTCGATTACTTCCTGCTGCTGTTCGCCACGCGGCAGTTACGGGTGTTCCAAATAGAAAAGAACCAGGGTGAATCATATCCTGGTGGATCCAATAGCGAGAATATAGGCAAAGATTGGGAGACACCCAACTTTGTTAATCCCGTGCCAGATTTTCTTAGCAACGTTAGGTAAATGTTATTTAATAATGTATTATCAACTTTCGGTATCTATATTATCAGATAGATCCGAAACCATTGTATATTTATGGGAAGAGGTATAATAATAATAATAATCTCAGGACAATTTACACAGCGCCATCTAAACCCAAATTAAGCTAGCTAAAGCTTGTGTTATGGATACTAGATACTGATACTAAATACATAGATACATTTTTTTTCGTAAATATATACATATTATACATAGAAATACATACAATCGTACTCAGGAATACAAATGACTGTGCCGTGCGAGGAATCGAACCCGCGACCATCGGAAGTAAGGCGGTGTGCTAAACCGCTAGACCACCGAGGCCGTCAAAACTGATGAACTGACTATTCAAAAGTATTTATATTAAATATATTTGATTAAAGATTATTTCTACTACTATATATTACTCTCTGCAGACCTTGTAAATGATCTAGGTGTAAAGTTAGGACATGTCGTTGTGTCCAAATTTTGTAAATTGACGAATTTATTTCTAATTTGCAGCACTTGGTTGGATGTGTTGAAGCGTATGGTCTTCCTCGGCATGCTGTGGGTAACGCTCGCCATTATGTTTATGACGGGCACTAATCGGGTGAACCTGTTCTCAATGGGCTACCTTATAGGTTCATTCATTTTCCTTTGGCAAGGGACAGACTTCTATTTGAGACCCAAAGAAGCTATTTTACAATGGTAAGTAATCTTGTTTGAAACTAATTTGTATATTTTTTATTATCTATGTTTCTATAATGATTAATTTGTTTATATATGACATTAGACGCCATAAAATATTTGCGACTACATCGGTGCTCTCGTCTGTATATTGAGACGAAGTATATTTATACAATTTAACCTTAACACACTGAAACTATGAATAGAATAAATAAAGTGTTGTGCTAAAGGGATATTGAGATGCTTGTCAGTTTTCCTTAACCAAAATTGCCAATAGTTAAAACTTAATACACTTATTGTAGTAATTTCGTGTTTCAAATTATGTAACAAACATCAATAATTGTCGTATTTCTGAATCGTGCTGCTTCATAGCTCACAAGTTAACTTTTATCCAGGTGGTCATGGTTACTACGGTACAACGTGTCAGTGGTAGTGGTCAAAACATTACTGCAGATCCCGGGTTGCATCTTTAGCACAGTAATGCAAAATCATGCATGCTGGCTCGTGCAACTACTCGGTATAGGATGCGTCGACAAATTTGCTGGTGGCAATATAGCTAGGTTCCTCAAGATGGATTACAATAAGGTAGTAAGTAATAGAAATTTAATGGTGTGGCCGCTTATTAGACGTCTCGTCATGTGTGTAACTATTTACCCTTCTTATTAACCAATAACACAAGCTTTGCTACGTACACAATACGGCAATTGGTAACTGCTATTTAATGTGTTAATATGGTATATTATATGGGGTGTGTGACATGAATCATCTATATTCACAGCACTTTTGGTTATTTCATTTAATTTTATATACATACAGATACATAATGATATACAAACGTCTAATAATAATATATAATGAAGTATTATTTATCTCTGAGTTTTACAATTATAATATTTTATTGTTCTGATTTGCTATTATTATTCTTTCATTGCATATTATGTCGTATACGAAATAATTTTGACTATTATTTTACATTTTCTAATTGGAAAATAGTTTCAATCATTATGTATGTATTTTTTATATTGTGGTGAAGTGAAACGGTTACTTGATATTGAATATGTATAAATCATGTAACTATATTTTGAATAAGAATAAACCAACTTTTGGATGTCTTAGTGGTTGTGATCATTTAAAAGTTGAATCTGCATATATTTTATTGATATTAATATTCACACGTATATAATTAATATATATATATATATATATATATATATATCAATTGATTATTATTTATTTCATGGTATTCGAATATAATTAAAATAACATCGAACAGATACAGATACATTGTTTCAGAATAATTTAAGATCATATTGCATGGGTAATATAGCTTAGCATGTTCACATGGGTATCTGTATTTGTATCGTACACGAATATTGCACGAACTGTTGCACTTTATATTATTTTTTTTATATTACTACCATGGTATTAATATTATATTGATATTAACAGACATAAAGAATAGAAAAAAAAAACATCAGTAGCATTAATGATTTTAGGCTCTGGTTAATTTGCATATGTAATGTATAAATCTATAACATGTGTTCCATTTTAAATTAATACTATCTTGAATTCAAATATATAGTAATAAAGAATAGTATGAGTGTACTGTTTATTGTGTTCTTTATTTTGTGTACAAAACAATAGACATATCGTAGGAACATTTTTAGTAATTTGAATATGTGTATTGTAAACTCGTACTCGTATTTTAATAGTAATACCATTCTCGATATTTTTTCTTTCATCATCATCATCTTTGTATAAACTCGCTATGGATGAAGAGCAAAGACGCATTCTGTAATATTGCCATCTGAAACAAATGTAATTGTTATGTAGGAAGCGACATGTTCGGTTCCGCAAGAAGACATCGGGCTCGCGTGGGACGGCGTCTGCTTTGCTTTCCTCATACTACAGCGACGGCTATTCCACAGCTACTACTTCTACAGAGTCATAGATGAGAGCAAAGCCACCACTGTACTAGCATCCAGGTGTGTTGTTATGTTATGCTTTACTTTATATAAAGATGGGCCTTCAGTGCGAGCGTGTACCCACACGCTTCCACAATTTAGTAGGATGGAATAGGTCACCCATCATCTACACCATCAACAGGGCGGGCTAACGCCACCCGAGCCGCGGTAGTCATGCTAATGCGACTTCGTGACTCCGGCAATGGCGCTCGTAGATATACCATGTGATTTTTTGTTGTGGTAAGAATCCCACATTACCTCTCGTCATCCCTCCGACGCAAGGACTGTAATGCCTTGCAACTTTGCCTGCTGAGGTTTAATATAAACAGTAAGTTGAATATACTGGGTACTCTAAATACTGTGTCTTGTGATTCTAAAAAACACTAAGATGTAGAGCTATATGAAGTATTGGTTTTATTGCTTTGAATGCTTTGTTTTTCTGCCATTAGACAAACAATATTACCCTATTAAATTTGTAATAGATTTTCTGAATTGTTGGAACTGTATTACTTGTGATTTGTGTTACCGTTCATGCTTAGTTTTGATCGGTGATTTTAATTTCAAACATAACTTATATGGTGTATAATACAATTTTATAGAGGTGCTGAATTGATGGAAGAGTTACGGCAAAAACAAATGCTGGTGCAAGAGGAACAGGAAGTAAAGATATTGGAAAAGATAAAAGTCAAAATGGAAAGGATAAAGGCGAATCAAAAAAAGATACAGGGGGCCATGACTAAAGAACCTCATCAGCATGACACAGGTAAAACTTCTTTATGTAAATTAGAATTAAACATTTATTTAATAATTTAGATTATTGTATTGTATTGACAATTCAATAAAATATGAAAATTATTTATTATCTTCAAATTTTTGGCACGAAATTATGATTATGAATTTGATAAATATAGATCCTGTCTCGTTTTGAAATGTTTCGATAATTTGAATTGTGAATAAAACTGTATACCATTATAGATATTTAAGTAAGTCATTTGTGAAAAAGAATTGCATAGGTATTCCTACATACCCACTTATATAAGTTTAGCTCAGGATTATGTGAGATAATATGGGACAGATATAATTAATAAAAATAAAAATTAAGTTTGATAAATAAAGACAACCTGTTACTTATTATTGGATATTTCGTAACGCATACTTGAACTAGAAGAGGAGGAAGAGACTCAGCGATCGGAGAAGGTACCGCTAGTGCACGGTGACTCGGAGGCTTCTCGAGGGTTCCACACGCCCGACAGCGCAGCCTCACCACGCGGCTTCCACACCCCAATATCCGAAGCTTCCGCTCCTCCCTCTCCCGTGCATAGTCCTCCCCCGCAACCAACTCCAGTTCTACCACCTCCAAGTTCTCAGGGAGGACCACCCTCGCCCTCGTCTGCCCTGATGACCGTCTCCCTTGATGCGTACCTAGAACCTCGAAGGATATCCTTCGAATCGCCGCCATCCTCTGAACTCCTCCCTCGGGCACAAAGTCCAGAGGAATCGTACCCTGTGTTCTCCCCGCCGCCTATAAGACGTCGTCACACGGTTGCGAGCCCCACCGTTATGAGCCGACCCTCCATTGTTTCCATGTCGAGCCGCGTGGAGCCACATTCCCATCATACCTGTAATTACTCCGACAGAAGCACTTTTCGAACCTTAGTATTTAAGTATCTACAAAAGACACGATTTGTCGCCCGATGGATTAGCCCATCTATCGGGTTTAGATCATGAGATCTTTCCTCACATAATCATTAGGACTCACTGTTCACTTAAGTATCCAAGAGTATTATTGAATTGAGCATTTGAGAACTGATTTGTTGGGTTGATCTCTTGATTGATATAGCTGACCGAGTTAATTTTTTATAAGGCCGGGTATATTGGATTGATATCGGGCGCCAAATCATGTTCGTCGTAGACGCTATGTGTGAATGATTACTGTGTATTAAGATATGCTCTATATTTGAGTTTGTCGATCGGTACAAGAACAATACATTCTTGCAACTTTTGGTATTGAATATTTGTTGTTTTGTAAAGTTAACAAATGATCATTCGTACGATAATTAGTTAACCTAGATAATTAAAATAGGTTAAAAGTTAGTTAAAATAGATAATTAGTTTAAAAGAGCTTTAGAGAATATTTTATGTTCTTAAGTAGGATATTTGACGCAAAATGAAGTCGACATACAGAAATGAATTCTAAACTAAATGCGGATGACTAAACTTTTATATAAGGTTCTACCTAATATAAAAGGCATATCTAAATATATGGTTTATATAAATATATATACTTATGTCCTTCCATCATGAGGAATATAGCATTGCAAATACACTATGTAAATATTGTAAAGCATTTTTTTTTTACATTCCTATGTGTGACTTTTAAATGTTTTTTACTCAATTAGGAACTGAATCAAGTCCAATTAGGCATCGGGTATTCACGAGGAGACATGAAGGTACATTCGATTTGTAACCTGGGCTGGTATGGGAGGTGTTTCTTACTCTTATCATTGTTTCGTCTTGTCATTGTTTCATGATAGTCGCCTTAAAGAAGAAACAAATATTCCAAATTCGTTTAAAGACTTTGAATAGTGTCTCAAATTCGTGCATAGCGTTTAAAAGTTTTAGAGGATTCCGGCTTTGCGGAGAGCTTGCCGGGAGTGTACTGTATCGGGAAAGAGAGAGAGAACCAACGCCCGCCTGTACGAAAGAACAGAGATAGCTTCTACTCGCGAGGAACGTTATGCACGAAATTGATGACCAATAGCTAAATAATTGTGATTGTAACTAAAGGCTTTATCTGTTTCTAATAAAAAAAGATACAACAAGATAGAAAAGGATGGAGCTAATATCGAGATCTATGTACGCGACTGTCAGTAATGAGTATAACAGTGATACGCTTTAACAATAACCTTCCGATAACTTTCCAATGGGATATTGGATTGCGAATTTAATGCTAATAACAGTAGCTATTAATCTATCCAATCGCTAAACCGGTTTGTTACCTGTGGTGTTGAGCTGTGCCTTTCTTTGTAGCGCGAGACAGACCACCGTATAAGCAGCCCGCCAGCCACCAGAAGGGTAATGTTATCAAACGAATCTGTCTGCAGTATTCTTGTGCCTTATTAACATTTTTCTGCTTTGGTTATGGTACTCGTATTTAGGCAGCATTGCGGCGGGGACTGTCTTGACTACGTCGTATATAATTGGTTATTTTTTACAATATGGTTCGGTCTGTAAATGTAAATAAAATGTATAATATCTTGTAAGATAAAAGACAGATTACGCCTCTGCACACGCTTTAGACTTTGCACGACTATTTCTGCTGTTGAGAACGTTGCATCTTTTACATGGTTTGCGTTTACGTTTCATTTTTATGTGCACAAATCATTTTAAACAACATACAAATTTTATGTTTCGGAATGTATCGTAATTACAAATACTATTAATATTTTTTAGATCTTTATAATTTTGCATTTATAAAATGAATTTATTAATTAGTCACAATAGTTATTAAATATAACATTTGCAATTGTTTTCGATGTCCTCCATCACTTTTCGCACGTTTTTATTATTGAATTAAGCACAATCTAACTATAAAAAATGTGGTTTATTTTTTTTATATATTCTTCTATTGCAAAAGATACAATGAATCCTTTAAAAAATATTTTGTTCTATAATCTATGTTGGATATGAAAGTTATACTTATATGTACCGCTTTATTGGGTATTAAGTAAACAATGTGTATTTACCTAAATTTATTAGTATTCTGTTTCTTTAAAATCCTACTAAATAACTGGTAGTTTTCTTATTTATAATTACAGTATTGATAATAAAAGGTGAAAAACAGCAAAACAGATCTCTGCTTAAAATTCAACAAGCCATTTCACTTCATTTTTGTTATAATAATGTATTCATTGTGCTTGATTTTTATTTATGTCGCATGTTACATGGGATTGTAAGAATTTATATTAATATATTAACACCAATAATAACCATAACACTTTAGCTTTTAATTATAACTATATTGTATAGTCGTAAGTATTTGCGTAACTAGTAAATTCAGACATTTAATGAAACTATATACTGTGGTTATAAAAATATCTTATTCCTCTTAAAAATGCCGCATATACAGTAACGATTTCAATTCATGTATATATTCTTGATGACCTAATGGGTATCAATCAGGGAAACTAAAATTTATCTATAATGAGCAATAACTAAAATTTGTCAGTCGATGTCGATTTGTAATTCGGTCACTCACATATACATAAAAATTTAATATTTCATTTTAATACAGTTTGTGAAGTAGTAATGCGGCTACCATCCTTAACCTATTTGCATTTAGATGCTTTTGAGGGGGTTTTATATGCGATCATGCTGATTTTATATGTTAATATAATGAATAATAGTTTTATTTATTTGGTAATGCAGTATATGCCAGCTATTTAAAATTTTAAAAATACAAATCCTAGAGCGTCTTTATATTTTATATCAAACAAAAATAAATAGCCAGCAGATACCTATAAACTGCTTTCTTAATTGGAATAAGGTATTGTAGATAATAATAAAATATTTTGATAAAAGTCTGGTTACGCTTATACATAATATATACACCAATATAACTATAAATCGTGTCTACAGCTGTGCGTTCCGGTGACTACTACATGTTTGATGAGTTCGATGACACCGAAGTGCCTTTGAAGGATGAGGACTCTAGTTCCGACGAAGACGCGCCTAAAGAAATGGGCTTCGGAAAGGTACCGTCTGTTCCTAAATACATTTTTCACAACATAAGATGTTAATTTTTGTAGTTGACCGTAATTTCGTTAAATGCCGCATGATAAAGCTGGCTACATACGCAACTCCATGCCTAAATGCATACCGAGCAATTTTTATAAGAATCATACCAACACATTCGAGTATGCTTTACCACGAGACTTGTAGTTGCGTTCGTTGCCGCTTTTGATTTAGTTAGTTAAAGTAATATTAATAATGGAATCCATTGTATTATTTAAATATTTGGTAATTTTTAGGCAACCAATATAATTAAGTCATGTGTTAGGTAAATGTGTCGAATTTATATATATTTTTTTGGATCATGTCGTCGTCAGTCTGGTTATGGAAAGCATGATTCATTCATAAAGTTCAAAGGTTTAATAGAAACCCTTACAACGGGATTTTAATAATATTAAACAATTATCGATATGAAATCATCTGGAAAACCATAAACTGGATATTGTGGTCCATGTTGGAGGGGTTTGGGTTAATTAGCATGACCAAAGAATGAATTAGCAGTCCCTGTGTTTGTCCCGGGTGTATATCGCATGTTTCCCATTTATGCCCCCCTTATACCTAAAGGATACGAAATTGATGATATATACGCCGCTTTCTGTACCAATATCCCGTCGCAGCTTAAGGTGACTAACCCAGTCGTTTTGTAATAACTATTGCACAACAAGTGTACAACATAAAACACCTAACTTGTTCTATCTCTGATATTTAAAAAAATGTAGTGGTACCAATGTTGTTACAATACGAATTAAAGTGCCAATGGCTTATAAATGAAAGAGAGAGGGCAAGTTTAGTGTGGTAAGGTAAGGATACATTGCCGCTTGGCCCGGGTACAGCTGCTGTCGACGGCCATCAAGACGGATTTAAAGCGCGCAGTGTCGATGCGACGCGCGTCCGCACCCGCAGTCCGCTCCGCCCGCAGACTCTCACTCAGCAGCTATCCACTCTCCTATCCGCCCGAGGTAACCCTTCTATATTGTCAAAGCAATCTGATGAAAATGTCAACAATATAACATGTAAGTGAATGCGGTTATTCGAACTGTAGATAGATATTATTGCTCCTTCCATTGTATTACATGGCTTAGAAATAAAAATTACAAGTAGGTGATCACACAGATAACTTTAGGTGGACTTATCATTAAAAACTGTCTATTCCAGACAACCACTGATTTGGGCATGTACTATAATCTTTATCTTTATACAAAATAAAATCGTGACAAGGCCAAAACTGCCTGTTTGTGTGAAAAGAACATAAAAATCTCTGGAATAAATAGGATGAAATTTTCGCAGAATATGTTATTATTCATGGATCAAACGCAATGGGCTTTCTTATAAATATAAATAATAAATAAGTATTTATTTTGTTATTAATCTTAAAAACGCCATTTCTAATTATTTTATTAATTGTTGACATTTTCGTGAGAATGAAGAAGAAAATTGATATTAATTCGTACTGATGATTGCAAATTTACATCAAGCTGACAGTAACCTAATACATTTGTAAAAACAAACTCTGTGGACGAATAAACATGCTCGTTTTAAGCCTTAAACTGCGAGACGAAATCTATGAAAATGGCTCTCGACTGCTTCGACCCTAGAAACAGTTTCGTTGATGCAGTTCACAGGCTGTTGGTAAAAATATCAAGTGATATTTTTGAAATTACGTTATTGTTTTATACTATTTAATTCTAGATTTGCAATCAACAGTAAATTATGTCGATATCACTTGGGTATCTAAAAATAATAGGACTATTAATATTCATTTTTGTTATATGTATTCATTTATTAAAATGATTACTAACTAATTATTGAAATTGATCTCGATATAGTGATGATGATGATAATAGTCTATTTTGATACCAAGCTGAGATACGAATCAATTTAAGTTTGACATTATGTGCTAGCATTTTCGTTATATATGGTGCATGTGTAGCTTTTATTATAAGTTGGGTTTTGGTTTATTATCCTTTTTCATACTATTTTTCTTCCATGGTTTTGCACAAAACAATAAATTAATTATATAGCATGTTTAACCCACTTACATTAACGCTTATATCTAATAAGAATACCTTAATTTAATCTAGGTACGTACATATTCACATGGAGCTGTTTTATAATAATGTATACTTTTAATAAGATCATAATTATTTAATGCATTTAAAATTTAGGTAGATCTCTTTTTCTAAATTTTTATTTTTTATTTTGGCTGTAATTTCCGTTGCATAACAGAATTTATTATCATGTATTAATACATATGACTAAATAATGTATTCTAAACAATATTATATATATTTGGTAAGCATGGTGTACGAAATATAAATGTGAATGGTAGTCTGTTTGAAATTATTACGATACTGTATAATGGAACAAAAATACTAATGAAAATTATCGAATAATGATCAAAAGTCGTAGAAGTGTTTTTCAAACGGACTACTATCATTAATGTTTTATATTACAAATGTATAACAGAAATAAATAATAAAGTTACAGATGCGTCGTCGGTCTTCACAAGCGGATATAACGCAAGCCGACGTGAATCTGCCCATGTCTGAACGGGATCAGGATCGGGAACGGGACCGGGACCGGGACGGACAGGCCTCGGAACTAGATGATTATACTGCGGTGCCCGGTTAGTTTTTAATTTTATTATTGCATTTTAGAGCAATTTATCATGTCATAAATTACATCTATACTAATATTATAAATAGGTTAATTTTGAATTTGGATGTTTAGGAATTTCCGATACCCATAACCGTATAGTATACAGTTACGATGTTTGAGAATAAAAGAACAAACATTATAACTTACTTTGAAAATTGATCTAGGCTAAAAATATCACGAATGTTATGATGTGACTTTATTTATATTATTAACCGGGTCTTAACACGAACAATTTTATGGCAAATAAAGGCACCTCTCTTGACTTTTCGACTAGGTTGCACTAGCCATGGTCACGAGCTGACTGGAGTAACAGCGATGTTACTGTATGATATGTACCAGCAGTTTTTTTTTCTACCGTCACTAGATTGTACAACGAAAGTACGCGATACACAGCACTTACGTTATCGGTATCACACAACGGTGATGCTACTGAACTTTGTTTGAATGTGTTTACAACTGTTAAGACCCGGTTAATAATATAAATAATGTATATGTATGTATAATGTATGTATACTTAACATGAAAGTTTAAAAATAGTCAAAAAGTTAATTTTTTTAAATAACTTTTTATTTTGTTAGAACAAGAAACATGGTTTGACAAGCTGAAACATTATGTGGAGACGGCGTGGGCGTTCATATCGAGCTTCCTAATATCACTGACGCGTCACCTAATGAAGTACTCACGTGATTACCGATACGTGTCGCGGACGCTGTCTATCGAAAAGAGGATACTAAAGGTAGAGATTTGCCATTCAATTACATAAAAATAACAGAACTAATGATATACTATAAGTAGAATAGTATTTTTTTACTACACGTATTTAATCGCCCTCAATATCCTTTAATCTACTTCAATTAATTTTGTAATGGCAATCAACTTGATGATGCACCAATTGGTAAATGGGAGCCGTTTCCTTTATACATGGACAACGAGCATCACGTAGTCGTGTAACGCCAGTGATACCACTTATGCAATGTCAACGCCCATTCTCTAAGACTAAGATGCCTTCGTATTCCGTAATTTTATTGCCATATCTAACCCATCAACGGAAACACAGAAAACTGCTTGGTTGGAGAAATAGATATTTTATACAATAAATAATTTATTTCATTTCATGGTAAATATTTTTAGTAGTCTATGACCCTTAAAAATCTTTAATATACCTATTGGTTTATTTTTTATACATAGATATGGTGTGATTGTAATCGTTTCATTAGTTGTCTATGAATGTGAGGTATAATAATACACTACTACTTTACTTTTTATTTAGCAAACCGTACGCGTATTCCTATATTATTGAAAAAGATTTCGTTCTGTACATCGGTTTCGTGAGAGTTTACTTTTAATATGGGTTTTATATTTTAGGAGAAAGAAGGTTTCGGCATAGGTTTGAGAGAAGGTTCACAAATGATATGGGAGCCGTTACCTGAAACATTGGTCCATCAGTGAGTATTTTATTTTCTTTTTAATTATTTAAACGTTTTCGTACCTCATGCCATTTAATGGTGTAAGTAAACGAAATGCTGATATTGATTCGGTGGCTTTAGTATCGCCTGCTTCATGCATGTTATACTAACTTAGATTTTATTAGTAATCAGAACTTTATTGAGGCATATTTGATGACATTAGTGCAGATATTTGCAATGAATGTTTGCTATATTAATATTTTTTTATATTAACCTTAAAATTGATATCAATTACGGCTAAAACACAAGTTGGATATGATAATTTGTTTTTAACTTTCTGTTTATTGCCGTTTCGCCCACGCGAAGCGTGTTCTTTGCCTATGTTACCTATATTCGTCAATTATAGCATTTAGAAGATATGTTGGTGTGTTAGTTAGTATTTAGTAATAATACTTAATAATATTACCATATTTATTTTGAGTCAAAGAATACTGTGTTAAACGTACTCTACGTGACCATCCCGTTCCAAAGCGCCAGTCAAATCTGCAAAAAATATTTTACTAATTTGTTCAAGATTTTTTTTAAATAGATACAGAAATAGAATAATAATAAATGTTTCAATAAAGTCGAACTAGAATTAATTATGATTTTTATGTTAATTTATTTAGAGTCTAGCGTTTAGTATACTTTATAAGTTTTAAAAATTTAGTAATAGAACTTAGTGTGATTTAGTGAGTAGCTACTTATCTTTGCATGCTGCCTAGTAGCGATTCGGAAAGCGCTAACAATAATCTGCTGGTACCGATGGACGATATGGGGTTTGTATATGTTACTAAATTGTTATTATAATCCAAACTGTAACAGTGTAATAATATTTGCAGTCAATACAACTAAATTCGTCACATTTTAGCACGTGTAGACAAAATTATACAAATTTTGTCTATGATTAAATATATGAATATTTTTATAGATATCTCTATATGTATTTATTTTTAAGTACCTCTGTATCTATGTATCAAAATTCATTTATGAATATTTTAAGCCTTGTAGAAAAATAAATTGTTTAGATTTGAAAATTTCTGTTATGATATATTCTATTATGTTCATTAATGCTGTGTCCTAAATATTACATGACTAAACATTTTAATAGTAACATAAATGTATGTTTAATGGCCTACTAGTAATTTGATCCGTTAATTTATTAAAGACTTTATATATTAAAGATTAGAAGACATTTAAGAATATATATCGTAAATTTTGCTATCAAAATGTATATACTGCAACGTATAAAAAGACGTATGTATTAAGGATAACATGCAAATAGAGCGTAGATCGCTTTCTACTACTGCTTATTAGATTTTATAATTAGTGATCATGTAGCATGTAGCTAGTATAGTATGTTTGGTTACGGCGTGTTCACAGCCGTAAATTAAGTGATATAAGCGTGCCCGAGATACGTATACTGGCGCCGAGCATGGAACGCGGATTGGACGCGTCTCCGTCGCCACGGCCGCGACCGCGCTTGTCGTCCGACACGACGTCACAACACACGTCCGACACGAGAAGCGTGTCCACAACACGACACGACGACCAAACCGACGACGACGATGACGACACTTCCGAACACGAGAGCGCGTTTAGTTTGCAGACAACCGGAAGGTGGAGTGGTTCAGGATGTCTTGTACCATTTTGTGCACTTTGCGGTTTATTAATTATATAAAGTATTTATAAATCCCACCAGCTATATGCTTTTAAAAATTAAATCCTATGTAATATAAACACAAAACAGTACAAGTATCGTCCGTTCTCTGTCGTCATACGCGATGGGCTTCGCTACGTACTTTTCATAACTTTTACTCGTATTTTTGATCTGTTATAAATAATTTTGATTATTGCATGCCATCGCAGCTTTGATCGTATATTTTTGTCTATATCGAACAGGTAAGTAAATTATTGTTCCACCGACAAATTTTGCCAATTCTCTTTCAGGATACGAATACTGGTAATAAGGTCATTAATACATACCCACGCATTATTGTTTTGTGATATGTATGTACATATAATAACAATGTAAATAATTATTTCTTGACAATCATTTTGCATGTAGATCAGTTTATAAAATATATTTAAGTTATTGTTGTATGTCTGCTAGTACTATAACTATATTTAAATAATATTTTTATTTACAGAATCTCAGTTATTTTATTTTTAATTATTAATGACCAATGTCTAAAACAAGTATACCGTGTCAGCACTATTACTAACGAGTTAGTAAAACATTCCGATTAACCTATAATGCTTTAATTAGTTATAAAAAAAACTTATTTATACTCGTCTAAAGTCGTGTCTGTTATAGGAGCTTAGTTTTTTTTGTCACTACATTTGCTGTTGAACGTAACTATCACTATTTGTAACCAGGAGACCCGTTAGTAGTAGAGGCTTGGATTATATATGCTTTCTCATAACAATTACTTGTCTATTTTTTATATGCACAGTGCAGTGACAACTCAGTTCTTTTTCGATCTAACAAGACCGTGTGCAGAATACTTTTTGTCATTTGTAATTAAAATTCTAAATCTTCTTATGCACCGATCTCTCCAAGGTGTACTGTTTCGGTATTTTTGTAATTTTGAAGTTTAGTCCCACTACAATATCTCCTGTAAAATACAATATAACTCTGTTCAAATGTCAAATTCTATTAATAAACACCCAAAGTCAAAACAAAACGCTGTACTTTTGAGGGTTGAGCATTAGTCATGATTTGTCATCGAGGGCCTTGGCTTCACTGCGTTCAGTCGTAAATTAATGTAAAGTAAATACTTTCTCTATTTTATTGTCAGAATTTGTCAGGGTTGTCAGGAATATGCCATAATAATTGCATGTTATTAACATTGCAGTAAGGACGTCACGATGTTGGAAGAGCAAGATGACTCTATGTTCAAGCAAGGCAGATCGCCGGTTGTGTACTTGGCTTACGCCATCTGGTATGCCGTACTCGCGCATACAGACATCGTGTGTTACATTACAGTGTTCATCAATCAAGTAAGTGTTGCCATATCAACTTTTTACATAATGGTAAAAATATGATAGATCACGAACGTGTAACACGATTTGTGAAGACGACGGCTAGAGTAGTTTATCATATCCTGACACATCATCAAATCATGTCATGCGTAGACGTTACACTCATAAAAGCGATTTTATTTATCTGCATAGCTTTGTACAAAGTCGTGCAATAGTGTTGTTTCATCTGTTGTTTATGCCAAACAACTTGTTTAGTATGATGCGTTGAAGAGTGAGAAGAGATAGTGAAAAAACAGTGTTCTAGCATTACTCTACAGACATCACATGATTACTCGATTTTCCATGCTGTTGTTCATGTATATACATGACGGATTTATCATGTTCATGTAATTATATTAATTTCAGATTCAATCGGCAACTATACTCTCTATCCCATTGCCACTGATGGTTTTCTTATGGGGGACCTTGACTATACCGAGACCTACTAAAACGTTCTGGGTTACACTGATCGCCTACACTGAGGTAAATATTGTTTTTTAAATAGAATGATAGCTTTCACATAACCTATCTATATATCCTTATCAATCCTTTAGGCATACATAGGGACAGACAACGATAGCGACTTTATTTTATACTATGTAATGATGATGGTGATTCTATTGGAAATCCTTCTAATATATAATTAATTATCGTACCCTTTCAGTACCGCTTAGCGATATGTTATTACATAATTTGCAGAATCCTCTGATGTATTTATATTTACTGTCTATTTATCTGTAAGGTGATCGTCCTGATCAAGAGCATGTTCCAATTTGAAATCCTGCCATGGAATCAAAAAGCGATCCCGGCAAATATGCCGTTCACCGCACCACGGATCATCGGCATTGAGAGGAAAAGTAACTACGCGCTGTATGACTTATTGTTGCTGCTAATCATATTCTTACACAGGCATGTTTTAATTTTACAATCAGTATTTAATAAATGATAAATTCAATAAATAAATTGCATCTTACAGGCTAACAGAATATAAAATGTTCAGTTACTGAATATAAAATGATTACTATATTTTTTTATAATAATTACTAGCTAGCTAATAGTACGTGTACGGGGAAATTTTATATGTAAATATACATATAAAATTTCCCCTTGATCACTATCTATTAAAAAAACCGCTTCGCGTAGTTTTAAAGATTTAAGTATACATAGGGACGTATTAAACATACATAGACAGCGACAGCGACTTTGTTTTATACTATGTATTGATTAATAGTTAATACTGATATAATGACTGCTAACTTATAAAAGATAAAAAGAAGTAGAATGTATAGTCAATTACGCTTTTGCTAAGTATTTGAGTAAACTTTAAAGCACTTTCGATTAGCAGACTTAATTCGAGTCTACCATCACATTCAGAGGAAATGGAGCTGAGAATAATGAACAAGGAAATATAAGAACTTTTGTCAAAATCAAATTATCACTTTATAATATTTTTTCTGTTGTTTTAATTGGAAACAGATTCATGCTAAAGTCACTGGGTCTGTGGAAGGAGTCGACCCCGGAGATTGAGCTGCGCGAGGACATGGAGTACCAGCTGAGTGCTGAGGACACGCAGCTGGTGGCCGACGGCCGCGCCGCAGACGTCGGCCGCAAGTACGTGCAGCTCCACGACACCACCGGACCGTGAGTATTACGAACCCATAATGAACTCTAAGTAGATATGTATACAGCACATAATTGAAACATTAGTTCATACCTTGTGATGTTTTTTTGGATGATATTAGTCTTGGCTTACGATAACGGTTTACAAAGGCGGGGTGCCAGTGGACGATAATAAAATGAGCATGAAGTCAGGTCAGTTAGCCCATCTTGGCAAATGACAATTTACCACGACGGTTTCCGGGGCAGACCTTATGGAGGTAATATATGGTCTGACAAGGTACATTGCTAGCAATGGGGTTATTAGTCCACATTACTAACAATCACCTTTCCCCACCCTGTGATATCTGTAGCAATAATATTTTATTGTCTATAATTTTTGTCAACTCGTTTTTAGCCAACAGTGAATAACGAGTATAGTAGGTATACGGCATATTCATTTTTATTAAGTATAGGTATCGTAAAAGACAACAGTCAGCAACAACAATGTATACACAGTCAATTTATCGAATAACAGCATCAGCGACACCAGATTTGTAATCTTCATCTTCATTAGTAAGCAGAGAACTGTAGACAGTTCGTAATAGATCTCAGAACAGGACAAAAATCAAGAGATTGCACTACGTATAATAAAATGAAGGCATAAGTCACATTTCACTTATACATATAACTGTAAAAGATTTGGAATGTCCCGAAAAAATGTAAATTACAAGTAAAAAAATTTTTATTGCATCTCGTTATTAAGAACTTTTTCGTTGTTAAATAAAAATTTGACGTAACTGTTGTATTGTATCCATATCTCATGCGCTTAAATTCCAATTTAAGCCACATATCTATAGAACAGTATCCTCACTTTTGTTATACGTACAATTCGCTCTCGACCTTTGGTGGGTGTGGACGGTGGACGGTACATAGTTAGATGTACGGCTCAGCCAGTCGTCACCGGCTGGTGGACCGGCTGTACCACGTGCAGGCGAGTATAGCGGCGGCCATGCACGAGCTGGGCGCGCGCCGCTCCGACCCGCGCGTGGCGCACCTCGTGTGGCAGCGACTGCAGCGACTGCAGCGCCTGCAGCGAGACCGAGCCCGACCACGACCACGCTCGCACCGCCGGCGCACGCTCTCCACGTACATCATTCATACGTATACTCGTCGCTAGACGTAGCTTCAGTTTCATTCATCCTTAATTTAACAGCCACGTTCTTGTCAGTTGAGCTCGTTCCACTTTCCACGATATTCCATCATGCTCTTTGTTTAAACGATACGACTCCAATTTTATCTATGGTTTGCTCGATGTAGCCGTGCCTCCGTCTTCCGCTCCCCCTCTTCCCTGCTATTTTTCCCTCAATAATAATTTTCATAAATTCATCGTGCCGTATCAAGTGTCCTAACATTTTCAAATACCTAATTTTTTTAATCTTAATTTAGCTTCAAAGTCCCGATTTGTAGCACTAATTTTTGAGTATGTGTTCGAAGTTTGAACAAATTTGAACTTTACCTATTTTCTGTTGGCAGTTATATTAAAATGTTCCAAATTTAAATGTCTAGATAGCGTACTTCATTTCGTAAAATTCCGTACTCAGTGTGTGCTGCCCTCTTCCTCACACATATCTTATACTTTATCGATAACAAATATTCAGATCGTTGAAACTATGTCTGGCGCAAGTGTAATAAAGAAGCTAAGACTACTGGAGATTGCATTGCTAATTTAATATAATTTTGTATTCGCAATGCTATTTCCATGTGTTTCTAAGCATCTTGGCTATGACCGTATTTCTTGATTAAACTCCAATTGTATGGTAACAAGTAGTTCGAATAGTCATGTCGACATTAGATTAATATGCGTATCATGAGTTTTTGTTAATTATTTGCTCGTTGAAATCTAATAATAATTTCATTGTGACCATTTACACATATCAATATTGTTGTCTAATATTTAATTAACCCCTTTACTGTTGCCATAGCCACCGAAACTAGCGATCAACAGCAAACTACTCACTTGCTGTCATATTGTATATATTATGTCATATTGTACAAATCAAATATTAATATATTGGATTTTTCTTTGAAATAGTATAGTTAGATGCTGATTTCCTTCTATAACCTTCATTTCTATAGAAATTATTGTCAATATTCAACTTTGTTATTGAGTATTGTCTCACGGTAGATTGCACCTAGGTTGATCTAAATTGAATTATCTGAACTTTTATTGGCTAGAATTATTCTATACTCTGCACGTTATAGCATCATTCTGTCAATCATTATAACTTAAGTCATATATGACGACTCACTATTCTCTACACACAATCGACCATTAATATATATACAGGAAAAAATCATAGAATGCAGTCATTTTACTGTAAGGCTAAGGGTGATATAATGTCAACTGTGCTATATTATTATATTGCGACGTGCAGAGTATAACTGTAATTATAAATAGTTAAAGATTATATTTAGTTAGGATATTTATAATTACTGTTTGCTATTTAGTTTTAAAAATGTACTAAGTAGGGTATTTGAGTCATATGTATGTGACTATATGTATATTTGTTAACATTGTATAATACAAGAATATTTATGTTAGAATGTAATTAATAGTAGATTATATAATTATGAAAAACGTACATTTATCTTAAGAGATTGTATATTATTGTAGAGATTAATATTTACTGTTTGTGTGCGTCTTATAATGTTATAGGTACATTCCTATTAAAATGAACTAATAGAGATTAATGTGTATGAGTATACAGTTATTTATATACCTTATCTTTACATATAATACAGCAAATCCTTTTGATTTCTATCCTTTGATCAGTATCCTATTATTATTAATTAATAAAAACAATACTTCGAGAGAATCACAAGGTACAAAAAAAACGATTCAGTTAAAAAAATGTACACATAGAGATTCTATATTATTTAGATATTGACCATGATAATATTATAATATCTCATAACAATCTACAAAACGCCATCTAGTCCCAAGATAAGCAGGTCTTGTTTATGGGTACCGTAGAAACAATCATACTCATTATACAAATGTTAGTACCGTGCGAGAGATTGAACCGGCGACCGTTGGAAGACGGAAAGATTTCTACATATTACATTACTGTATTCAATTAATATGCGAATTAAATATATAAAATTAAACAATAATCAACATCTTAATTAACGTTATTTTCCTCTTTGGTCTAAAAGCGCAATAAAAATAATGTATTCTTTTAATTATTCTACTTTTCTATGTAGGGACGAAGAAACAGAAGCAGAGCCGAATGGCTCAATATCGCAGGCGGAGCGTGAGGTAAAAATCGTAGGGAAGCATGACCGCGAGGTAGTTCTCGCTGAACAACGTGACCACAAGCAAGATGGACTCGAGGCGGGTCCCTCCAAGCAGGACGACGACCATTACAAGTACGTATTTGTTAACAAATTTACTATCTAAAAAATCAATGATATTATAATGCTCCCGAATGATGATTCTTAACTGGTTTGTCAATCCTGAGGGATATCGCTCTGTGTTACCATTCCGTTTAGGTTAATATATTCCAATTGTGTCAAATAGTCAAGACATTCCAATGATGTCAAATAGTCCAGTCTGCTTTATTTGTTGTTGGTACCTCAACAGCAAAGAAGAACCGAAAATTACGCGTACACACGAATTTTGAACTATTAAATTGGACCTGCTGTAACGTGAAGTGGGTGGAGAGGGGAGTGGATGTAAAAAAAATAATTGTAATATTTGGTGTATAATCCCGTTACTTTATTTCATAATCATAGTATAATTTATTTCAGAGTAAACGACGACCAAGAACCAATAATAGCAGTCACTACAACAATGGAGGATACATACAAACACTATCCTACAGTGATTATGTTATCGTAAGTGTACTAATTATTTATGTACTATTTTAGTAGTACACTTTTAAATGTGTAGTTACTATATAATTTTCTGAATTGTGTTGCAGTATAAAACGCTATTTACGTCCGACGCATCGGTTCTTCAAACGTATGCTAGCACCGGGTGCGCGCGTTACCGCAGACGTCTACGCCTACATGTTTCTTTGCGACTTCTTCAATTTTCTCGTCGTTATATTTGGATTTGCAGCTTTTGGGGTCAGTATGATTATAATCTATATTTAGTCACCGACAAAACACATCGATGATGATGTTTACGGCTCTGTTAAATTAAATTCGTTTTTCTAGTTCGGAGATGATCATAGGTAAAGAAATTATACTTTATCATATGTAGGTATCACTTAAATTTACTTCCTTATTCTAATTAATGTACAGATCTTACAGATAATTAGATATTCCCGTAATATAACAAATAATTAGAAACTGTCTCTGACAGCTGAAAATTAAAATACACAGCCAATTTTCATATATAATAAACTAGACGAATTTTCCTATATTTTTTTTGTTTCCTTTTATTGCAATGTAACAAATAAACTAAAGAAAACTTGGTTAAGTCATGACGTGACTAAGGAAAATATGGCAATAATGCAATTAAATACATAGATTTAAAGCTGTTTAAATCTATATATTTAAAAATTAAAAAATAACCTATCAAATTATCTATGTTCGGTACAAGTAACAATATAATAAATTTTAGACGCACCAAGGCGATGGTGGCGTCCAGGCGTACCTCGAAGAGAACAAAGTCCCTATCCCGTTCCTGGTGATGTTGATCCTGCAGTTTGGCCTTATCATCATCGACCGCGCGCTCTACTTGCGGAAGTTCATGCTCGGCAAAATACTGTTCCAGTACGCACTAATTATAGGAGTGCACGTGTGGATGTTCTTCGTGCTACCGTTCATCACTGAGAGGTGAGATACAACTTTGTCAGTAGTTGAAATTGATAAAAATTACTTTTTAATGACTAAGTAATCTCAAAGTAATAAAAACCAAGAAGATATACTATATAGAACAAACGTAAACCCAGTGGCAGTCATCTAAAAATGGGCATGGATCAATGCCGTATTGAGTGTATTAATCTGTTTTAAGAATGGATGGTGAGAATTAAAAAGAGTTGTACGAGGCGATTATACGAGTTGTCTCTTAATTTGTTTGGTACAAAAAATTAAAACCGGTGTCCACATCGTCATCATATAAATAACTACACATCTCCAATCAGCCTAGACCAAAGAAGAGTTGAAACGGTTTTTTATATTACGTTTTGTTTATAATTAAATTGTACAAAGCAAGTAATGAAAATTAAATTAAATGTTTTGTTGTTCCTGTTACAGAAAATATAGTTACGTAAACGAATATAAAAATTGTAAAACATTATTATAAGTATGACATAGAATAACAATGGGAGGCCGTATCGCTAAATAACGATCTCTTCTGTCCGCGTACCAGATCCGCTGCGGATATCCACGGCCACAAGGTAATAGTTATATAAGTTTTTTTTCTAATGGTACAATTGCTCTTATATACAGAACCTTCAACGCCTTGCTGCCGCCTCCAATGTGGTACATGATGAAGTGCATATATCATTTTACTACTATTTTTCACTGATTCTATTTCAACTTATACTGGACGTACTAAAATTCTAGATCGATAGCCACCAATTGACATTGATCCCTGGATATCCACGGCGAATAATTGGCAATTTCCTCTGCAAGTCATATCACTTCCTCAATATGTTATTCTTCAGAGGGTAAGTTATATTTCTATGTTTGTAAATATGTTATAAAATAGCACACACAATATTTACAGTCTCAAATAATGAATAGTAATAAGTATTCTCCGTGGACTGATGACTAAAAATGGAATCGTTATATATCTTCATCCAATACGAAGTTTCAGATGTATATGAATTTGTAAAAGTTAAACATTCCTCTATATTTAATAAAGGGCAGGTTTTAGATCCAAGTCACGAGGCTGGGCATTTGCCCAAAAATTCCTGATACTGAATTGGCATTGCACTTGAACATTTAAAAGTTACAAGAAAATATAGAAAATAACACAAAAAAAAGACAATTATACCCCGTAAATATATAGAGTAATTTATCAAAAATTTTTATTGAAAAAAGTAAATACTACCACAAAAACATATAATTTTCATATTTATAACAATATAAAATATCATTTCTTCTTATAACTTAGTTATTATTTTATACATCATTGACAAGTAGTTTTTATGGAAAAACAAAATGAAAAAATTAAAAGTATAAAAATATTAATAACAAACATGCATCTAAAATTTAAAAAACTTAAAATATTACTTTATTAATAAAAACACATAATCAAAATAAAATAAATTATGAAAAAAGTTCTATCTCCAACAGTTAATAGATAAAGATATATTTAGACTCCATGAATGTCAAGCACATGAGCACAATTTAATGTGACCAGGGACGGATGTAACCAATGATGACCAAATAAAAATTAACTATGTGAATGATGATATGCATAAAAGGAGAATATGCTCATATGTGCTGTCCGATAGGGACCAGTGGATGAAGACGACGTAATGCGTCAAATTCATATGATGGGATAAATAGATATTACAATGACTCCAGGGTAACTAAAATGAAAATGCGGGAATGGTGGGAACATCATTAGGATAATATCATATTTGATTCCAATAAATTAAAATATTATTACAAAAAAAAATACTAAGAATTTATGGTATTTGTTTATAGCTTTATGGCTGTACCGTTTGTGTTCGAGCTTCGCACGCTAATGGACTGGATATGGACCGACACATCTATGACGTTAATGGATTGGCTCAAAATGGAGGATATATTTGCAAGCGTGTTTTTGCTTAAGGTATATTTATTAAGCAATTCTATCATTTCGGTATTAGGAAATTCAGAATATTCTAAACGCGGAATTTGTGAGTGTGGATAGACTCACACTCTCACTCACAAGCTTCCGCGTTTATTAACTGACTTACTAATGAAAACTGTCTGTATGTAGTGTTCACGGTACATGGAGGATGAATACCCGCAACCCCGCGGTATGAAGAAATCGAGTACGTCCAAATACTTGCTCGGAGGCGGCGTGCTCGCCTTCGTGATCGCTATTATATGGTTCCCATTAGTGTTCTTCGCGTTCGGCAACTCGGCAAGTGATCCTTATATTACGTTTTTTTATGTTAATATAACCTAACTAAGAGTATCGTATAGTTAGGAAGACATGTTCTTTAATAGATGATAATGAAATGATATTTCCGCTTGCGCTAATAGTATATGCCGGCGCGGCGTCCGTGGAGTAACCATGGGATGACCATGAAGTTAAGTCAGTTAACCTACAGTGGTAAATTCATCAGTAATTATCAGGATGGTTTCCGGTTTTGAACGTAACTGCTGAATATGGGAGTGAAATCATAGACTACGGTAGCTTAGTCCTTAGAATGACAGCACATGTCCATTATTGTTAACGGTAGTTCGACTGGTAAGGGGCTAAGTTTTTACGTAGAAAGTATAGGATCAAAGCCCTCTTAGGATGATAATTCCATATATTAGTTATATTTATTTGTTACGATGATATTTTCTGCAAGTATTGTATATTTTTTTATCTGTTTTTATAATAATATAAATGAAATGTTATTTTTCACCATTGTTTCTATTTTTCCACTTCTTTGGTTTTCCACCAAATGTTTCATTCAATAAACTTTAAATAAGTAGAAAAAGTCATCAACAAATGCAGATAGTAAAGACATGCTTGTATGATGTTTATTATATTATGGTACTCGAAGAAGTTCCGTTTGTGTAAGTGTCAGCATAAATCGAGTAATTTTTTCATCAGGTTGGAGAACCAAACCCGCCGACAGATGTCACTGTGAAGATACGCATTGGACCATTCCTCCCTGTCTACCAGATGTCAGCGCAATCCCACAATATTGATCTGTAAGTTTGTTTATTTAATAGGTATTGTTAAAGCTAGTTGAAAATATGTTTATATTATAATAGCAAAAGGCATTGATATTTTATCAATTTTTTTTTTCTTTTTGTTGCTGATTTGTGTTTTCTTTTACTGAAGATACATTAATGAGTACTCAAGTGATACTGAAAATAATTAGGTAGTATTTAATTTAAAATACTCTAATTTCAATGTTTAATAAATAAACACATACACAAACATTATTTCTCTATATTATTATTAATATTCCTTAACTTAACTAGAATAATATAACTGACCATAGCATATATTTAATATACCGGCTTTTTCCTGTCCGATATATCACATGATAATGTGTGTTCGTAGTGATGTATATGTAAAGACAACGGTTATCGCTTACCGTGGTGAACCGTCAGCTTGTTTGCCAAACCAATTAAATAAAAAAGGAACGAATAGGCGATTTGTCTTTATTTTTCTATAATTAATAAGAAACTAATATAAAGTTTTTAAATGTCATGTTCGTTCCCAATACAGTTTCACAGAGCAGGACTACACGCAACTGAGCAATTTGTACGCTCGCGACCGCACCGCGCAGACGTTCCTCTCCAACTATATGTACAACGACATCGCAGTCGTCACGATCAATCCCAATTCGACCATGAAGTGGGAGATCTCCCCGCCGGAACTCGACCGACTTGAACGAGAGGCAATGTCCAGTGAGTAGTATTATTTATTATTACGTGGTGGGTACGCTCTCGAATGTGTCTTCACCTGATGAAATGATAATTTGAAATATTAATGTTTTATTTATATATTTTGTTAAATTACGTAATATACTATACTTATTGTTAAGATTTCAGGCATTTTGTGTTTGTAATAACAATATGTTCTCTTTATATCGCTGTACCTTCAGATATGTGTCCGATGATTTACATCTAATATTAATTTACATTTAGTATTACGTAGGTACATTTACGTACTCGCCTAATCGCGACAGTGGGTCAGATGTTTGCTGCTGTCGGTCTGTCGTTGGCGAAATGTTAATAACAGTCCATGATTGTGTAACACGTTTGACAGTGCAATTGAAATATATATATACTTATATAATATTCGTGTGAAGCCATCGTATGCGTACCCGTCCCGTAGTCGTATTTGTAAATCACCATTTATTGACAATAATCAAACATTACATTAAGCAAAGCATTAATTAAAACATCATCAATTATTTTATTTTATAAAGGTGTCGTGTTATAAATATACACTTTTATAATTATATATTTTCTCAGCATTTATTAGTGTATATGTTGAGCCATATTTAAAACAATAAACTGTGTATTTACATATACAAACAGTCTTACATTTTTTGTCTCGTCGTGATTTTATTATATGTAAAGATAAAATAAATAAAAAAACAAATTACTTGTGTGTGTTGACAGATGCCTCCCTATTGGTGAAGTTCACCTTCGTGATCACTCACCCAACGAACGCTGTGCCGAACCCGCCCACCATCGAAGATCACCGCGAAGTGGCACTCGATGCCTTCGTAGATAATAAACCCAATCCACAGAGAGAAACGCTGCTGAAACTACTCTCCGGAACAGCTGAGCCAGATGCATGGTCTGTTTGCATAGTTATTAAATACTTATTTAAGATTTAATTACATAAAAAGTCTGCTTCAATGTCTATAAAATTACTATGGTAAATATAAGGATGAAAACAATTGTAACGGAACGAATTTGATGTCACGTGAACTGCAAAATAATATTTAAAAAAAATCTACTGGACAAGCATCTTTGTGTTGCTCATGAACGAATGATCTGTTCAACTCACAGCTGATTTATTTTGTAAACTATTAGTTTAGTAATGATTTATGAGTACTGATTTATTTAGTTATTATTGTATTTGATTCTGTTTTTGGCAGTTTACATTCACATAAAATTAGAATTGAATAAAAAAAATCTTATAGAAGACAAATTATTTATATGTTCTTAACATAATTTCAATATTTTTTGTTTTTTTATCAGGTTGCATGTGAAAAAAATGTTCCCTAAGTTTGTCAAAGTATTCAACAAGGGAACAGCCAAAGCGGCGTATCAGCTGATGCCCGAAGTACCTGACGACCCCGGTATATAAATATTCTTAATTTCACATTCCTTCTAGTATGCATATTTTACATACATGAATATTTGTTTTTTTTTATTATTTTGAATCAAACAAATGTATATATGGCTATTATCATTATGACTATACTTAGGTGTCTAGCACACTGTCTTACTTCCGATAGTCTCAATTTCGATTCCTGTATAATACAAATATTTGTATATATGACTATACCTGTTTTAGTCGGGATATATTACAAAATATTAAGTATGTCTATGGAACCAAATCAATTTCATGTGTACTGTCAAAGATTATTTATTGGCCACATTTGCATATCCTTATATTTAAGTTTGTGCTGATATTACCAGTATCATAAGTATGTCTATATAACACAAGAAATACTAATGATTAGTCATTTTACACATTTTTTCAGACGAAGACGCACGGTTGTTCCGCGACGTGCAACTCCGTCTAGAAAGAGACACTAATGGCATGTACTGGCGAGTACGCGAGTACTGCAAACCAGGGCAGGTGAGTTGTTACTATTTTATTAATTTATATATTCATCGATTAGTTTTGTAAAGATACCTGATATACAGTATAGAAAATATTAACATCTTGTTTTTATTTATAATTCAAACCTTTTTATAATATACATATCGTTAAATATTTTGTTTGGCTACTTCATAATGAATTATAATTTTTAAGGACCCGTTAACATCGATTCCAATGAACAATTGCAACATGCTGGTCATGTACACTTTCAATGACAAACTGTTCCCCGAGACATTAAACTTTATTTCTGGCAGTGGGTGAGTATCTGTATTAATATATAATAGGTATATAGATTTAGTAATTTACTTCACAACCATTATAGAACTTAATTTCATTTCCATTCTTCTTCTGCTTTCGTTTTCATTAAAAATATGAATTATGGTAAATGTAGATTATAAAATGTAGGACCCTCACCACCCTTTGTCATATGATGCTGAATTTTGTTAACTCCGCACCTTAACATGTGACATAATTATGGATCACCATAAATATTTTTTTTATTGTTATAGTCGTGAAGTACTGATGTAAGCTTTACGTCAAATTAGAATGAAGTTAGGTACTTTATTACAAACATTTTTACAGAGATTACCTTTACCTATTACTAATATACCTAAAGATTATGCAATAAAAAGAAAAATATTACGAACTAATAAACGAATGAACTAAAAATAGCTATGTGGTTAATTTAAATGCGGTCGAAGTGGGATCAAGAGGTATACCAGCGAAATCTTTCTAATCTTATAAAAAATCTTGGCCTGTCTAGAACTGCAGTAGGTACTATACTAGAACATCTATAACTAAAACTGCACTAGCAGGCTCTTACCAGATTTGACTGGGCAAGGAGAGAAACACGAGCGGTGAAGGTGAGAATTGATGTACGTCGGCAAGGGGCCTCGTAAATCTACACCTGGGTCACAAGTTCCGGGAACTGCTCGGAGTTTCCCTCTCTGCCACACGATCGACCAGGCTCCCGCACGGAGAATCCGAGGAATACTAAGAATTTCGTCTTTTATACAATTGCAGAATCATCGGCTTGTATACCACATTTGTGTTCTTGGCGTCTCGGGTTCTTCGAGGCTTCTTCTCTGGCATTTACACAAAGATAATGTTCGACGACTTACCGAACGTCGACAGGGTTCTGCAGCTTTGTCTAGATATTTATTTGGTGAGTATAATGGTAATAATAAATGTTGCACAATATCAGTAATCACCTAAACATCGTCACTAGAACGTTAGTCAGTCAGCAGTACTACGGTAGATAGTAGATTAAATAGTTGTTTAACTATGGTAAATTAATAATGAATTTTAATTTTCATAAGATATAGATGTATGAAATAACAACCCTAATGATAGTAGCGTGATATTAAGCCATATACCTACAGCCTCCTCGATGAACATTGCAAAATGATTTTTGAAAATCAAATCAATAGTATAGTTTACCTCTTTATAATTTTAGTATAGATTGATTGATTCATTGCAAGCATACGATAATTTTCTATTAAATTCACAGGTGCGTGAGGCTCTGGAGTTGGCTCTCGAAGAGGATCTATTTGCAAAACTGGTGTTCTTATACAGATCACCTGAAACTATGATAAAGTGGAGTCGACCCAAGGAAGAGGACACCGAAGAGCAAAGGGCACTGCCACCGTCGCGTTGATTTGTTTTGAATATACCTAGTCAATATAACTTACAGATGGTGTGCTTCCCACCCCTTTTGTTATTCCACAGTTATCTATTCTATAATCTGTAAGCATTTCGTGCTAACGTTTTTATAAAAGGTACCTTAGTTAAATGGCGCTAGTGTTGGTATTACCTTATTATTTGTATGCCGTGTGATAACAAAAGGAGCTCGATTAGCTTCTCTAGATAGAGTACATTTCTATTAGCGTTATAGCTAATAGAAAAATCCCAACGGCATGAAATCAACATGGAAAACGAATACTCGAGCTGCGTAACTACATTCTTAATTTGAACATCATGCTAGTCATGTCGTTAATAAAAATGTACTTTATAAGACTGAAGACAGTTTAAACACGAATATTTATACACGAGTTACTGTCTTACATACAATAATACCTTATGGTATAGCCCAGTATACGTTTACATACACGGGTTGCGTCTATATATAGTTATATATAAATTTTACAAGACTAAAGGCATTGCATCGAGATCCCTGCACTTTGCAGTTGCGTAGTTAGATACGTAAGTTGTACAGACATATTTAAAGTTAATTTAAGAATAACTCAATTATATTGGGAACTTGTTACACAATTGATTATAAAATTATGGAAGTACCTAATTATAAAATATGAAATGAAATATCGATACGCACACTTTTAATGTCTTTGTGTAGTAGATATACCTAATTTTGCAGTTTCTATATTCCTATTTTTGGCTTAGTGTTTAATATTTCAATGCAATTACTTACAAATTAATTATATTTATACAATTAGGTAGCTTACACCATAGTTATAATATATATATTATTTAATTTGAATAAAAAATAAGGCCGATTGTATATATATATATATATGTAGTTCCAATTGTATATACCTGCAAAATGTTGTTTCCTGGAATAGAAAAATTTACAAGTTATATAATTTATTTGTTTATACCATATCTCGGAAAAATACCTTTACCGTTCGTTGACCAAGATATTATTATGCTCTCTTCATTTACCGGTATGGTTTATTTTAATTTAAAATTAATGAGATCTTATCTTATTGAATCTACTATACTTTTATTTACAAAAATTTTTAATTATATAAAATTGCTTAGTAAATTTCTTTGAAAGGTTATGCTTGTTATGAATATGGGGGTAAAAAAGAGGTCGGGGCCGTTACATAAAAATTAGTATAATAAAAAAACTTTATATTGAATGAATAACATTTATTAAAGGGATAAAATCTAGCCTAATTTATAGTACTTAAAATAAACGCATACATTTGTTTAAAGAAAAGTATTTTCAGAAATATAAAAAAATATTCAAATAATTTCATAAGAGTCCCGAACGTGGTATTTTCAATATATTCGTTAAATGACGTCCTATAGAAATGAAACTAAGCAATTATTAAATTTAAGGGATTGTGTTCTTTCCTGAGGCATAAAATGGAAGATTTGAATGAATATCTGAAATGAAATTTTATCTTTTACTTTGGTTCGGGTTACCCTTATGAAAGGCATTATTATCCTTTTTTACAAATTAAAATGTTTTATTAAATCAATATCGTATATTATTATTAAATGAGGAAACACCACTAGTGTTTTAAATAAACAAATGAAATAATTTGAAGCAAATTTTAAATCTTAAGATATTGATGTAAAGAATGTTTTAGATGCTACTTGTAAAATAGGAAGTAAATATCTTTTAATTTTTGTAGGCGTTTCTGTGACAAAAAATATGTTCTGATCTAGGCTTACACTACCTACACAAGCTCACATTTAATGCATTTTTAGGTAATTACATACATTATGCTCTATGTTGATATTACAGTTAGGCCCGTAACATTCAATAATTGTAAGTACTAATTATAGACCAGTCACATGTTATTTAAAAGGGCAAAATTTTATATTACACAAAATATCTACCTTATACAAAAATATATATATGGATTACACTTTTAGGTAATATTTCGTCAATTAGCTGGACAAAATCTGTTTTTATAGTTGTACAAATTTCGAGATATCAGATTCTTATTCCTATTGGCTGTAACTTGTTAAAACTATAAAAAATGTGTTAAATGTATTAATTTACCCTGTTTATATTTTATTGATAAATTTTATATTTCTGTTACTCATAACTGTTATTTAATGTATATATAAAGAATAAATGCACTTCCATAATAATATATGAATGAAATTTGTTTAAATATATACCTCAAGTCTTAAACATTGCATTTGATAACTTTTTAAATTATTGAAGTATGAAAGATTATTATACATTTTATATCATGAAAGCTACATTTAATGTCGTCGATTTGTGTTAATAAAAAGTATATGAAATTTTAAAGATTTTTATTTATGATTATTTTTAGTTCAACTGTAGATATTCATATTAGAACAGCTAAAACTTAATTTATCACCATCAATCTTGGTGCTATATTCATGGACATAAGTTCCTGGAAAAGTAATTTTGCAGCGTATGGCAAACGGATTTGCGAAATTTGTGTTTTGTTTTTACAGCCTTTACATTCAAAAGTGTTGTTACGTAAATTGGCGATAGCTATTAAGCCACAAAAGTTGCATACATGAATTCGGTAAGGATCCGAAACTTCAAAAAGTCGCTCGCGTAGGAACTGAGCGGCACCGTGTGCAATTTGACAGTCGCGTTCCATTTCACCGAAACGCAATCCACCGTCTCTAGCTCTTCCCTCCATGGGTTGTCTAACCAAAATTTGGACAGGTCCTCTCGCTCTTGAGTGAATTTTATCATCCACCATATGCTTAAGACGTTGGTAGTAAGTGGGACCCAAGAAAACTTGAGCATTAATCTTACGTCCTGTGTGTCCGTTATACATTACTTCATTGCCACGAAGATGATAACCATATTCTTGAAGCAAGGAAGAAATTTTTTGTACGTTGACAGCATCATTAAATGGCGTAGCATCACCAATTTCTCCTTTATTCGAGGATACTTTTCCTTGGATGCATTCAATTAAATGTCCAATTGTCATACGAGATGGAATGGCATGAGGGTTAATAATTATGTCTGGTGTCAAACCTTCACAAGTGAAAGGCATATCCTCTTGTCGGTATTGTATACCACATGTACCTTTTTGACCATGCCGAGAAGCAAATTTATCTCCAATTTGCGGAATGCGAACTGATCGTACGCGAATTTTACAGAATTTATATCCCTCACTGTTTAGTGTTAACATAACTTGGTCTACAATACCCGTTTCACTATTACGTAAGAATGTAGATGCATCTCGTTTGGTGAAACGTTTAGTGGTACCTTCCAATTCATCATCATTTTCAGGCAATGTGATTGTTTTACCAATTACTACATCATCACCAGATACTCGAATTCCTGGGGCAATAATCCCATCGTCATCTAATTTGTCATACAATGCATTTCTCATTCCTTGACAAGTTTGTCTAGTTGGTTTTTCAAATTGTTCTTCTTGATCCCCTATTCTTTTTGATTCTGAATCTTTGTAAGAACGGTAAAATACAGACCTGAAAAATCCTCTTTCAACTGCTGATGCATTCAAAATAACACTATCTTCTTGATTGTACCCAGTGTAACATAAGATTGCAACAATTGAATTAATGCCAGCTGGCAATTCTCTGAAACGCAAATACTCCATTGATCTAGTAGTGACCAATGGTTTGTGTGGATAATATAAAACATGAGCCAATGTGTCCATACGAACGTGGAAATTGGTAATGTACACACCCATGGCTTGCTTACCCATAGCACTTTGATAAGTGTTCCTAGGACTTTGATTGTGATCAGGGAATGGAATGATAGAGGCACAGACACCTAATATCATGGCTGGATGAATTTCACAATGTGTATAAGTAGTACAGTAGGCATATTCTTTAAGTTGCGCCAGATCATCTGGACTCATAGCAATCATTACAGTTTCCTCTTCTAGGGTGTCAATATATTCTACAACACCACTAGCTACAAGGTTTTGCCATCCATAATTGTTGTAATCTCTTTCTTTAAGGTTGTCAATATGTTTCTTCTTTAATAAAAGGGCTCCATTTTCAACAATAAGCAATGGACGACATATTCTTCCAGCATCTGTATAAATTCTAATTTCTCTGTCTCGGATATCACGGATCATGCTTACTTCTGATACAATGATGTCCATTTGACGTCTAAGTTTCCTCAATGTAGCCATAAGTTGTTCAGGGTCTCTATGAATCCCGACCCAACAACCGTTTACAAATATCTTTGTTGCATCTGCAATTGCAGAAGGAGCAATTTCTTCCAGATTTTCCATTGACCACTCCTCTAAGAACTCTAAGATAGGAGAAGGTTGACTGCCTACAGATATATAGGCCATTAGAGCCAAATTTTTTACAAGCCCGACAGCAGCACCCTCTGGGGTTTCTGCAGGACATATCATACCCCAAAGTGTATTATGTAGCTGACGAGGTTTGGCTAGTTTTCCATCACGTCCAATAGGTGAGTTGACGCGGCGTAAATGTGATAATGTTGATGCAAAGGTCAGTCTATTTAATACCTGTGATACTCCAGCTCTGGCTTGATGAGCTTTTTTCTGATCACCCCAATTGCCCGTAGCAAGTGAATAACGCAACCCATCAGTAATAATTTTTGTTTTAATGGCTAATTCAAGATTGAAATCTTTTCCTCTGTCAATGAACTTTTGAGCATACATACGCACTTCTTTCAATAAGTTTTTGAAAAGACCTCTGAACAGGAAAGCCAGTAAGGGTCCAGCCAAATCCAATCTTTTATTTCCATAATGATCTCGATCATCTAATTCTCTGCGACCCAGAGCTGCTAGCAGAAGTCTATGCACCATATAACCCAAGAAGTAAGTCTTCTTAGTTTCACAAAAGTCTGACACTCCAACATGTGGTAACATTTCCTTTTGTAGAATCTCTCTAGCATATTTGATACGCTTGTCTTTTGTTACACCAGGACGAGCCCCACGGGAACCAATAAAGTTCAGAGCTACATTTTGTTCTTGAAACACAAAAGCTTCATCTAATGATGGTTTCACCATTTCCATCATTTCAGGATCATCAAAGTCATAAATAATGTGTTCCAATATATCTCTGTCAGCTACAAATCCAAGTGCTCTGAACACAATCATGATTGGAATTTCTTGTTTAATATATGGGACAATAGCAATAATTCGCTGTCCTATAGCTGATTTCTTTATGCTCTGACCACCCCTGGCCATCATATTTACCCATAATGTTGAAGTTGGTCTTGAACTGTGCTCAAGACAAGAACGAATCTCTGTTTTATAAGCATATTTTCCATCTTTCATACTGAACACATACACAGTATTTGTTGCCATTTTCTCTTGAGCTATTAAAACTTTTTCGGAACCATTGATTATGAAGTAGCCACCAGGATCAAGTGGGCACTCATTCAACTCTGTTAAATCTCTGTCTGTAAGATGGCTCAGGAGGCAATATGTAGATCTCAGCATAATTGGAATCTTCCCAATAAAAGTCTTTTGATGTTGTGTTTCAATAGGATCTTCATTTTCTTTTACAATAGTCTTTGTTATATCCACATACAAAGGAGCAGAATATGTAAGATTACGAAGACGGGCTTCATTTGGCATCATGGGAGATGGAGCGCCATCTTTCTCCCAGTGGGTGGGTTTTGATAAATAAATTTGGTCAAATTTTAACAGATATCGTGGTGGAGTTTCGATTTCGCCGGATGAATGTTGTGCTTCTGCTTGTAGTTCGATTGGTGGGGAATCTTCTACAATTCGTTGTACGGACATCTGGATAAATTCATCGAAGCTGTCCAATTGTTGTCGTACCAATCCTTTTTCATCAAAATACGCGTTGATGACAATCCAACAGGCTTCTTGCCAAAGCTCCGAAGAAATTTCTTCCACATCTTCTTCTTCATATTGATCGTCCTCCGTATCATACATTATAGATTCAGAGAAATTATATATTAGTGAATATTAATAACATTAATTTTAGGTTTAAACAGTGGTTTGTGTAAGCAAGCACAAAACGAGTACACAAAACCAATCACTACACTTCTATATCAAGAATGCTCGGATCGCAAGTTCACTGGCGCTCAACCTGAATGTTAAGTCGTAGAATGAATTTAATGAACGAATGAATGACAGTAAAATAAACACCGGCAAAGCAAACCGGTAGACTGACAATCACATTTTTTTTCTACGTTAAATAGATTTACGGCTTCGGATATTTGGGTAATCAACAAAAAACCAGCCTATTTATTAATTATTGTAATCTATCTTTTTATTAATTATTATTACATTACAGAGTGTCCTATATGTTTAAATGAATTTAGGGACAATATTCATGTGTTTCAACTCTAGGTTCTATGGAAAGCTATTTATACCACAAAATTGAAACCTAAATAAAGATATTCATTCGGTGGCATGGGGTCCATACCATAATGGGTCCTAATTCTATTTTATATGTTGATTCTGATAACTGAAAACTTTGTGGTAGAGGCTTTATATTGTCCATTACTTTTATCATCAAATTGCATGTCATTTAATTGAATGACACCAAAAATAACACAAACTAGTCACAGAGGATTAAAGCACACAATCTGTATACCAAACAAATATCTGTCAGTGTCACGTCATTGTCATCTTTAGATCTCGTCTCATCTATCTTTAGTCGATCTGATTCTTACTTTTTTTTTAATAATTCCTATACAATTTCTAAATTTTCAAATATTAATACCTGAATAGTATAGCTTTAAAAGTTATGTATTTTAATATTATTATTTCTTGATCGTTGTAAAGCCTGTTTCTGACGTTACCTCATCATCGTGATGTTTTGTTTGACTATATTCATATCTGGTGGAGTTCGATTGATGTAGTACAATGATTCATATTGTATGTTTTTCTGTGATTTTATATATTTACTTTGCTTTTGTTTCCATATAATTACTTTCAAGTATTGAGTATGGAGTCTTCTCGAAGAAATAACTCGGAAGATCAACGATGCATACTTGGACTTCAAGATTTAAAACTATCAAACAAAGATGAGGACGGTACTGAGCAAGCGCACGGCGGCGCGACTTCTAACTCGAGCACACTCGGCAAAAGCCGTTCGGTTGGCGCAATAGAGAGTTTTGTCTTGGACAACACCCAGGCTAATCGACTAGATTATAGTTTTTACGAGAGATCAAATGTTATAGCAGCCTCTAAATTTGCAACACCGAAGCGAGTCGAGACAATTGCATCGATAAATAAACGCGATATAAACACAGCAGCGTTGCCCGCTAGCCCTACGCGTTCTATCGATTCATTATCGCAAAGGTCATTAAGTTATCAAACTGAAGACTTGTATGAGATTCCTGCAAATCCCAACACTCAGTATCCGCCGCCCGTGTATGAAAATATTGATTATTATAGTGACCAAAGGTCAACACAAGCACCTTTTTATCACCAACTGTACCAGCACGGTCTGACGCCCTCTGTTTCCGAGGGCTATTACGACACGCGTTATAGTAAAGCCCAACCTCAGGTGCCAGTCAGCTCCAAACCTAAAATAACACCATCTGTGTATGAAAATATGCTTTGTAGTGATAACAGTGAAAAGAGACGTGATTACAAACCAACTCAGGTACATGAGCAGCACTACATACAGCAAGGATCCGTTCCGGGCCCACAAGTGGCCAACAGTCATATAAATAAAAATGTGTCACAAATTAAAAATGATAATGTTGGAAAAATAGACAAAGCTCCGCCACCACCCTACAACTCATCAGACAATAATCCTAGCAGTGACTATACAGTTATGAAGTCAGCTCCCCCTAAATATACTGATGTGACTGCTCTCTTAAAGAGTAATTCTACTGTCAGTTTTGATGACAAAGTTGTTACAATTCCATCCACTGCTATTTACGCTTCAATTGCTCCAAGTGCTCAAAGGCCTAAAGCCAACATTGCTACTGAAGTCCAGACTGCTACAGCAAGTCCAAAATTTTTCCATCATAAACCAAGTATTGCAAGTGGTCTAGGTAAAGAGAAATCAGGTTTGGCTAATGGTGGCTATACTGCAAAGCCAGTTGTTGGTAATAGAATGCAGATAGTTGATGATGTGAATGGTTCTGATTATGTGTGCATGACAGGAGGCCAATCCCCTGCAGCTGTAGCGGCCAATAAAGACAATGTTTCAATAAATTCAGAATCAGTTGGCTCTCGGAACTTAGTGTCTGGGATGACATCTTTATGTTCCCCTGCACAGTCACCTGCACCAAGTCCCACTCCTAGTTCTGTTTCACAATTATCTGGTGGCTCTAGAGGTTCAGGAGGGAGGGGCAAGAGTTTATTACCTTACAGTATTACCCCCCCACGTCCACCTGGGCCGAGTGAAGCTCAACGTAAAATTGAGGAATTAACAAGACAGCTAGAGGAGGAGATGGAAAGGCAAGATGAGGAGGGTGAATATTTTGGTAAGTTGTGATAGGATAAAGGCAAGGCAATCCTTTCTTTTCAATATATACTTATACTCTGTTGGTGCCTGAGTGCAATATGACTGTGTTATTTACCGATAATTTAGATTTTCATTGGTGAAAGCATTTTTAAAATTCTTTTAGAGTTTTCATTATAAACATATATACACATAACATGAACATACAAAATTAAAATCTTTACTCTTTCTAATATATCTAAATTGCACTATTAGCCTAATAGAGAATTTGAGATTACCTACCTACATATCATATGTTTACAACATTCACCCTTACACACTTACAATAATACAAAACATATGTCTTGTTTATAATAAAATTCCATTTGTACTTATAAGCAACAATAATATTTTTTATGCAGGTATATGCCATACATGTGGTGCGGGTGTAACAGGAGCAGGACAGGCTTGCCAGGCGATGGGCAACCTGTACCATACCAATTGTTTTATTTGCTGCTCATGTGGCAGGGCACTACGCGGCAAAGCATTCTACAATGTACATGGCAAAGTGTATTGTGAAGAGGATTACTTGGTGAGTTGAAATTGTGTGTATAAAATAAATATGTGAGAATTTATAGGGGATGTTTTAAGTTAATGTTCTTTTTTGTTAAGTTTATCATCCGGCTATGGCCAGTGGGATTGTAGGGATGTCTAATATATTATTTTATTTTCTTATTTCAGTACTCAGGATTTCAACAAACTGCAGAGAAGTGTGCAATTTGTGGACATTTGATAATGGAAATGGTGAGAAAAATCTTTTTTATATTACTTGACATGACATTATTACTTTAATTGTTGCAAAGTACTAAGAAGCAGTAGATGATTTTTAGATGAAACTTTTGCTGGACAAACTATGTATGCTTCCTATGTAAGTAAGGTTATTAAAGTATGGTTGCTATGGCAGGTTAGGCTAGGCAAAAATTAATATCAATACACAATATGAACATCAATTTTATTCATATGAAGTATATCCCTTTAATTTTTGGTATTCCAGATCTTGCAAGCAATGGGAAAATCATACCATCCAGGTTGTTTCCGGTGTTGTGTATGCAACGAATGTTTGGATGGTGTGCCCTTCACAGTGGATGTTGACAACAAGATTTACTGTGTCAATGACTACCACCGGATGTTTGCGCCCAAGTGCGCAAGTTGCGGTAAAGGTGAGTGATAAATGAACGAGTATCTACAATATAATATATACGAAACATCTTATATTCCCACTCATTTAAATTTTACATCATAATTTATTTTGTAATTCCCGCGAATTACCTATCAGATAATTGTCTGCGGAATAAATTAAACACAAAAGGTATAATGTTAGTTTGAGATATTTGTATAAAATTTAAATTTATCCTAAAAATAAGATACTAAATATGAACAAACATTCAGAGGATTATGTACACGCCCATTATCTTATCTATATAAAATGTAGCATCAGATAATCCATATGCATGTGCAGATATGACAATTCCTCAAATTAATTAAATATGTATTTGGATCATATTATATATAAATTGCTTTATATTGACTTTATTACATAGTATAATATAAAGTCGCCGTCCTGTCTGTCTGTCCCTATGTATGCTTAAATCTTTCAAATTACTCATCGGATTTTGAATTAGTTTTTTTAATAGATAGAGTGATTGAAGAGGAAGGTTTATATATGTATATATTAATTACATGTACACCCGTGCGACGCCGGGGCGAGTAGCTAGATAAGAATAAAAGACTTATGAAATGAACTTTTTTTTTGTTTTGGCTGTAATAAGGTGTATTTATTTAGGTATCACACCGGTTGAGGGAACGGATGAAACAGTCCGAGTGGTGTCAATGGACCGAGACTTCCATGTGGACTGCTACATGTGTTGTGTGTGCGGCATGCAACTAACTGACGAGCCTGACAAACGCTGCTACCCACTGGCCGGTAAGTAATTGCAACCTCATATACAGGCTATAATAATTCTTAAAAAAATATATATTATAATATATACTTTTAAAAATTTTGCTCCAAAAAAATAGACCCATCCCATATGGAATGATAAAGTCTCGTTTCTTCGTCAGATCCCTCCTCCACTTTCGTCTGTCGTTGCCAGGCGAAAATTTAAGATGTAAAGTTGAAATAACTTGATCATCCGACTTCTCCACTGGATTTTGCAATTACTTTCTATTTCCAACACTCAAAAAATATTTTCGTGAAAAGCAAAAATAATAGATACCTCAAACAGCTTCTTTGAGGGATTCGATTAATCTTATTGTGAAGGTGGATGGGTACGATTTAGCATATTTCTAGAAGTTCTAAATAGTACAGTCATTATGCAGAGAAATTAGTAAAAAAATGTTTTCATTGTAGTTTTTATAGTTTTCGTTGCCTGGTACTTAAGCTGATCCATGTATATATTTTTAGGCGATTTCAATAACAATCAAGATGAAGACCGAGGGAAAGAGAGACATAATAATCTCTCTCTCTCTCTCTTACGTCACGTATGTTGTAATTTTAATTAATCTATATATTAAACTGCTATCAGGTCGGCTTATGTGTCGCTCCTGTCACTTGGCTACCATCGGCGCTGCTTCAGGACCTGGCCAGCCACCAGCACCGCATCTATCACCGGCCTCTTATCAGTACATGGGTTGAGCTCCTGTTTTTACAATTCCGATTTGGCAGCTCTTATTCAGTACTGAGGCTTGCTCAAAATTGGTTAATATAGTTAAATAATGTAACATATACATTTGTTAACTTAATGAAATTTAAGGCTTTAAGCGACGTTAACTCAACTTTATTGTGGTTAAAGAGATTTTCCTGGTCTAAAATATTTTTATGTTGAAAACGGCCTACCATTTAAAATTTTTAGTGATCCCTTTAATGACCTTTAAATGTAAGATTCGAAAAAGTTTGCATTGTAACAATCTTGTTAAAATAATTGAAACAAATCTATAATATAATGCTTTAAACTATTTACTAGAGCGTCAATAGCAGTCTCATAAAATTTACGTGAGTTTTAGTTCTACTGTATATGTAACACGCCCTTTTATCAGCCAACGCAAAAAGTAAGATGAAGAGTCATGTATTTGTGAGTCTGCTTGTCGCAACGTAGTTTCCAATCTAATGAACCAATTATAATCCCTTTTTTTTATTGTTTGAAATCCTATGTGATCGTTATCTTACCTATAATATATTGTTTTTCATAAAGGGGTTACTTACAATTTTATAATTATTTTCTGTCGCTGACTGGTATAAAAACTCCGCACTGTGTATTTTCTCTGAATTCACTGTTATAGTGCTGTAGAGATCGACTTTTTAGCTGATCTCGCAGAAATATTTTAGAGGCTTTAATGCTGAAGGAGGATGGTTATATTATGTCAAAATTCAGTCAATGATATATTGTTCGTGTAACTATTACAATTTGTATGTAAAACATGCTAAAATTATTGAATTTATAATGAGTTAAAGATGTATAGTATACAAATTATTACAAATCACAATTATTGTCACCGTTACAATTTGGCAACTGTTAGTGTCATAAAACAATGTTATTAAAAATGGTTTATTAAGAAAAAGTAAACATATTAATGATTGTACTTTTTAACGTTTATCAGTATTTGTACAGATTGTTTTTATCTGTACCTGTAAAACAAACATGTAGTGTTATTAGTAGTACATTTTAAACCATTTTAAATATATACCCCCTAATCGTAAGATTTAAAGCTCTTACAAATCCTATTTAGCTAGAAATGTTTTGTGACTTTCTTTCAAATTAAGAAAATAACACGAAAGAAAGTAACTAACTCTTTAAAATAGCTTAAATGGGTTTCTTATGCGCATGACATTTACATAAAGTGGGGGTAATTGAATTAGTAGTATATAAATACCTGTTATAGAATAAGTTCCATTTAGAATTAAGAGCAAATGGCAAGATATTATTTAAATAGTTATTAAACTGCTTGTAGTATTCTACAAGTACACCTACTGCGACTTAGTTTAAGGGGAACGTACAATTAGAGAAATGCAATCGTGTCACGAAATAGTAGAGGTTTAATTATGTAACGATGTTGTTACTAATTCGGAATTGTAACGAATTAAAATTGATGCGTTTGCGATTTTCTCTGAACTATTTGAGAATTGGAGAAGGGAGCTAAGTTGTAAAGTTTTCAATTTTAATATGTTCCTAATATAACTGAAATGCAATTGAAAACTGCTGAGAATTGTATGTAATATAGTTACGTAATTAAGGTCAAAAATGTGACGTATATGATTATAGCGTTTTTGTCCAAAGCGTTTTTTATCACTCCATATGTTCTGCATATAAAGACGTCATATTCTGCGGTCCAACGATTCGTGTCACGGTTGCGTAGCCTGAACTGTATTTATAAACTAACAATAATATGAATGTGACTTTAAGACAGTATAATTTGCCTAAAATATTTGTGATATCATTAGATTAATTTCTTATTTGCTGCTTCAATAAATGTAGGATAGACATTTTTGAACAAGATATGATTGCCAGTTTTAATATTTTGCCATAATTCTGTAATACTGTAAAGGGGATATAGGAATAGTGGAGTTTTAATATATACGGAATCTAAATCTTGTTACAGAACAAATACAACAATAAAACAAGGATGTCTTGATGGGTTTCATGTTCACTACAAAATAGAATTTTGGATGCATTTACTAATTATACATAATAATGAACACTAGACATGGCAGCACACCTGGTAATTTTCAATTATAATTCTATTGTGATATTCCACCTGATTTGATATTTAGTGCTATTAGTAAGAAGTGTTTATTAATTCTTGTAATGTCACAAAACTATTTATATTAGATGGAGCAACACTAAGCATTCCAGTTATGTGCTGTCCTGTTGTGTACTTAATGTAAGTAATTATATAAGTTGTTTTTTATATCTGTACATTTTGAATATGTGATGATTCGTATGTTATGATTACGATACAATAAAATAAGAAAGGATTTTGTTAGGAAATTTTCTTTTTATAAATATTTAAACAATAAAATTTTCCAAAAGGATATTTTGTTTCATTATCTTCTATCCACTCCTTCCAACAAACGCTTATGTCATCCACTGACTTCCCACGAATTCTACATCGTTGGTCTATCTAGAAAGAGGACGATCCTTGAATCGTGGTGTTGTACGTGGTTTCCATCGTTCACAGTCAACGGACGTAACGCATCACTTTTTGAGAACTATATCGGACCTTTTTATATTTTAATATTAGGTCCTGTCCCGCAGATGTAATGAACATAACAGTCTCCACTGTTTTATGTTGTTATATAATATTATGTACTTTGTCGCTACCTAATTTACGCACCAGCTAGTGAACAACAATTAATAGAAGTCGTCATCAAAGATCACAGTCAATACCAAACGCAATTGATAGTTGATAAAACTTGTGTATATGGTTCAATATTGAGAATGAAAGTAGTCTATTTTATTGCTAGTAATGTATGTTAGATTACTAGCAATAAAATCAAGTCATGTGGGCCGTGCATACCTTCTGAAAATCATTATAGTTAATTTCTAATTTATCATGTTAACTGATAAGGCAGTGTTTTTTTTTTGTGGATGATAATGGAATGGTGCACTTTGTCATCATGAGATCAGGTCAGTTAGCCCATCGTGACAAATTCACCAGGAATTTATCACGATGGTGGAGGTCGACCTGACATGATACATTGCTAGCAATGGGGTTATCAATCCACATTACTAACAATCCCCTTCCCCCCGATAAGGCAGTGTTCATTTTGTCATCTATCACTACCACAAGTGCTTCGCTAACATACTATTACTGTTCATAAAGTCTTTCAGGTTTATACTTAAATAAAACGAAATCAATTAAATTTCATTTAAACATTTATTAAAATATCAAGATATTTTTTCATAACTATAAACAGCCCTTAGGGTTTAAAATATGTAAATAATAATTTATTGGTTAAACCGTACATAAAGTAGATGAGGCAACATTAAGTTATTTTATCAAATATCATAAATATATTCACATTTTTTTCACCTTGTTTTTCATATTTCGCATTTCGGTCTTATATCGTCGCATCTCGTCCATTACTTGGGTGCTTTTCTCTTTCATCTGTACCTGGTAGTGCTCTTTGCTTTCCTTAAGTTTATCCTGTATGGTGTCCTTTTTCTCTTGAAGCAATTCTTTGATGCGCTCCCTTGAGGGTACAGGCTTAATCCAACCTATTGCTGTTAACTTTTTAATAGCAACTGTTGTTCCACCTAGAAGAGAAAATAGATTCTATATAATAATATAAAACAACTTGATACCTCTTATGCCTTTGGTATTATTCAAAGTAATTTAATCAAATTTTTATAAATATATAATAAAAAAAAGTACATATTATTTATTTATAAAATGTAGTATACATTTTATAAATAAAAAATGATTAGTGATTTATATAAAAATAAAAGTAGCTCTACATATGATTCAAGATAAAAAGTAACCATGTGCAGGACATGGTTCATGTTTGTGACAAATTTAACTCAAATCTGTACAGTTGTAACTTATAATTATAAATAACTTGCTGTGCCCGCAGTTTCATTCCTGTGAAATTTATAGCCTATATGTTATTGTGATGTATAAGCTATATTACTGTAATGATTCATCAAAATCTGTTTAGTAGTTTTTGTGTAAAAGAGTAACAAACATCCATCCATACTCACAAACTTTCACATTTATAATATTAATAATGGGTAAACAAAAAAATAGCCAATATTTATTGTGCAAATAGCTATCCTAACAACTAACTAACAATGTATCTTAACAAATATGAGCAATTAAATACATTTATCCCTTTGCCATGATTGGCTTACATATTTCATAGTTCTGTAGTGATTATATTTTAGTACAGAATATAGTTTGTATGAATACATGTAAAATTTCATTAACATCATTCACCTGTCAAAAAGTAAAAACAGACAGACAATTTATAATATTAGTATGGATTAGTTTATATCTACTAACTATATAACTAGTTTATATAACACTTTTTATATTATTGACAGTTTGTCATTCAACATCATGGAAATGCTTTGGATTGAGTTTAGTTAATAATAAGCATGTTTTTTATCTACTTGTTACAGTGTCTACTTATTGATGTGATGAGCTGGCTAGTAAACGAAATTATATTTTTTATGATATCCTAATTTTCTTAATGAATATACAATTGGATGAAGTATTAAAATTAATATTTTAGTATTTTAATACAACATTTTGTTCAATATTCTTTAGTGTTAGTTTGTGTTATCCATTTAATGTTTTAAATGTTTAAATATAGTAATTACCAACAGTGACAGCATAGCGCAGTGGAGTTACTGCTTTGTAGAGAGCAAATGCTAGAGCAAAATATCCTGCGCTTGAATCCCTTAAAGGTGATATTAAAGTTTCACTAACACCAATTGATTCCAATATTGCTAAAACATCTAAACCACTGTAAGAAATTGAATACAAAACTATTAAATTTACATTCTTATATAACACTATATGGGAATAAAGTTTATTTAATTAAACTAACAAGATGTGACTCAAATCATATAAAAATTCATAAGAAGTATTTATCATCACAAGGAATTGAAACATATTTTAGTGCAACCGACTTATTTGGGCATATAAATTTAATGGTAAAATAAAAATTTGGATAAAAAATTTAGATAACCGAAAACCCTGTCAATAGATCACCAGGTCTATACTATACTAGCTGATAGTTGTGATTATCTTTGAGACAAAATATAACTTATTTCAATTCTTTTAATACAAATTATCTTCATATTATATTTTATTAAGATCCATCAGCTGTTTAGTAATCACAATGTGACAAATAGATAGACTCACATTCAGATTTATAATATATTAGTAGTTATTTAAAAGAGATCTTGTGATGAGTATGCATTCCAAATGAGAAAAAAACTATTCAAGTCTTAATATTCAGTTTAATTGAATAAAGATATATTTCTATTCTATTTATTTGGAATAAATCAGAATGGAATAACTGAATGTAGTAATTTACCTTCTAACTGCATAGTAGAAACCACCAAACCATACCGCTGATGACACCATATGAACAGGCACTAGAACATACCAATAATCTCTGTACATATCTTTAAATCTTTGCAAGAGTCCTGGTTTTGGTGTTGGAGGCTCTTCTTGTTGTTTGTTGACATTATTGCCGCTTTGTATTGAGCGCTGTGTTACTGAACTCACTAATGATTGCGTTTGTTTAACTTCGAGTAAAGGTCTGTGGATAATGTTCTGTTGATAACAAAGTCCACTAGATAAAATTCTTAAAGGATAGATTTTATTTGATCTCCATTTTGCCGGTTTGATTACGTTGTGTACAAAATAACAATTCCTATATATTGGTCTTACTACTAAGGCCATTTTATTTTTTTTAAGGTTAAAATAATATCGATTAAAATACTAAAAAATTCTCATTTTTTTTTTTATGAAATATAAATGTATATATGGGCTATTATAAAGTAAAGTAAAATTGACTAATAGAAGAAAATTGGAAAATGGAATAAAATGACGAACCGAGAGGTTATGACAGTTGTCAATGTCAGAAAAACAATCACAGAGTATATAGACATAATATTTTACAGCGTAGACATTATTAGACAGGTTCCATAATTCGTTGAATTATCGATACCATAGTTTACCATGTCTTATTTATTCCTATTATGTATGAATACCAGCGAACCTGGAATGGAGCATTTGGAAGCCATCGTGATTAATAACTCCTATACAGTGAACTAACGGAGTAATGGGAGAATTCGTCCATGTGGTATTGAAAATAAAAATCTAAATTAAAAGTAGCCTAAGTTACCCCTAATAACATTAGTTATCTGTGAGCGAAAATTCCGTTAAAATCAGTCCAGCCATTGCAGAGACGAGCAAGAATGAAGAGGAACACATAATTTTTTCAAATTATTATCATGACTAGTTGATCCGCGCAAATTCGCGTATATCACACTAACTTTATATTTATCATTATATTACGCCTCATTTAAATAATACCTTTTTAAATTATAGACTATGTTATATTCTGATATATAAGCTATATTGTTACAAAGTTTCATCAAAATCCGTGTAGTAGTTTTGCGTGACAGTATAACAAACATACATCCACCATCCATACTCACAATTTCTGGCGTATATTACCTATTATAGTAATATTAGTACAGATATATGCTAAAAGTTGTGAGTATAGATATAGTAAGATTAGTTGAAAAAGAGACCTTGATATACTGCACGCTCATCCTATTAATCTCTACAGCTACCCGCTAACGCCTACTGTAAGAACAGATGATTACGTAGGTACGTACAACCTTTTAGTATTCCATGTGTTAATGTGTTAGAAAAGTATTAGGGGCCGTTCAAGTATTACGTAAGCACTATTTGGGGGGGGGGGGGGGGGGGTCTTTGCTTTGCTTATTTTGGATGACATGGGGGGTGGGGGGGAGTCTAGATGATGATTACGTTATCGGTAATTATTTACTTTTTTACGCAAATGTCAACCCTCACATCGTCTTTGCTAAAAAACAATACATTAATTGAAAAATGTTTACGTAAGCATGGAGGGAGGGGGTAAGAGCTTTGCTTACTTTTGCTGACAAAGGGGATGGGGGGTAAATAATTGTAATAAATTTGCTTACGTAATACTTGAACGGCCCCTTATTAAAAAAATACTCAATTTAAAAAACGTTTTATTCCAACGCACAATTGCATTTTTTATTAGCTGTAGTCTGTTTTTATAAAATTTGATGATGATTCAAATGTCGAATTTGACTATTTGACACTTTGGAATTTCGAATCGTACAGCTTAATTAGCATCTGCAATTCACAAATAGTTCATAGAAACAAGTTTAATGCCATCAAGTTTGATCTATTAAAAACAAAATCAGGTAATAAAATTGTTACATAATTAGACCCGAGAATCTTTGACTGTGACTTGTGATTAGTAAGATCGCTTGGTATGACTTTAAGCCACCTATCTACAATTATAGATACAAAACGTATAAACACGTTTTATATCGCATTTCAAGCTTTCTGATTTCAATTCTATTCTACATACTATTTTTAAATGAAAAGTGCTAGCGATTCGTTACGCGCTAATCCTTTACAAATTTATGAACTTAATGTCTTATTTATATATTTTTTTTTATTTATTTATTTCAGGGATCATGTTATTTTTACAACATTTACCAATATTATATATACGTTAAGGACTAACATATATATATATATATACATATACATAATAAAATTGATGGAAAATTAAATATTATATATATTATAATATAGACTTAATATGATCATCACAATTATGTACAAAAATAATACATATTGATACCATAGTGGTTTCCATAAACATTTAAACGACTTACGGTTCCTGACAGTTCCTGTTGGGCTCGTTCTGTTTATAAGGTACCGCCAAATAGACCATCTTCAGGATTTGTTTTAATTACTATGCGTATACGTGCTTCTACGATCACTATTATGATTTACTATGACAACGTCTATTATCTTATCTATTTTTAGTTTGCTGCATTCAGGGTGACTACGTAATAGCCTATTGATATGATTGATTAGATATTTAACGGCGGCACTTCTTTGTTTACAGCCAGCTGGTAGGAGTTTTCTTTCTAACACTTACTCCAGTGTTTACTTATACAGACATTTTCACATGTTCTATCCTTACTAACTGGTAGAAATATTGGGGGAAGGGGATTGATAGTAATGTGGACTAATAACCCCATTAATAGCCGTTCCTAGTAATGTGGTTCTTACATGTTACGTTAACATGTCAGGTTGACTTTCAGGTGATAAATTCATGGTGAATTTACCACGATGAGCATACGGGCGTGATCTTATTGTCATCTTATCATCCTTTACTGGTGCCGCGCCAGAGTAAACCGTTAGGCCAGGCGGATGCCCTATTCCATTATAATGCATTAGAAAAAAAACTTCTAGAAATTAACTTGCTGCTGCAATGTTGACTGTTCTACTTCTTTTTCCTATTTCCTCATGTACTAATAATGTTAGATTAGTGAAATCCAAAAATGTAAGTAAACATCGTAGACGGCGAATGTTGTAACGTTAAAAACTAGTCTTTTTGGGTTCGATTCGTTATTTGTATTTGTGAGTATGAATGCTTGTTTTGGTCTGGGTGTTGTCTATATGTATTTATAAAAATAAGTATTTCTATCAGCTGTCTAGTGCCCATAACGCAAACTGCTTAGTTTGGGACCAGATGAAGCAGTTGAATAGTCAACTTTATTATTATTATTATTTCCTTCAGTTCTGAACAGATATATAGTATTATTCCTATTTTATGGCATCGATTATTATATAGGTAAGCATTACAAATCAATAATGTAATTGATGGATTTGTTACTTATACTTATTTAGGTAGGTAGTAGGTACCTACTGATACGAATTAGGTTTGATAAAATTTACTTTGGTCGCTTTGTTTGCCAAACAATCTTGAACCTACATATTGATTTTTTTAAGCATTCAATCTCTTACTGACACGCATGTTATTATCGTTGTTGCCAAGATATAATATAGATCATATAGTTTTACATATAATTTAGCTATAGTTCTCTCTGATTATTCCTATAATTATTGTTTTGTAGTAATTTTTTTACTTTCAATTTGAGGCTGTATTTATGATTTGGTTGTCAGAACATTAAGTATTTATTTATCTGTATATTTATATATGTTTTGCCTAATATATTTATTGACATGTCATATTTATATTAGTGGTAACCATAATTTCTTTGCACCACTCATAGTTGTTAAGTCCGTCATATTTTTGTGTATTCAAGGTAAATAAATATTTTTTTACCAGCTGTGGAGGTAGTAGTAGTAGTAGTATCCAAACTATCTAAAACATTCATGTTACTGCAGGATGTCGACTGGCTCTTATAAGAGGAGATTATTTGCCAATTATTATATGATAAATACCATGAAGACTATGCGACTCTATTTAAAAATATAAAACGATTTGCTTTGTTTGTTATTTTTGAATAAATTAATATAATCCTTGCAGGATTAGGTATATATATATATATACTCGTATGTAAATTCAAAGTAGGTAATCGTGTCGTTCTCTTTTTTTTTTACCTTTCCGGAAGCTCGTAAGTGTTGTCTAGCAATGTAATACAAAATTTTTGGCATTTCCTAGAAATATAGTGTTCTAGTACGACTTTATATTATTTATACTAATATGTCTGTCGTTTACCTTTGCGCTTCATCCAACTCTACATAATGTTTAAAAAATAAATTTATGCAAATGAACGTAATACTATTAATTTTTACATGTTTTTAGTTTTTTAAAGTCACTTATGCAGTAATAATAATTATAAGTACGAATATTCAAGTATTTCAATACAAACGAAATGATATGTCAAATAATGTCCAATATATTTATCTATTAATTAGGTATCTGTCTCTACTTATAAAGACAATTTATAATTTACATTTCACTAATAAGTTTATATCTTTACCAAAAAAAGTACATATCTATTTGTATATAATAAATAATATGTATCTACATAATGTACATATTACAAATTAAAGCCATTCTGTACCATTTCTATATTTTGTTACGTAATTTATATTATTCCTTGTACTTGTCTTTGTATGGTTATAACATTTGTTATAATTCCAATGACTACTTACTATAAATTCTGTACCAAATACAATAAATATTTAGTACCTAAGCTATCTTTGTATTTACTGGAAAATTGACGTGCCACTGCAGATATTCCATAACTATATTAGTTCCTTAACCTAATCTCGATCACTAATCACACATTATTTAGTATCAGCTTAATGCTGAGTTTGTGCCAAAGCAGAGGTTTTCAATTGGAATTGGAAACAATTTTAACTCTTAAGCTATCTACGTGGTTAGACGTGAAGATAGAGCAAGTTAAAAGTCAGTGATATTCATGAAGTTAAACAAATTTTCCTAAGCCATGATAAAAATATTTAAAAAGCAAAATATCAGACATTTACTTTGTTTCTTGGTAATCTGGTAGGTACACTTTTGGCTATTATTATGAGATAAAATGATAAGACAAATTGGTTACATATATAATACATTGTACAGTAACTATTCAAACATCTAAGATAAATTACATAATTTTTCTAATTCATTGTTTAGGTATTATACTTTGTGGCTATAATATATTGTTCTCTTTAATAAATAAATATAGAATGTCGATGCGTAAGTCCTGTAAGTATCTCTCCACGCATAGATATTAATTTGGCACTTTATTCAAGTTAATTATTTGTTACAGTCTAACCATGTAGCTACACAGGTTTTAAGTAAAATACAATTTATATTTCAATCGATCTATTAAATTCTAATTATTATTCGTTAGGTAATACGATCGCTGTATTGTATGATCCAAATTTGTTTGCTACCTACTACTTATTCTATCTACTTACTAAATGCAATTTGTTAATAGCTTCTACATAATATATGTATTTACTAATATCTTAAGATAATATCTACCTACATAAATAAATTAGGCCGGTATATAATTTTGAGCAACTGATATGTACATCATAATTTAACATATGTTATTAATATCTACGAATTAACTTCTTTGATTATAGTTTTATAATATCACAGTATTTAAGTATCCCTACACATTTACCTTAATAACAGTAACAATACAATTTTAACTGATAATTATGCACACAGTGACTCTGATCGCCGTAAAGATTCAAACGGCTAACAGTGCCGACCAGTGTCCACTGGCGATTGTCATGCTGCAATGTGGCTTCAAATACTCCACCGCTCGGAGCTGTGCGTACAACTACCATAATTTCCCTCCAGCCTTCTTCGTTCTCTGGCGGTGTGCCCACCATCATTTCTGTCGCCTCTATTACTTCTGCTAGAGCGAGACGTGAGCACTGAGGATATTCGCGCATCATTGCATTTAAACTTCTAACCAATTGTACTGCCGCTTCTTGTGCAACAGCACTATCAGTTTTCAGTTTAGTACTTCTATGACATGTACACCAGTGGTCGTCTATGCCGGCTATCTTACATGTTCGATTTTTTGGTAAAGGTAAGAATAAACTTATACTTTTGTCATTAGCGTAATTCATTGCGCTTCTTGATATGATTTTTTCATCTTTCAATAAATCTAAATTAATCAAATCAGATAGAGTTGCATGTATATCAAAAGGCGTTGTAAGCCGTTGACTATTCAGCTTTAAATTGTGATATGCTTGACTATAATTTTCTTCAAAAGATGGTGGCACCAGTATATGAACAAAGGGCAGTCTTTCTTCGAGTCTTCCTTGTTTTGTATATCGAATATCGCCCCATCTTATCCCATGATCGCTAAGTAGAATTAAAATAGTATCATCTAGGTACTGAGATTCGTCAAGGTTTTGTAAAAACTTTTCATAACTACTATCCATTAACATTGGGTAATTTAAATAGTCATGACTTAAGGTAACCTCCCAAAAAAATCCAAATAATTTGGAAGTTTTCAATGTTGTCGTTAACGCTTCAATGTAATCCAAAAGAACTTTGTAGAAATGTTGACTTCCCATGCAAATGTATGTATTGTAATCTTTTTTGTTGCCAATGTGAGTTTCAGCTTCGTGCATAAATGTATGTATGTAGTAGTCAGTTGGAGTGCCTACAAAACCAAATTTACCAAAATTAAATGTTCCCAATTTTGCACTATCTTCACCCAGAGCCGTATAATATCCAGCGTCTTTGTACCACTCCCAAATGAAAGGACAATTATCAAAAGTAGATCTTACATGGGGCCAACAAGTTTTTTTCAGATCCTTTTCTCTAATACCTAGTAACATAGGTGTTAAATTAGGAAACGTATTATCGCCTACTTTGTTGTAACCTAACAATTCTATAGCTCCTTTCTGTTTTAAGAATGCTAAAGTCTTGGGCATTGTTCTGTGAAAATTTAATCGGGATATTGCATCCATTCCCATGACGATAACATTATATGCTGATTGATTTAAAGGAATCTCATATGACTCATCATCATACGTGAGCATAGGCTTTTTAGTTGCAAATAGGAAAAAGTGTTCGTAGATTATTTTATGATCGTAACCACAAGAAACTTTGACAAATTCGTTCATAACTTCAATATAATTAGTGAAGTTAAGGCAAGGTTCGTATTGTACTCTATCGTCGACGTTCATAGCTGTAACATCCGCGACTGCTGTTGGTCGATAAAATGATTGATAGCAGCAAGAAACATTGAGATCTCTAGGTGTATCATAAAAATATAGGTTTTCTTCTTTGATCCAGATATGGGTGTTATTATTGTCTAATAAAGAAGTATTTGCATTGGGGCACGAGTTGGGTTCAGGTTGTCTAATAAACTTCTTAATGCTTTCATGAAAAGGTTTCAAGCCGGGAATAGTGCATCCCTCTGTGTCGATAGTGTAAGATTTGCCTGGATGACCTGTGTGAGCCCGATGCATGTCGAAAGTTGTGGTGGGATTATCGCCACTGAGAAAGAATATTGTAGCGCTGTCGCTGATGGACATGATGAGGAAGCAACCGCCACATACTGTAGCTAGCAGGAACAGGTATCTAAACCGCACTGGAACAGAGCGTGCTCTGTTCCCTGAGGTTTTAATCAGCGGACCCATGCTGAAACAATAAATTATAATGTGTAATTATTGCAGTTACAATAAGCTATTGGAATTGTTATCTCAGAAAGAACAGATATTATGTAGACGTATGCGATTAAAAAATAGTAGATCATGTCACTGAAAATATTAATATGTTTAACTGTTCCACAAGTTAGTGATATCACAAAATGTTGAATGGAAAATATTTTATTGTAATCTGGGAGCCCTCATTATTTACCTGGCCAATTATGGGAACTCCCCCAAGTCAACTATCTTAAAAAATATATCCACCTGTTCTGAATAACCCTTATTAACAACGTTACGGAATAAATTCAACACAAATAACGTCTAATCAATTTGTAATTAAACACAACACACAGAGCAATCACAAAATAATTCGAAGGACTTAATTTGCTCGATTAGTGATATGCAAGTTAAGTGCCTGCAACTAATTTTCATGATTTTTTAACTTCTACCAACAAATCTTATAGGAACAATATTTTTTAAAAGTAAAAGTCTCTCGTTTCTATTTATTGATAATTATCGTGTAAAGTTACATACGTAGGTATATATCCATAAATGTTTAGATGAAACAATAATAGGTGGGTACACTCGAATAATACAATTACACTCGAATTAAGGGCCCTTAATAAATTAAGAAAATAATAATAATGCATAAAATGTCATCTACATGTGTGCTTACATTAAATTATAAATTACATACACATTCGTACGTCGCAAACCGACGCAGTAAACAAGTAACTGTTAATAATTAGAATAAATAAATTAATAGGAAAATAATAATAATAAATAAATTAAATATTTATATGATAGATATTTTGTAACAAAATGTTTATAAACATAACAACAAAAAGAAATTATTTTAATATCTATTATGGATTGTGTTGTATCGAATCATTTATTTTACCATAAAAAATCTTTTTACCTCACAGATAATATAGTAATATATGTATATGAAACTGACTTACCTATAATATGTTGAGAAAAATTTCATTTTCACTCAAATGTGATGTAATTAAACGGCAATATAAAATATGAGTTGTAACTATCATTATTAACACTTGATCGTCATCAAATAAATAGGCACGTGTGTTACCCAACAGATGATTATGAATAGCGATGTCTGTTTACGGCGTATATATCATTGAGGTACTGAAGCCACTCAAAGACTGAAACGAGCCGATACAACGGGCGAGTATTTCACATTCAGAATTGTCACCTATCGCAATAAAGTTAGCCGTCTTTTTCAAATTTCAGCTGGTGTAACCAGGAAAGCATGATTCTTGTCGATACAAAGGGCTACTGGCAAGTTACGAAGTATAAGGTTGTCCCGGAGTCTGCGCGCATGCGCTTTGCATAGACAGAAGGGGAGCCATCCCCTAGTCGTTAGGCGATATATTAGATAGATGCCTGTTTTCAACGTTCATCTATAATTACGATTACGACTCCAGACCTCACATTTTATTCTAATGTCTATCTTTACATTCTTAAGAGTATAGGAATTTCTCTATAGTTCGAACGCTAAATTATTCTGAACTAATATAAATAATTAGGTAAATTAATATTAAGTTATGCGTATCTAATTTCTATATTATTTTTAAAAGAAAAATTCATTTATCTAAAAGTGACAGCATGAGTTTGACTCTATCGACATAGAGCTGCAACTAATGAAGCTAAGTACCTATTAAAATTTTATTTATTACAATATTAATGCTCTTTCGGTACCTTTCCTAAAATGATAGGTACAAAATGTGAGCCTCAACTATTATATTTAGATATTATTCTTTTAAGGAAATTAATGAAACAATGTTATAAGCACTATTTAATTGATTTCTAAAATAGCTAGTACATACACAAAGGCAAAATTTAGCGTGCCTTGTCAGATTTTAGGCACAACAGCACCTATTTTTTCCAATTCCCGAGCATTTGTCATTGACATAAAATGTTATAGGTAAGTACTAACATTTTCTGCATTTTACATTCATTGTATTATTGAGAAGAGATTTCAGAGACAACTCTGTACGAGTTTACGAGATCGCTAAATTTAACTATATATTGATTTTACTGTGGTGTACCTTCACCTCAACAGTAAATATATTATTTATTTAACAAATCGTGCCATAATTCGTATATTTAATTAAAATATCTTTTTCTACAACGTTTCCATCATGTACGATGAGACACACTCACTTGCCTAAATGATGATATTTGTTATATATAGGTTGATTATGACAATATCTATTATATACGTTTAATAGATTTGATATTATGCTGACTGACCTTCTATAGAATTTTCCTCTTAAATTTCTTTTGTGTGTACGTTGTAATTACATTCATTTGAATGCGGTAAAGTGTTGCAGTTTTCTCATGGTTGTGTACAGGGTATGTTATCAAACACGGTATGTTTTGAAGAGCTAATTACCGTTTTATTGTTATGTTGCCTATATAGGTAGCACAAACCACCGTTTCAAGCAACTTTTAATAACTAGTTCAAATGCATTTCATTACAGCAGCATTGCACTGACGATGGAAAAAGTTGCTACTTTTATTTTATAGTAAACTATAATAGTTCTGCAGCTTTCATGCACACGAAAGGCCTTAATCACCTCTGCTTAACTTGAATAATAAAATGTCATCTGGACTATTATTACATATTTACTACAATTACTTAAAATCGAGTTCTTTCAACATTGTTAAATTCATATTCCAATATATTCTGATTACAATGAAAAAAATAATAATACAACAAATTAGTACGCAAATATCTATAATCAAAATACGAACTCCAAATCTTTGAAGTTTTTGACTTTTTGTACTATAATATGTATTGTACATGCATACATGTAAACCTTCTTCTAGAGTCACTCTATCCATTTCTGAAAATTTAATAAAAATCTGTTGCATAGTTTAAAAGATCTAAGCGAACAGACGGCGATGGCGTCTTTGTTTTATAGAAGGTAAAGAAGCTAACATTATAAAAATAAACTACACATGTAATATGGTACAAGATTATTAACCTATTTTTTAAATTAATACAAAGAATATAATAACGTAATATCCTATATAGGTAATAACTTATAAAGCTTTTCTTTGTATTTATTCATTTAAACTTGTCTGCAATTATTTATAAAGGTTTATTTGAAATAAGTACATCAAGATTTGCAGACGAAAAATCCGAAAAAGAATGAATAAATGCTGAACTGTACTGAACGTTAGTTAATACATACACTATAAAATGAACGCGATAAAAAATGCAGTCGTTTTTTTTCAAGAGCACTTGGCGAGCGTGTCAAGAATCAAGATAAAAAGTAAACCAGACTTAGAGCGTGTCGTAGTATAGCTTGGTTTGTACCTAACCTATTTAGTCCACATACTTAATCTGCATTATATTATAATATTTTACCTGCTTAAAGTTACTAATTTGTTTTTATGACGACCATCTTATTTCTTGCGCATCTACAATATTCGTATCAATAAATGAACTGTACTGTAATCATAGATATAAGTTAATATAATTAGAAACAATATGAGCATATGGACTACTTTAAGGCTATCTATAGATACTCTAGCTCAGCTAATTTAAGTTAAGGAGAACAAGCAAGTTATTCTTATTAACTATTAAACTGATAAAGTTTTTTCAATTAGATATCCGTCGCTACTCACTAAAAATATTTTTTACGTAAAGACCTTAGTATTTATTTTTTAATAAATCGGTAGGTACTAGAGTACGAAGAAAAGTAATCCTTTCACGTAATCCAACATGGAGCGAGGTATAAACGGAAAAGTACATACTAGTGTAGGTACTTTTATGTACATACATTAGTGTGTATACATACATAAAAATGTAGGTACGAAGTATAAACAAAAAAGTACATACTAATGTATTTATTTTTGTTTAAACCTCGCACCACGTTGGGCGCCAATTAATTTATCTACTTACACTTCTTTATGTGATTATGAGACCGCATGAGTTTTGTAGACTCTGTAAAGCGATCTACTTCATTACCATTACGCAGACCGTATGCTTCTGCATATTTATAACGTTTAGAGTTTATAAGAAATGTTTGTATAATAATGCCTGTATAGGCTCTACAAAAGAGAATCTGACTTACATAAAAGTGACGAAAGGAGATACCTACATATAAAGAAATTAAGAACTAAGTAAAGTAAAAAATACCATAAATTTTGAAAGTTTTAAATGCAACACCAATTATACCTATATCTCTAATATACTCTTTAGGGACCGTATTTTAGCCGTACTTTGAACCGTATTTTGAAAATGTAGGCATAATAAATATAATGAGTAGGCTTAATAAAGTAACTGATGTACGACAGAACTTTCTTATCCTACCCCTATGATACCCAAATTACATAAAGTACTCGAATGGATTAAAATTTATAACTTCTGCTAAACTGACCCCTTCAGTTTAGCAGTCCGGGTTGCTGTCGTTACGCATGCGCGCATCAAAGTCAGCCGGTGACCACCCGTGTACTACTAACTATGAAATAGACGAAGAAGCTTTTATATAAACAATCAATTCCAAGAGTTTTATTGAATATTTGCGGTATAAAAGATATGAATGAGGACCACGTCGTTTTCCCTCGAGGTAAGAGTGACTTTGGTATAATTCTATATAAGGTTATAGAGGCTAACGAACGGAAAATCGATAATTAAATAACAGAAGCATAACCTAAAAACGGACTTATGAAAATGTAATATTATTAGTAAGTATATCACATCGATGATAAAGAAATTGTGCATATTAGAAAACAGTGTAAAATAATAAATAAATAAGTCACCCAGTAGATAACATTCTAAATTGAGATTTATCGTCAAATATATCAATTGTATTGATTGCAAATATTAGAAATATACCTCAAATTTTATATATATATATATAATAAATAATCGATTGAGATTATTTATTTTATATTTACTTATTAGTAAGAAATGTTTGCTATTAGTGTTATAGGGATAAACGTCAACATGTCTGATAGTTGTTATCGAAATTTTGTGTGTGTGACAGTAATTAAAGATAGTTTAGGGCAATTAAATTATTCTAGAATTAAATTTCAATATTTGAATATATTTACACATATATCAATGCATGGCGAAACAGAAACAGTGAACAAAATTTTGGTACACGAATTAACGTTTGATACATTATGTGACTGCAGCGGGAATACAACGACTAGGTATTAATAAAAATATTTAATAATTGTAATAAATGTGTATACTTCCCAACAGCGAATAAGTCAAAAGTGACATATAAAAATAAGAATGGTGGACAATTACCTACGTGCAATCTAAATAATATATCGAATTTGTATGTTCTGTCAATTATAAAATGCATATTTATTTATAATTATAAATATTAAATTCCAGGTCTTGGCCCTACTCTTCCTCACGCTGATACCGTGGCCGGGGCCGTCAGTTTTCAAAATCACTTGTTCACGTGACAACTCCAAAATCGTAAGAAAAGTCATACAAAGCAAATGGCTTCCAGTTTTAGAAAGATTTCAAGTAAGTTTGAATAATTATTATACATCAACGAACTTAAATAATGTAGATATTAAAAACAATATTCGGTAGTGACAAAATTAGATTAAGCAAAACAAGAGTGGAGCCAAACAACGGCTAACAGTTCAGCAGATTTCTCAAAGATTTTTTTATATTACTGAAAAGACTAACAAGCTGACGGCCGAGGTATAGGAAAATGTGTCAAATTTACGCAAGAGCATTTTTGTCATTAGGTTAAAACACTGATTTTCTTGCATAACAGTAAGCTCCTTCATTATTTGTAGGTAAAACTCCCCTTGGAGTGCCCATTCCACCCTGCGCGCGACATCTTTGCACCGCAGCACGCCGCGAAGCTACAACACCGGCCTTCACAGTGGACTTGCGCTTTCTGCGGCAAATCTTTCTACGAGGAGCGCCATCTTGATACGCACTTTGACCACCGACACAAGAACCAGATTAACAAGGTAGTAGCACCAATACATAAAAAATGTGAGCGTCGTAGCCTAGTGGTTCAAATTTGAACTCATACCAAATAAGTCGTTAGTTTAAATCTGCATAACACAAATCTTAGTGTGTCAAGTCATATTTCTGACATAATCTGGGATCAGATAACTTAATCTGAATTTCAAAAATTAATCCAGGAGACGTGCTACATTCAAATATACCAAAACAAAATGGGGGCATGTCAAGTATTGCGTTCACCACAACATTGACAGTCGATAATGTCTCTGACTACCCTATAAAGGTGAAAGTCGTCAAGGTATGCAATGTTCAGCTACAATACACCGTGTCACATTATTGCTTTTAAGTTCTGAGTGTACCAGAATAGCAGCCAGTATGGAGAAAAGACGAGCTGTCGTAAAGCGGATAACATCTGCCTCTAACTCCACTACATAATGACCACGACTACAATGTATCGAAAAAGAAGAAGAAGAACTGATACAGATTTTAAAAAAAAGTATCCGCTGTTACAGGCGGAGGACGCAGTATGTTTGGCGGATTACTGCGATATAATGCGGTGCCAGGTGCTGGTGGCACACGGGTTACTAAGTGGTGGCGGCGGACCCGGCACTGACATTGAGGTAATTTTTTTTGAAATTTTTTAATGTTATTAAAGAGGACAATGATAATAATGTTCCTATCCTTTGACACCACGAATATTTATGGTGTTATATGTTCACACAGATCTAGTTGTTTCGTATCCGATTCAAATAAACGAAAAACCTAAGAATGTAGTTAAACTATTTAAAAAAAAATTATATTTTACATATGCCGAGTACTCAGAAAACTAATAATGATGTGAGTGACATGTGACTCAGGTATGGCAGGATATGGAAGCCGCTCGGACGGCGTTGGCGCCTGCAGCGCCGCGCGGAGTCGCGCGTGTAAGCGGCCGTCGAACGGACGCGGGGACTCGAGCCGCGGGAAATACCCCGCGACGTCGGCCTCGCCCCCGCCTCACGTCGCCCGCGCGGGACTGTCCCACCACAGCACCGGAAACTGAGGAATCAGGTAATCATTTAGTAGTCAAAGATAGGGGGAAGGGCAAAGAAAATGGAGAGATGAGGCGCCCAAAGCCGACAGGAAGTATTATTGAAGTGGTGCAAAGCATTCGGAGGGTGCTTCATTATAATCGACGTAATAGGAAACATTTTTTCTATGCCTTATTAACTTTCTTGCGATCAATAGTGGTTATAAACTAATTAGCTACTCGCCCCGGCTTTACACGGGTGTACATGTATTATATTATACCTTCCGCTTGAATCACTCTACGAGTATCTATTAAAAAAACACGCTTCAAAATCCGTTGCGTGGTTTTAAAGAATTAACCGACTTTGTTTTATACTATGTAATGATTATAGCATACATTACTGGGGTCTCACAAAGTTTGTATTGTCTGTTAGTTTTCCAGTAGATAATTTAACTATTTTCAATATTACATAACATAAATACACGTTTACAATATACCGAAGCAGCAAATTTTTTTATATTTTTTATTGGGTTGTTTGGGCTATTGTCAGATGTTTGTAGCACCAGTAGCACTGCGACACTGTTTTTCAAAGTTCGAGACCCGTCAGAGACAAGAATTGAAGGATATTCTTAGGAGCGATGGTTTTTATCTCCTCGGGAAAGAGTGTAAACTTTCCAAAGGAGATATTTCGTTTATGCATGAGTGGGCTACAACCACATAGGATAAAAGCGAAGCAGCAAAGGGATACAGGAGAGTGTACAGGAGAAAGCAGTTGCCTTGAAACTTATGAGCAGTGTTAGAGGCAGCATAGTAGGTATCATAAAAATTGTATATACCTACCTAAGTAACAAGCCTATGTACGAAATTAACGTAGTATCTATATCAATAGTACTAATTATCCGTTAATTTAGATGTTGTTAATAAATCAATGTGTTCAGAAGTAGATGAAAAGAGAACGGAAGATAGCGAGAGCGACGTGAACCAAACGGCTGAGTTGTGCGACGCGGACACAGTGGAGTCTTCGCTGCCGCCCGACAGCCGTCAGAGACGGCTGGCCGACCTGCAGGCCGAGCGGGCCGCCTGCGACCCCACGCGCCTGCAGGCGCTCAAAGTGCGCTGCGAGAAAATTGTTCATTCTTGCATCGCAACACTTTTATTGCATCTCACTCAACATCAGTTCACTGAACTGGAAGGTTAGTTTTTATGTATGTTTTTTTGGTATAGATGACAAGCTTACAGCCTACATATAATGCTCCTTTTTTCTTTATTTATTTTTGTTATTTATACATTTTTTCTAGATGATACACTACTTATCTTGATGGAAGTGTCAGCTGTCGCCCGTAGACATGAACGGGACCAAGCACATCACTCCGTCAAGTGAATTCCATGTCAACACTATGCGCCGGGCTATTGTAAAATGTGCGTTGCCTTTCCTGAGGGTGCCGTGCATCCGGTTGCTATAATATTATTGCCATTTCCTCTACCTTCAAACCGGAATATAGCTTACAAAGAAAGTTGTTAAAGGGACGGGCAGAAATAGGTGAGATAGGGTTAGAGAGAACGACGGCTTCGTACAAAGTCTATTTCGTATTTTCTATAATACCTTTAACGAATGGGAAAAATACTGAGTAGAAAAATTTATATTTCTAAACAGTATATCGTTGAAAAAATATCGTTAGACTCATATAAATAATTCCATGATTTTTTATATTGAAAATGGTGATGTGTAGTTAATTCTGTGGTGTGTACTTGCAGAGGAGATGCAGCGCGCGGTGTGTTGGTACCTGAGCTGCGACCGCTACTGGGAGGACGCGGCGCCGAGCGCCCGCGTGTTCCCGTGGCCGCTGCTGCTGGCGCTGGCCACGGGGCTCGCGCTAGCACTCTGCATGTGCTATTATATCATATGGATCGTTTTCGAGTGAGTATTATCCGCATTGTTATCCTCATAACTGAGCATTATCACGGCTTTAGACTGTTGTCTGTGATGATCGATGACTTTATTGAGGACGTCATGGAATGCACTGTACAGAGACCTGTAGATCTTGTAGGACTATTAAACTGCGTATATTATACAGCTATTTAAATCAGCGATACAGTAACACGCTGCAGCCCCAACTGATTGGAGGCCCTTTCACGTTGTCGTGTTACATAAGTTTTTATTTTATTTTATATTTTCCGTCAAGTAGAGCTAATCCATTTCTCAATATAATCTCCTTTTAGATGGTCTAATTTCTTTAACTCGTCTGAAAAATGTCTATGAAGTAGGCCTGCGTGGCGGCGATAACCCGCTCATTGGACTGACTTAACCTCATCGTCATCTTATCTCTTATCTATCTTATCTTATCTTAAAATCGTCCTGCACAGGTGCCCCACCTGTGCAGGACGATTTTAAGATGACGATGCCTGCGTAAACTGTTAGTGTAGGCAGAGGGACTATTCCATTAACATCTGATAAAAAAAAACTACTCATTCGACTTAAAGTTAATCTCAGCCAGTAATTTTATGTGTACAGTTCAGAGGAGGGCAGCGTAGCAGGGAGCGCGTCAGTGTCAATGACGACGCACTCGTCGCCGACGCGCGGAGAGCGGCTGGCGGCAGACGACGTGCTGGACGAGGACCACGACGACCACTACATATACGTCACGTACCCGCCCGAGCTGAAGCGGCGGCTGCTAGAGAGGTACGCCACCAACAAACTCACACTTATTGTTCTCACGCCCTATTTGAGACAATCTCGTGTCGATTGACTTTTGTTATTTGATGCCTTTACACGACACATTCTTTCACGGGCGATCAGGAGTGCTCCAACTTTAGCGCGGGAAGACCAGTGCGCGCAATCGTGAGGGATTACATTATACTATTTTTTGTGATCACTCTTTCATGCGTGATAGCGCGTAGGTGTCTCAAGTCTATTTATTCACTTTCTTTTAAAATTTTATTTTTATTCCACAAACTTTATTTTCCAAAAACACTTAAATTTTATAAATTATGCATATAATTAATAATTACAAAAAGGCGCCAAGGTACTCACGATTGAAGAATGCAATGCGCGAAATGATGGCGCGTGCGGTCTTTCTCATTCTCTTTGTCTACATTTACATACACATTATTTTCTGCGTGATAGGGCGTACCTGCCTATACCACCACCTATTGTGGTTTAAAAAATTTACACGCTAATAAAAACATATTATTTAATGAGTAGGTACTAGTACATCGTGTTTTAAGATTACACCTTCTTGTGTTAATATAATATAGGTGTAATTGGTGGTTTAAGCTGGTAAACTGGTAACATAAACTAGGTTAGTCGTTAGACTGTCTAAATACGACTAAAGTTTCGATGGACTCAGATTGACGCATTTTGGCAACCTGACAACTAAGCAGGTGTCTGTTACTAGCTTTAAATAATTACCTAAGTTTGTTGCAGACCTATATATGTCTATTACAATATTTTGTTTCTTACATATAATTAGAATTATTTGAAATTATGTAATATCTTTTAAGTCGACTAAAATATCATTTAAAAATTACTGTAAAGCATTTTTCTTTCATGTATATGTATTTTTATTTATTTAATAAAGCATGTCAGTTCACTATGTAGTTTCTACTGGAACTATCAGTTGCCTTCGAGTTCTTATAATGTAATCGTAATAAACTTTGTTAAACATGATTTAAAAATGTCAAAGAACACATTTCACAATTTCGTCATACATTTATTTTTTAATGGATGAATATAAAATATTGCAGCCGTCTTCGCTAACTGTAGACGTTGGTGGAGCATTAGTGCAAGATAATATAATGAGCATGAAGTTAGGTCACTTAGCACATCGTGCGTCATGTATATCTATTAAAACACTTGTTTAATAAGTCGCGTGTTCTATATATACTTTAGAAATAGCAAGTGACTGCGCCTCATAGAATATCTACAAATAAATGCCGTTGGGGACAGATATTTCCAGTATACTTGTACCAAATATAGTAGTTTTAGTGCCGGAGTTGTTTACTGTTTTTACTAATAAAAGTTATTTGTTTTAGCTGCTACAATAGAACGACCCGACTCTGAAATGCACATCGTCCATGACGTTACGTCGCGCATGCGTATTTTTTACAAGTTCCGTAGTCGTAATTAGTTTGCGTTGTGAGAACAGTCCAATATAGTGAAAAACTCTGTCAACGATTTCTGTTCATTTACTAAAATCGACTATGTCCTGATTTAGAAAGTGTGTAAAAGATATTATGCAGCCGTTTAAATTCAAAGTCTATTGCTAGTTATAGTAGGTAGTTTAGTTATTTTGATCAATGTGTCGAGTCACATGTAAGAGAAGAGGTTTAGTATTCATTGTTGCTTGAACATTATTTTAGTAAAAACCTAAGTACCTAAATAAATAGTACCTGCTCTATTTCGTTAAGAATTACCATTACTAAATCTTAGTTTATAGACTAATAATTTCAGATTCCGATACCATGACAACAAAATCTAATTAGTTGACACAATTTAGAAGATGAAATCTAATTTTTACTTGTGTTTTTTTTCGAAGTAGATATTTTCCCGTAGATGTAGTTTGCTTTTAAATAACGGGTGCCTAATTTCCCCCTAGATCATATTTACTTGTAAGTTTTTATACGTAGCAACACTGTTGTAAGAAATTTTTGTATATAGTGAGATTTATTACAAAACCTGCAGTCCTAAACGCTAGGCAGTCTATAATTATGGTATCAAAGTGTCCTTTATATTTAATATTTTGCAATACGAATGTTTTGTCATTTTAAATTCAAAGATTTAGCGGTAATTAATTTGTATGATATTAATACAAAGAAATTTTCTTTAGTAACAGTTAATTTTACGTTGTTCTTTTTATAATACGTTACGTTATATTTTTATAAAAAATAAGCATGGACAAAATGAGTTAGAGGACAAGCAGAAGCTACCTACAGTAAACAATATCTTTATAATAAAGAATGATATAATATTTTATTATTTTAAGATATATAATAAGAAATAGTCATTTCTATAATCTACTTTAATTAGAGAAATGGCTATTTCTACAACCTCATACAACCATTATTTTTGTCCATTCTTTACTGATACACACTACAGATTATTCTATAATCTATTGATGAATGAAATAGAACCAGACCTGCCAGAAATTTGTGTAATATAATAGTAGCTTCTCAAAAGTTACCAGTTCAGTGGGTTTGCACATGAATAAAAATCATAAAATATTTTGAAGAAAAGTTGCCTTACGAAGTACCTACATAGAGCACGTGATATGAACTATAAAAATTAAATATAATACTCATTTGTGACGTATATTTAAGATGAATGAATTTTAAACATTATATTGACTTTCAGTGCCGAATTCGCCTAGTTAACATGCATATTTTTTTCGGTTCATTTGAATTATATGTAGTTCTAACGCAATATATATAATATACATTTGTGTTTACAAAATTTTACTTTGTATGAGACAGTTCTCATGCCAAGAGAAATCTTTGTAATCAAATTCATAGAGTTTTTAAACTTTCTAATGCAGTCATAAAAATACTATTTATATGACAAATTTTTATAAAAATAATTTCAATACTTAATAAATCATTTTGAACATTATTAACTTACGGAATGAAGACGCCAGGTGTATCTAATAATTTCTTCTTAGTTCTAGTAAAGAATAATCATAGAGCCATCAAAGTTACAGATACCTTCCTGATGAAAATAATATTCAAAATGATCGTCAAATATTATAATTATAAGAACTATTTTCGATGTTCTTACTGCGGTATGATTTGATGTAATAAGTAGGTTAGGATAAACCCGGTAGTAGATACAGTTTCAAATGTTTGATCACAAGTACAGTTTCAAGTGTTGACAAACAAGAGTGTATGCTTGTCAGACATACTTGTAATTTGCTGACATGTCATAATATTGGACTTTACGTAAGAGTGTGTGCGTACAATTTTCTAGATTTAACGTTTTTGGAGCTGTGTCTGCCACCAGGTTAAGATGGGACTCATTCATTAATATTAAATTTACCGAAATAAAAAAAATAGAATTTTAAATGCTGTAAATACGCCACAGCCTCAACCCTGGAGGATCATTAGTTACAGCATGGGATAATTATATAACTGGAATTCAAGACTGGATTTGTTGTGCAGACCATACAGAGTGTATTCACAATAATATGATTTACCTACATACATATAAGAGATGCTGTCTGGATCCAAACTTTGTTATTAGAACTAAACATTTTCAGTACTAACATTTTTAGATTCGAGTAAATAAGAGGTATGATAATACGCGCTTAATATAAAAGGTACCTAAGTAGAACTAATTGTAAAATATGAACAAGCTTTTTCTACTTATACATGCTTTGACGAGACTGAAAGTAAGCGTTATATATAATATATGACACTTTTGAAATTGTAATTCACACGAATCTATAATACTCACGCGCACATGTCATTATGTTTGTTTTAATTTGAAATTGTAAAATATTTGTTAAATAAAACATTGGAATCAAATCTTATTACTTATTTATTAATGCAAATGTACAAATATAACACTTAACCTTAATATAAATATTAAACTATCAATTTAAAACAATAAAAATCAGTACAAGAAGATAATAATATTTCTTAAAGTCACTATTTACCATATAAGCTTCTGTTTGGTTCATGGTAATTAGTTACCCAAATATTAGTTAAAAGTATCATGTTTCACAGCATTGGTATTGTTTCATTACAGAACAAATATTAGATCATTATATATATAAAAAATATACTGCATTTTGGAGTCATAAATATACTATACAAAAACGAGATTGCTTTATCTAGGTGATTCCTAAAGTACCTAGGTAATACATTGAAAAAAATTAATTATATTATGTTTAAAATGCATGTAAAAATAATAAACTGACAGATAACTGTAGCTTTATTCCAATATATTAGATAATGCAATACTGCCTTAAACAAGAAAACTAATGTACATACTATAAGTACACGTATTATGTATGTTATCGATATGATTAAGTTTATATGTGAAAGGCAAAGTACAAAGCCATACAGCCTAAATTTATAAATGCAGTCTAAAAACGAATATTAAATTAAAGAGAAACCCATCGCTAAGTTTTGATGCAGAAATAAAAGTAACTATAAGAAATTAATATAAAAAGTTAAAATATATAAAATAATAGCCATATAATTGTCAATAATAACAGAGCAACATTCAAAATTCACCACAGTGGCAACATATAATTTTAACCCCTTACTATTTGTTCCAATTCGGTTTATAAGTGAGTATATTTATTTTATTAATATAAAGTATTTATAAATATTATTGTATTGTAAATATATCAACATTCCATCAATATACAAAATATTAAGATTACTCTGCGGTCAAGAGATGGTTACTTAGATATTTGTTATTTAAATTATACAAAGAAATATTAATAATTAGTATATTATAAATGAAATAAAATAGACCATAAAACAAGTAGTATGTATACACACGGACGTTCTATTCTAATTGAACATCTAGCATCTAACTATAATAATATTTAAAATTATAATTGAATAGATTTCTTTTGAAACATATGTACAAAAAATGTACAAGACTCTACTGTTGCCTCATATTTTATGAAAAGAAATATAATGTTTAATGTACAAAGTTAAGTCATAAACAAAGTTTAATACTAACTAATATTATAAATGCGAAAGTGAGCTTGTTTGTTCATTATAATGATTCTATGTTTTAACTTAAACTTAACTTCATAATGATTTTAAGTTTTAGCTTTTGTATGGAAAAGAACATAGGTTACGTTTTATAGAAGGGATTAGACGGAGTTGCGAGCGATTCTTAGTCAAATATTAATTATGTGTCGTAGCTGTTAGAAACACGGACAATAAAAACAGCGATTTTCTACTGCAAACAAATATTATCAATATAATTACTAATTAACATGTAATTAATATTTAACTAATAATCACTACTGTGACTAGGACGTAGGTTGAGTACAGTACTACATAATTCATATACTTTTAACGCATTTTAACTTCCGAAGCACTTTAAAGTGGACACAGTATATGTATGTAGTGTAAAATAAAATTACATTACCCTTATGCGTTAAACAAATTTTGTGACACTTTTCCAGAGACTGTTGCCGTCGATGAGGCATTTGCAACCGCAGCCCGTTGGACATGTGTCGCGTTGTGAGAACCTGTAGCAATAACAATAATATGTAAAATATAAACAAGTATAGTGGGTGTCGTAGTTCATTAGGGTATCACCTAAAGGAAAATATACAAATCTATACAATTATAAAAAACGGATATTACCACGTTTTATTTATTTTTATGGAATTTCCGATATTTCGGCAGTTTTTCAACCGCTATTATTATCACAGATAAACTGAAGAGCAGCGGGTAGATTGTAAATAAATATTTTATGGGCAGACATATTCGTCTACCTTCACACGTCTTCGTTTGTTGCTACTATTGAAACTCGAATGATACTCATCTCGACAAACCATACTCACGGTAAGTTCTTTTGATTTTTACTAATTGTACGTATAATTAAAGCAGTATGGCCGGCGTGGCCGCAGTACGCACACAGGCAGCGTGCCGTAGTCACGTACCAGTGTATCATGTGGCGCGCGTGGCCGGCGTGGCCGCAGTACGCACACAGGCAGCGTGCCGTAGTCACGTACCAGTGTATCATGTGGCGCGCGTGGCCGGCGTGGCCGCAGTACGCACACAGGCAGCGTGCCGTAGTCACGTACCAGTGTATCATGTGGCGCGCGTGGCCGGCGTGGCCGCAGTACGCACACAGGCAGCGTGCCGTAGTCACGTACCAGTGTATCATGTGGCGCGCGTGGCCGGCGTGGCCGCAGTACGCACACAGGCAGCGTGCCGTAGTCACGTACCAGTGTATCATGTGGCGCGCGTGGCCGGCGTGGCCGCAGTACGCACACACGCAGGCCAGCCCGCGCACTGCGAGCATGCAGACGGCGCACCGCAGCGTGGCTCGCCCCCCGGCCCCGAGCGTGCCCAGCACCGGGCCCGCGTGCTCCTCCGCGCGTCCGTTACCTCGAACCAGCTTCATCACCTGCCCGAATCATCCGAATATCTTTATCGCTAACTTCGAACCACAAGATCCATAGATATATTCAGGGTGCGAGCTTTTTAGACTGTACTCATTCTCGAGTACTATAATCGTTTAATACTAACATGACAACTATCACGTTAGTACTGATTAAGTCTTTGAAACTAGCCATAGTTTCGACGATATCATATAATACTTTAATTAAAAATGTTTCTTTGAGTAGTGCTAAGACGCGACCTCTCATAATTTTTTTTTCCATATTCAATGGTTTGCTTCATCTAAAGTCAAGTAAATAATATATATGCAAATTAATGTATTATGAAAATATAGAAATGAAATAGCTATTACAGAATATACATACTCATTAACATCAAGATGCGATGTTAATGAGTATGTATATTCTTGTTACCATTTTGTAAAGAAGATGATAACAACTAATTAATATTAGAACTCACCTCTGTTTTCTTATATAATAACTGCCATCGATGTAAAATATCAGCGTAAGTTCGCTTGAAGCAATTGTACAGGTGTACCGTTGACTCATCTAGTACGCAAGATGATACGCGTTCAGACTTCGACACGGTGGAGTCAGTATAAAAGTTCTCGGCTTCTGAACACGAGTTACTGCGTAGCACAATCGGTAGCGTCCAACCGTCGGCACTTATTTCGCTGTATTGGTTTACTGTACTATAAGGAGAGGTGCCGTTTCCCTAAAAAATGTTACGTTAGATATTAACCAGCAAATTGTTTAAAAAATCCGGCTAAGAATACCTTTACAGACTACAACTGTCAAACTGACAGATAGTTTCACAAAAACAACGGCCTCGGTGGTCTAGCAGTTTAGCACATCACTTTACTTACGATGATCACGGGTTCGATTCCTCGCAAGGTACAAACATTTGTATTCATGAGTATGATTGGTTATATTGGTATGTGTTTTCTATATATATGATGAAAAAAAATCTAATTATACATTGGATAAAAAAAAACAATATTTAATATATTGTAATAGTATTTTTAAAAATTAAAACAGAGGTTTACTAATAACTTACACAACTGGAAGTACTAATTGTTGACTGAGAACTTGAATTGCTAGATTCATTGAAGACAGAAAAGGCACAAGCTAACATGGCTGCCATTTGAAGATCTGATAACTTTGCATAATGTGATATTCTGGAATCATAAAAATTAATAAATAACTTAATTCTAATATTATAAAAGAGAGAGAGAGGATATTATGAGAAAAGTAAACTCAGGAAACACCACAACAATAAAGAACAGGTTTGAAGGCACACTTTTATATCTACTTTAGGATAATATGGGCTATATATTATATTCATATATAACTAACATAAAACTAAACTGTAGGTAGTCCCTATTTATAGTACACATATCATCAATTAATATATGAAATATCACATATATAGGTTTTTAAATTCAGTCAGTCACAAGCAGTGGCAGCTGTACCTCAAGTGCGCTAGTACGCTGAACCGGCAATTTAAGATTTAAAAATGATAAAATATTACTTTATTTTTATTTTCAAATTACATATTAATATTTTTTTTTTACATTGATAAATATTTTTTTTATTATGACGCAACGATTTAAGCGCTTGTCTAAACTTATTTTCAGCTGTAAAAGTGCATTCTTTACAGGAAAAATAAATTCTGCTAATATAACTTATATGAGTCATGCCTGACAAGTGAAACAAAAGATATTTTATAGATATATACCGAGTAATGTGTCTGTCGTGCGCCGCACGAGCATATCGAAGGTTACCGGGAACACCCAATGTTTGACGAAAGTCGCCGACCGCCATAGGCAGACCGCGAAACATTACGTCAAACATGGACATTTTAATAAATAGAGTTAAGGGGTATTGCGTAATACTCACAGTGATTGTATCATGTTGCAGCACAGAGGATGTCCTACCCAGCCCATTGTCTCCTCGCTGGATACCAGGTGGTCGACGATGGGCGTCCGAAGCAAACGAGCCGATAGCGCTGCTAAATCCCACGAGTCAGCTAGTTCACGCTCACCTTCTTCTGCTGCTATTTTAGCATTCCTTTCGCACATCTCTGTAATCATGAAGATATCAAAACATGTTACAGAATTTTATTATTTCTGTATAGATATAGTAAGAGATGGTTAAAAGCATTCGCCAATGCTTAATAGTATTGTAGGTGATTCTTGAATTATTCTATAAATCTACATGACGTCATAAACAGAGTAAAATAACATTAGCATTATCAGTCCACGACTTTAAAATAACCTATGAAGTGAAATGACCCAAACGAGTACATCAGATGAGAAAGCGAAAATATTTCACAATAAGACTTTAATTAGTATGAAACAAAATGAGATAAGCACTTTGGAATATAATGTTTATATTATTAAAGAATAATTATCAAAAACGGTATATAAGCGACGAAGATATTTTAAACATACAAAAGCGTCGAATCGAATGGGAAATTGTTTAGTAGGTAGAAATAACAGACCTACGGGATCTTCTGCGTTGATGACGTAGTTCTCAGCGAGGGCGCGGTGCAGCGGGAACAGGTCGGCGGCGTAGAGCAGCACCCGCGGCGCGCCGCAGCCCGAGATGCTGCCGCGGCTGCGCATGCTGCCCGCGCGACGACCTACTGCTTTCTGCACCCACATTATTATGCTATATTATTTAACTGTCCTATAGCAGTCATCTGTTCAACTGTCTTTTAAAGTGAGTAAGGCGTAATGTATTATAAATACCATAAGTAAGAATTCCATCGCGAATAAACACACTGACACGAATTTTTTATATATACATAAAATGTCCGTGTACGTTAGTTATTATAAGTATATATAAAACAAAGTTTGCCACGTTGTTTTTCTGCAATAGAATCCTAAACTATGGGACCGAATTTTAAGAAATTTTATATATATCGGTAGTTCCGAGAAAAGGTTATATTTTTATATCCCACATTGATAACCTGCCCTCAATAATTTATAATATTACAGAAAATTGTTTTCTAAAATTACTCACAACAATATTATAAATACTAACTGTTTAATACACTGTGTAATACAATAACGAAATCAGTCAATGTATCTGAAGCAATATGAATAGTAACTTTCTTACCCATCTATCTTGAAAATAGAAGGTTGTTATTGAATTGGACGGGTGTCTATGGTGTAACTGAGGGAAGCCAGGGGCATTCGTCGGGGATGGCGTAGTGGTTGCATGCGGTGACACAGAGCTGTATCCCGCACCGAATAACGTCGGCGCTAACGACAATGATGACATCGACCTGAACAATCACAAAAAATATTAATAGCATCACAAATTAAAACACAACAATAGTGATATGTTCAGAGTCCTTAAAATAAATAAATACTGTCTATGGTTTTCAGTTACACTATATGGTAGTCTTTGTATGGAGTCAGCTTTCATTAGTTCATCAGTTGCTGATAACTCACCTGGGTGTTCCAGTTTCATGTTTCAATGACAATCGTCTAGCATTTGCTGGACGATTAAATACTACAAGAGTATTCACTCCACACCATTTAGCACCACATGTGCGAGGGAAAGGGATACATGAATCACCAGCGTTCTCACACTCTGACTGACTTCTTTGACTAGACTTCATTGAATCTGTTTCATCATTTGTCTTTACCGGTATCTGAAATTAAAAAATAATAATGATTATAAGGGATAAGACGTTTGACAACAAAGTTTTTTAGATAATGAAAAACATACTTCATCGATAGATGTCGCTAGTGTTTTTAAGCAGTGCAATAAACATCTGTGACCTTCTTTTTTCTTTCGGTGAGCTGTTCTGTTGATTGTTTGGAGTATTTTTATTGTAGTAGGACTGTCCACATTAGTGCCTGACAGCCAAGAGAATTTTGGTATTGTCTGTTCAGTAACATTTCTTGGAAACATCACTTGTAAATTAGCAGTGTAACCATTGCGCTCAGCGTGTATTTCACAAGTACGTGTTTCTACGTTTATGTCTGTCACTTCTATGTTGGCCATTTTTGGTATAGATTCAAATTCTTCATCGATGGATGTTGTTGATTTATGTGACAATTTGATCTAGAAAAAAATAAGGTTTTTCTTTAGGTATTACCAGTAAGATATATTATACAACTATATATCACTGATAATATTATTATTTTTTTGTATTAAGAATGCTCATTCAAAATAAAAATTTACTTGCCATTTGTATATCTTGAACTTTGTTATCATTGACTGATAGATCGTTCATTGACCCCACTGTAGATGCATAACTTACTGCTGAAAAGATACACAAGTAATTATATATCTTTGCAACAGATGCTAAATAAAAAACTGTAGAAATTAAGAGTAAGCCACACTTATAGTAATATTTACAGGTGTCAATGTTGACAACATTGACACCTGTAAATATTACTCACAGTTTACTGACATAATTGACTACTAATTTGTATGTGAACAATTATAATTAGTGAAATGTAATTAGTGTACACGTTATCACAATAATATAGCAAATACTTTAGCTTTTGATTCAGTTGTTTCTAGTATTATGATACGTACAGTCACTATTATTATCTTCTTCAGTGTCTTCATCATCTGGTAAATAATGATTACACATCTTTAACAGGGAAGGGTGCATCGCCCATACTCTGAGAGATTGATCACGACCCCAGGTGACTAGTTGATAGTTACTGGGTGCAGTATTTGGCCTCCACACCATTGTTTGGACTGTGTCTGTGTGGCCAACAAGCCTGTGTGTTAAGGAACCTCCAACCCAAATACCAATGACCCCTGCTTGTTCAGCTCTTGGCAACCCACCCCAGCCAACACCGATAGTTAACAAACCACTGCCAAATGGAGTGTATATTGCTCTCCATACTGGGAAATTTGTCATTATAACATTCTCAGGACGTCTTGCATTATTTATATCAAAGTATTTAATGCTGCCATCATGACTTGATGTGACCAACTGATACTCATGATGTGGACTCCAGTCTACACCATGTATTTTACACAGATGTGCAGATATATAGTGTATTGGAGCTGTGTGTTTACGATAATCCCAAATTTTAATATCACCATCATGAGCTGTTGCAACTACATGAGTAGCTACTTTATTCCATTGCACCTGTGATGCCCCAGCTGCAAATAATAACAGTTAAAAATGAAATTATTGTTCCCTTTATAATGAACTAAAATAGTTAAAATTGTCTTTATATAAAATATCAAAGAAATCTAAAGAATTAAGAATGATTATTTTTTAAAATTTCAATATCTATCTATCATAGATTGGTAGGCTTCTGTGGAAAACCAACTACTATGTGGGAAATATATTCAGAAGTATTCTATAAAATTTGTTTTCATAATGAATAAAAAAATATCTAACCTACAGCACATAGAGAGACTACAGGTTTTCTGGCATCTCTTAAATCCCATAAATGAGTAAAGGTGTCAATAGAGCAAGTGGCAATGAGATTGTAGTCTTGTTTGTGAAAATGTGTATCACTGACAACTCTGGTATGTCCACGAAGAGAGCATATGCATGTCAAATCATTACCAGCACGCCATTCATACACATCAACACGTTGATTACTCTGTAACACAAAGGAATAGCTAATGTCTTTATTATGTATTCACATTGGAAATAGTAGTAAATTTAATTTGTATACAATGATTAAAATCTATATCGCCAATTAGGGAAGAAAAATTATAAGTACAGTAATATGTAATTACAGTAATATGCAAGTAGTCAATAATAAATAAAATATTTGGGTTTATTATTTACTAACCGCAATGGCACATAGCTTTTGTCCGTGATATGACTGGCACCACTCCGCCCCAGCTGCATCATATTTACTATGCCGGGGATATTTCTTTACTATATCTCCACCATCATCATCCAGACACAGCTGTTTGATGGCCAACCATCTTCGACCCGCTAGCAATACATTATTTCCCGAGTAATCCACAGACATAGCTGTGGCTTGTAGTTCCCGGTACTCCCATTTCATAATCTCTGAACTCCAATGCACCGACATATTTTATCAAAATTAACACTCTGATCATATATAAAACGGTGTTTCAAAAATAAAAATTACACTCCTCGTTTTTATTTATATCAAAATTGGTAATGAATGATTACAAACAAACAAATCAAAACACATGGAATTCGTGGAATTCATTCACCATATGACATAAAACTCAATTCTCAATAAAACGTCAGTCAACGTGTTGTCATTCCATCATGTCAATTCAGTGCTTTTTTACGAACTAGTTCGCTCGTTTTCTACTCGAGTCAGAGAATTGCAATAGGCTGTCCAACATAAGATAAGCGTATAAAAATCATTTCCTATAGTTAAATGTTCTTGTTTAATTTTTAGTACGGACGCCAATTAGTTCCCAGATCGTTCGCTCTTTAGTTCGTTTGATAAATTATTAGACATTAATGCGAACTACATAGTTGGCTAGCGCATTATGGGAGCGCTCTTCCAAACTAGTTCGATCGCCACTACAAGCATATTGTAAATATTGTCGTGTCAAGTTTATTTTGTTTGTCAGACTTCAGTTCTAAATATTCGTCTTCGATTAGAAAATAATCTATTTGTTCAAAAATTATACTTATTTACATACTATATCTAATTTTATTACATTCCTTGAATGAAATAATGATCGTAATGAATTAATTGACTTCAATTGAAATTGTACTACGATGATCTTCCGTCGATGGCGAAATAAATTGTTTTTCAGTGTTTTTATTAGATTATTTATAGGAATTATTTTTATTTATATCTATTGTGAATATATTATTTATTATGTTACTCAAATACAAGTAAGTATTTTTATATAAATTTTTATATAATTTTTATTAGATTATTTATAGGAATTATTTTTATTTATATCTATTGTGAATATATTATTTATTATGTTACTCAAATACAAGTAAGTATTTTTATATAAATTTACTATAATACCTATTTTTCGTCTGTTTAAATGTTATTATTTTCAGTGCGGTTGGCCAATGTTAACTAATGGGCCTGGTGAAGGAATTCAGCCGTTATATGCAATGGTCCTGGCTGACCCGCATTTGCTTGGATCTCGTAATGGACACTGGTTTGATAAATGGCGCCGAGAGTGGCAAATGCACAGATCATTTCAAACTGCATTAACTCTTCACAGACCTGAGGTTGTCTTTGTTTTAGGTAAGTTTTTATAATCTACATATATACCCATGAGTGGTTTCAGTTTATTTAGAAAATTATAAGTAGATATACTTTTAGGTGACCTATTTGATGAAGGCAAGTGGTGCCCTGAGAAAGAATTTAATGAATATGTAGAAAGATTCCATTCATTGTTTAAAGTGCCAGATGGAACAGCAATGTATGCTATTGTTGGAAATCATGATATTGGTTTTCATTACAGGTAAAGTATAATTTTATAAATTTATTTAGTATTGATTGTATATTAACATTTACATTTATCTGCTTGAAATGTATTTATTATTACAAGCTTTGCCTGTGACTTTCTTTGCATGTCCTAAAAAAGTCATGACAATTGATTGAGTTGTTTGGAATAGACTGTATTTATTACTATATATTACGCATTATGTATGGTAGTTGGTGCACTAGATATCTAGTAGATACTAGATACTACAAAGGCAACAATAGATACATAAACTCAGTTTTTTGGGGGAATGGATTGTTAATATTGGCTCCCTACTAGAAAGCATTTTAATTAATTCCTTATGAATTGGCATGATGGGTTTACTGACTTGACTTCATCCTCATCTTTTTATTTACCACTGGTGCCATCATACACAAGCAAGTAATATAAACTTACTTTCTTATTTATAAAGTTAGTAAATAATTTCTGAAATCATCAAACTAATTTAGTGGAAGTGATTGAAATTATCTTTTAATTTGAATCACTTCCACTAAATGAGAGAGAAGAAGAAATAATTTATGTAAAGTTATTGAAATTATATATACACCACTTTAGATAAATGTTAAGCATCTATATTTTATTATTTGTATATTTTAAAGTAACAAGCTTGAAAGGAAAATCCTGCTAAAATGTGGCTGGACTAATAAAGAGTGACATATTTTGTAGGTAAACATATTGGGTGTTTTATTTTGAATATATAATATGTTATAATTAATAATTATTTTTGTAACTTTTCTAGATTTTGTCATATATTGGATATTATACAGTTTTGTAATAAAGTAAGATTAACTAATAATACAAGGTATAGATACTTATGGTATATTGTTGTTACTAAAAGCCGTTGCTTTATCAATAAGGCCAAATACTACTTGTGTGCTTATTAATTTGTAATTCATTTCATGTCTCTATTTTGAATTTAGATTGGATTACTGAATGATGTAGTTTGATGTAGTTTACTATTCATGCATTTTCAATTTTATTTGTCTTTAATATTAACTATAGTGCATTCAAAGGATAACCCCACATTTGGCCAAGAGATTTGAGAGCAAACTTAATGCGCCACCAGTTCGTTTGGCGAGTGTCCGTGACAATCACTTTGTTCTGATCAATTCGATGGCCATGGAAGGTGATGGTTGCAACCTGTGCTCAAGGGCTGTTAGTGAGATCGATAGAATTTCAGGTTAGTTATAGTTTTGCTGCATTGAATTACTTTAAAATTGATCTATTATGAAACTAGGAATTGAAAAAGGGCATGGAGGAGATTAGATGAATAACAAATGGGCATCCATAAATGCACATGGATATATGACAACTTCATAACTGTTGACCCCATGGTTCCCCTTCGAAACCATCTTTATAAATTCCTGGTGAATTTGTCACTGACCTGACCTCATGTTCATTTATCATCCTTCACTGGCACCTCGCCAGCGTAAACAGTTAGTGCAGTTGGATGCACCATTCTATATTCATATTAAAAAATAAAACAACTTATAAAATTTGTATTTTCTTCAAATCTGTTTTTATTTTATCCATACTCCTTATAATCTTTCATCTAACATTATTAAAATTGTTTATGATAAAAAATACCAAATGTATTTTTTATCATAAACAATTTTAATAAAGAATTATTGTATCATTATTAAAGCCACAATAAATACTATTAATTTTACAGACATCCTCAAATGTAGCAGTGGATCCACACTGTGTAAAGGCAAAACAAAATTGAAGAAATACAGCAGACCTATTATAATGCAGGTAAATATTACAATTACAATGCATAACATAAATAATTTCTCTCATATAATAATCAATAAAAAACAACTTTGTGACAAAAGATATTTGTTGTGTACACAGTTGTCTCACTGGTCGTATATTAAACTCATTAGTTTATGATTTAATTGTTTACTTTGTACATTTGTGCAAATTAAATAAAAATGCCCCAGGTGTACTTTTAATTTATTCATGTGTCTGTGCACTATTCAGATCATGTATGTATGCATACAACGCGTGGGAATGTAAGCATCTACAATTTTCGTCCGCTTGTAACTTTTATTATATTTAATTAATAACGACCCGCTCCAACTCTACACCGGTGCAATTGTAGTCTGGTTTATGAAAATGTGTATCAATATTTTTTTTTATTTATCCATTAGTGGAATATTTAGTTCTTGTGGTATTTATTTATATGCTATAGTTAGGTTAGATTAAATTTACATTCTGGAGATCAATGATGAACTCTTGTTTTTTGTTAAATTAAAATATTTAATTTGTTTTTTAAAAAAATAAAAAAAAACTATCCTGCAGCATTATCCACTGTACCGGGAATCAGACATCATTTGTACAGAGCCTGATGCAGCACCATTGCCAGAAAGAAACAATCTGTTTGAAGAACGTTGGGATTGCCTCTCCAAAGAGTCTACTGAATATCTAGTTGAGAGTTTACATCCGCGTGCTGCGTTTGGTGGCCACACTCACCACAGCTGCGTGGTTCGTCATAGCTTCGTACCGACTTCTGATCATAAGATAGAATTTGTAGAGTATACAGTACCATCGTTCTCTTGGAGGAACAGATTGGATCCTAAGTACTATTTGGTAAGTATTAAAAATGTAAACAAGTGACACTGTGTCTTTGTGTGTCCTTTAATATTACGACTTTACAATTTTATCTGACAAACAATACAATGGCTCATTTGATGTAAAGTGGTAATCGCCGCTTATTAGCGAATTGCTCCAACTTCGTACGGATGCACTACAAATGTCTGAATTTCTCAGATTTTCTGCATTAAAATAGGCATGTATTATAAATATAAACCTTCCTCTTGAATCACTCTATTTATTGCTGAAAACCGCATGAACTTTTCGTAGTTTAAAAGATCTAAGCGAACAGAAACAAATGTTTATTTAGTAAATGTTATATATACCATAAGGTGATTATTTCATTTTTCAGTTGACGGTTGTTCCCGAGGAGGTTAAGGTATCAAAGTGCGGCATGCCCCGCGAGTGGACGATGCAGGTGACTGCCATATTGATGGGTTTAGCATTGCTTGTTTACTTAAGACAACATTGCATCGCCGCCAATAGAATCTATAATTATAAACAATTGTGAATTATACATGTCACTTTCGTTTCATATTATATCACGTGTAAATTTATGGCTTACTTATTAGCATATTTATTGTACAAGTAATAATATATTAATAGAAAATAAAGTTTCTTATTACATAGGTACTAGAGTTCATGATTTCTCGAGCTTTTCAATTTCTCGGGTCTCGAGAATTCTCGAGGTTAATTTCTCGGGTCTTCTCGGGTTGTCGAGAAAATTACATTTACTTACGTTTTCTCATATTATTTGCTTCCAATAACGTCAAAAAACTCAGTGGTTTCATTTGAGAGGAAAACCACTGCATTTTTTGTTAAATATTAAATATAAAATTTAACTATAAAATTAATTATAAAACTTTTATTGAGTATATTTAAAAACATTATACATATTATGAATAAGCAAATTTTTTTTTTAAATTCTGTTATATCCTCCTTACATATGAAATTAGGGTTTTGTCGTACTGGTACACTTTGATCTTAAATATCTCCTCTTTGGTTAGGAATTCCAATTTCAAATTTATACGGCTATTCACTCATGCATTTGTTTTTCGAAAACCGTAATCTATATGGCTTTTCCATCTTTGGTTTTTTCTTTGGGTCACTCAGCTTACAAAATGGAAAACTTAAAATATCGCGTCATTTACAAGTACGAGTTCCGCCATGGCACCAGTGCTACAGAAATGCATTTTTGGTTCCTAGATCCTAGGTACATAAAAAATGTCAAATACTTTGTAACAACAACCTACAGTTTATAAATAATGTGATACGAAAGGAGCTGTACAGTTAGACGCATATCTGATGAATTTTATATATTATATGAAGTAAGTTTGATGATATTTAGTAAAAAGTCCTTAAAATATAATAAATACTACTCGTGCTGGTTATTGCATATCTAAGTACCATAAAAGTAAACAAGAAAACAAATGTCTGGAATGCAAGTCGGAACGTGTATAATTTTTTTTTTATAAATTGGGTTTATCAACAATCTTTGCCCGATGTCATATAATGCAATTGTTAAATTGCATTATATGACATCGGACAAGTGGGGATGTTAATCCCCACCCTTTTATCTGTTGGTTGTCCATATCAGTTACTTTATTTTTTAATTAAAATTGTTCAATTTTAATGAAAATATTAGGCCTATTTTCGTGTTTATTATTACAGTTAATGTTTTTGATAATGGTATGGTACAACCACCTACGCTAACGATTTACTCTGGCACCTTTGGAGAATGATAGGATGAGCATGCGGTCAGAGCAGTTAGGACATCGTGATAATTTCACCAGGAATTTAACACAATGATTTCCAGGGGGAACCGCGTGAACGTCATCTTGACATGGTTCATTGCTAGCAATAGGGTTATCAGTCCACACTGCTAACAATTCCCTTCCCCCTTGTATTATTAAAGTATACATTCCAAATATCAATGAAAGCTAAGTGTAAAATAATTTGGAATAAAAATTTTATTTCTAGTCATATAATTATGTAGTCACAACCAATTATCGTTTTACGATAAAAAAATGCCATAATAAAGACTCATATATCTTCTCTTCGGAGGCTATCTACGTACTGTGACGTCACGGTACGCCATCTACCAAAGCCGTCAGTACTAATTCCCATATTATTTTAATTATATTAGCTATTTAGAAACAGTAAAAAATATGGCACTGGTTTGGTCATTAAAAATATCAAATAATTAAAATCACGATGATGGTGGTCCGTTATGTTTAATAAGGTCTATGTATCACTTTAACATTTGTGATGGGAATAGGTAGTTATGGTATGGCCTATAATAATATTATTGATTTATTCCTATATTATTAAAAAAATACGATACATATACATATGATTCTTGAGTTTAAAAAAGAAGTCTTTATTACCTATTATATACTTGAGTTATTATTAATAGAAGACTGTCACTTTGATATTTATTTCTATAAGTTTGTGTACCTATTTATTGAATAAATGCCTTGTTAAATTCCATTTGTATTTTATCTATTGACCTGGAATGATGTAACCGTTTAGATTATTAAACTATAGGTACAAACTACATTCATATACTAGGAATTAATTATTTCTTTCTTTCAAAATATGATAAAAAAAATCACTTATTGTATAACATAAAAAAAGTGTACTTTAAAAGGCATTTGCAACTTTTACTTTACTTTTACTAAAACTTACTTTTTTAATCGCTATTAAAAATAGGGGTTGACAGTAGTGGGGTGTAAATTTAGGGTTGTATGTATGTATTTTTAATGCCGAATCATAAAAAAATATTTTTATCAACGAAGTTAAAACTTTTTGGGGTGGGTCACCCTTATCATTGAGGGGTATAAAAATCGGTAAAGCCGTTTCTAAGCAGTTGGTATCAAACTCCGCGACACGAGAATTTTATATATATATTCAGTATCGGAATAAGAATGTACGTGAGATTATGCAGTACTATGGTGTCTACGCATACACTAAATGTGTGTATGTAGGTAACTATATTGTCATCTTGTGGTAGCATCTGATGGTTTCGATCTTAGCGTACTTTTTTATATTAGATTTGAAATGCCAATTGTTGGGCACATTGATAATTGTATTTAATTTAATATCTGTTTGCGTACGTGAGCGATTCGTGAACTAACTGATAACACTGCGGGGGTGAGGTTCAACGATGTTAGGATTTGTATTTAGGGTGCAGATAATAAAATATTCATATAGTATGTACAAGTGAATATATATTTTATTTAAATAAAAGATAACAATAGGAACTTTTATAATTAAACTAGTTTGAAGAAGCAATTTCATTTCACACTTCACTCATTGAATTAATTTACTTATAAACGAGAATTAGACTACTATTTTATTTACTGCCAGGTTTACCTATCAGGTCTACCAGATAGTAATGACACTTATTCTGTGAATGAAATGAAGTATTTTACGAAATTCTTTTTCTAATAATACTGAATTAAAAATTGCCACTAAAACTTCAGTGAATTCTGTTGAAGTTATAACTATAAATTTAATACAAAAATCTAATCTACAATTTTTATCCCTTTACCCAAAATCTGTAGGATAAATTTTGGCGCTCGTATCTTAATGAAATCAAAAATTATTCAAATACAGTGGACCCGCGGTAATCCGGCCCCTGTCTGTCCCTTGTAATCCGACATTGTCTATTATTTGTTATTGAATATTACTTTGACAATATACTTCAGAGTGCATATACATACATACATATATAACATAGAATCTTATCACTGGATCTGTAATTTGTCGGATTACAAGATACTCTTTTGTAAAAAATTCCGGACTATAAGCAGAGGACCCTTAAGCAGCACTCTATAATCCGACAAATACGATGGTCCGACACTGCCCTGCAAAACGTTTGTCGGATAACCGGGGGTCCACTGTATATGTATGTAACATAAAGAATCATTATTGGATCTATAATTTATCGGATTACAAGGTACTCTTTTGTAAAAAAATTCGGACTATAAGGGGTCTTAGTCAGTACTCTATAATCCGACAAATTCGATAGTCCGACACTGCCCTGCAAAATGATTGTCGGACTACCGGGGGTCTACTGTAGTTAAAAAGGCGGTCTATTCAGAACTAAATGTTATAGAAATAAAAAATGAATAAATAATCTATATCTAGGATAATGTTAGAAGCTGTTAATAACGAGGAAAGGTAAATACCTTATTTACTCCAAAATTATTCTTGTTAAGACTCGATTAACATTAATAAGAATCAACTATTTTTATATGATTTTGATTTGTCAAAAGTCAGCTTATTGTTTATTTATTTTTACAGTATCGCATTACCTGTAAAACATCTCTACATAAAATTATTATTTCAAGTGTACGTGCTTATTTATCAAGTTCTTGACATTTGCATCTGAGGTTAATAAACATCTTGGTTACTAGTGCAGTATATATCTTATTGATTAAACAGTGACATGTTTGATAAATAGTATTTTATTAACTTTTGCATAATAACTATGTATGTACTTATTAAAAATATAGTAGGGTCACCTATTAAATAAATTACGTCTACATATTGTTTCTATTACTTATGTGTCTCTATATAATATAAATAGTTAAGTGTTAAATAAATAGAGCTGTATTTTAAATGCATAATAAATAACTTATTTCATTATATTTAGTTAATAGTAAGTCTACATACACCGTCAGATAGTACAGATGTAATATCAGAGTGTCTGCACAAATACGTCTTTATAGACCTATGTCTCGTTTATTTAATGTGCCCTGAATTTAAAAAAAGGTATGGTAATGGTTAACATCTCCATAAACCAAGGGTTGGCAGCACCCCACTGATAGACAAGGAGGGCAACAGAATAAGATTTACAGTAACTAAATGGGGATCCAGCTAAGTTATCTACTAAGGTACAATTATAAAATTATTTCAATCCATAATATGCGTATAAAATAATTTTCAAATTAGTCTGGTATGTCGCTAAGTCGTATGCCGTTAGGGCGACGGTACATCCTCTCGTGCATCGGCAGCTCACCGACCAAGAAACGGTCGAGGGCTTTAGAGGCAGAGCGCGTGTGACCTGAACTCCTGAAAGCCGTGCTTGCGTCTTGACCTGCGTATTCCAGCATAATATCGGCGCCACCCGGATGCTGGAATAGAGAAATGCCTATTAGTAAAGATCTAAAATGTAGTAATAAAGATAATTATTATAATATAAAGATATTTCAGTCTGACAAAAATATGTATTAAATTTGTTAAAGTAAAGAATGTATCTTTTATCTATCTGTCATAATGCTTATAATGATTTCTCAACTGACCTCTTCTAGGAAAGTGGTAATGTCGTACACTCGGTCGTATATTACGACCCAGCAATCTTGAGGAGTGTCGTGACAGCTAACTTCTGCGAGAGTAATAACTCTATCTTTAGCTTCTGGCGTACCAGGTTGTATTTTCTCAACCCATTTAGTCTCGATGGTCCATGGGTTGACGAAGCGCAGTGCTGCCATTGTAAGCGCCACAATATCCAGGTCGTTAGGCTCCTGAGCCGGAAGGGCGGGCAGGCTTACTTCACGGGGAACTTGTATGGTAGTCATGGTATTGCTTTATAAAAACTTTCTTCAGTAAATATTGATAACTTTCAATTTCCGGTGTTCTGTATTATCAGACGTGTTTCTACTTTCTGGTAAGTTCAGCGCGACTGATGTGATATTTGTATCTCTGTAAAGGGATTACGAAACCGCGTTAGTGTTTTCACGTCATGTAATCTAGGGGTGTGTCTCGTTGATAAATTTATGAGTGAAATGGAATACACTTGTCATTTTAAATCTATTAATGAAAATGAACATCTTGTTGTTATTAAAAAATGTATGCAATATACATATAAAGAGCTAGCTAAGGTAACCTATCTTTTATTGCTATATGAATCTTGCACTGCCTCACTGATACGAATATATATTGTAGTTATTAAATTTCAATGCCATTCCTACTATATGTTAAAACTACTAGTTAAAATAATATTGGAAAATTTGGAGTATTGATAAAAACAACATTTGTGGTATTGTAATTTTTGAGATTGATTACTAATGATTACACATATCAAATAACTCTTATAACATCAAGGTGCCACGTTTAATTTTTATATAAACCTGTGGTACTTGCGTAGTCTGTATCTGTGGCTAGCCCTATTAAATGCAATGAAGCGTTGTAAATTAAACATGATACTATTAACTGGCGTCAGTTTACGTCTGAGCTAAGATTATACCGCAATTATGAAAGTATCTACCCAGTAGAAGCTTGAATATATAAAAGCATTTCTTACTGTTCCTTTTCCATTTCAGTGAAAACTCATATGAATATTGCCGGTACAGTGAAATTAAAACAAATTACATATTATAATAAATATTTTGATATAAAATGAAGACGGAAGAGGAAACAGTTGTTTTAAATATGTAGCACCTAATTGATATTTATAAGTAGGTATACACTTAAATTAATACATAAATATAAGCGTTAAAATAAATTATGGAATGCACAAAACGTCACTATGTTTATGCAGATGCATTTGAATAACAAATAATATTTACCTTTTAGCTGACGTACCAGATCCTTGAACTTGGGCTATCTGTGTTGATATTCGTAACTTGGGGAATGACTGTCACACCAATTGTCACTGTGCCACCACTGTTTGTTATTCTGTTCTATATTAACAGTTTCAAAGAAATGCATGAGAGCGTTGATCATTGCCACGAAATAATTAGAGTATTGTCATCTATCAGTAGCGATTAGTGAATGAGTAGCGGTATGTAGCGGCGAAGCTTATATAGCAGCCGCGCACGCGCCGCGTTTCGGTACAATTTGCTGATGTAATCGGACGGTTATCTTGCCTGCGCCGTAATTGCCGCCGAAACCGTGCGGGCTGGTGCGCATTCGGCCGAGCCTCCGTCCACATCCCCAATAATATGTCGCTGTGCAGCTAGGTTATTGTAAGAGGATAGGGTTCTGCCAGTCTACTCTAAAATTAATTCCGAATGACGTTGGATTATGCCGTTTCGCACCTTTGTATACACTTCATTTATAAACTGTAGTATATTAATTGTATATTCCGTGTTCAATTAAAGAACTATCTGACATTGTTATAAATATATTCCGTTCAGACGTCATTAATTATTTTTCGAAAGTATAGTACAAAACTGTATTGAATTGAAATCAACATTGTGATTAAATTCCAAAATAGAGTTCTTCGACTCAACTTGAACTAGGTATAGATTTTCAAAAAGATGAGAATGAGTAAATAATCCATAGAGCTACTCTATGAATGGGTGCAATGTTTTTCACCTAATATAATAATATTTACACATAATATTATTAGAGAATAATGTAGGTGGCTTCTGGGTAATCTAGAAAATGCATTGCGCATCGGAACAAAAGTGTTTGTTATATATCTAAATGATGACTATTAACCACTTATTGCATAGTTTCCTTATAAAATGAAAAATTACCTATATTCCATTTTTTAAGGAAAATAATCTTGAAATGAGTATGACAATAATTGCCGGTATTTATACGTGATTCACATTACCTACATAAACAATTTAACATAAGTTTTAGTCGAGTAATGAGGTGAAATACTGATCAGAAAGTTCGAATTAAACTGGAATTCATGAGTTTCGTGACCTAATTACTGTAACTAGATGTACCGGAGAGTTATGAAATGTTCAATTTCATTTTAAGTTCTGTCTATATATACATATATATTTTACAAAGTTTTAATGTAGATAGGTACCTAAATGTAAAACAATATGTTTCATGCCGATATTAAGTGTGAAGTCAATTGAATATTTTTGTTTTGCAGCAATTTTTTAATATTATTGCAGTATATTATGCTTAAAAGTTATCACTAAAGATTGTTCTATAGTTTATTTGAAATTGGTAGGTATTTTACACATGCAATATTAGAACCTCGTTACATCAATGTTACCGTCTTCTTTAACTATGTAGATATCTACGTGCTACATTATTTTTATATTCCTAATTCTTTATATTACAGCTAATTAAAATTTATTAACATCTATGGAATACCTAATGAGGATCACTATCTATTAATTAACTATGTAGTTATTGATTAATATAGTGATGCTCATTAGGTATTTAGTTACGTCATTTATATAGGTATACATACTATAGTATTTTATTTGAATGTCTAACGGCAGATTCTCTAAAACTATACTATAGGTACATTGTAGGTAGGTACTTACATTTTACAAAAAGAACAACCAACTCTTTAAAACTATTATTTGTAATTTTGTAGAGATAAGAATAAAAAATACATTGGTCAAGCTGCCAGTAACAGGTTTATCTACAACGCGATACGATTTAAACTATCTCTGTACTCTCTGATCTTTGCCCAAGCTGTATATTGCAGTTTCCGGTTCGGTATTTTCGGTTAATTCACTATATAGCTAATTATGTGCATAGATATACACATGTCAGAGAGAATTTATAGATTTCATTATATATATATATATCATACCAAATTAACCTTCTTTATATAAGCATGCAGATTCTGCTTCATTAATATTTCTTGATATCTAATACATCTCATAAATTAACGATACGGCAAAATAAATTCCAGGAAAGTGTAGGTAACTATAAATATTACGAAAAAAAAATGGACCGGGGATTTTAATTATATTATCAATGGAAATGTTATTTGCTTGGGTATACTATCGCAATAAACATTTTCGTAAAAACATTTCAGATACGAATACGTTAGATGTTTTGTTTGTTTAATACATCATTGATAAAATCATGTATGATCGATCAAGAATGGATTCTAGTGACGTAGATACTTTACGAAGACGTAGTCGGTGAACGAACCCTTTGAGTTATCGATAAAAATTACGTCGTCGCGTCACTCAGTGAACTCGTATTACGTGTATTTGTTTCTAATTGTTATTGTTGATTGACATGGGGAAATATATATATTTCTAATTTTCCATCGTATATAAATATAAGGTAAATATCAATAAAATGAGTAGACAGAATGATGAAAAATGTTTTTGTTGTTGCGCATTGTATTAAGATACCACTTACATCTTCTAATTTTCCAACATATCATAGGCAGGATAGTGATGTAAGATTCAATTCGTGTTACAATCTTATTGATTCTAACAGCACGTACGGGGGGCGCCGCTAAAGATTATAATTTACGTGTGTGTGAACAAAGTAATGGCCAAAAAACTTATTAAAAATTTTTAAATTACAGTCAACTCAGACGTTACTTCTGTAATGTACTTTAATTGCTTTAGTCCTCGGGAATAGCAACAATAGCAGGGCGAACCTTTGGCGCCATATGTTTGATTTGTGTTGTTCCTCATGTCGTACCTCTACATAAATAAATGGCGAAAAAAGTAATTTATTTATCCTACTTTCATTTTTCACTTTTCCAGTTTGTGAACAAAATAGCTTATTAACCAACATACGTGACACTGAGGTAAAATGTACAAAATTAAAGTAAAAGAGTAATGTTTGACTCTGAGCTGATATCCGTAGGCGACGGTTGTGACTTTCCATGAGTCAGTTAGTTTTGCCATTCCAGTATCATAAAAATGTGTTAACCAGTTAGTTAAAACAATAAAAACCTATGGAATTGGAATAGGTATTATAGAAGCGTCCATATTCATTTATACCTAATTGATGTTACTAAATTTAAAATAGTCACGAAAGGATACCATTCTAAAATTAGATACCTATGCCTATATCGAATTTTGTAATTAAATTTTATAGTAGTATTTGTAATCTTACTATACTTTCGGGGCATGAAACAGAATTATGTAGTTTCGCAAACATATCCTGTAATTTTTCTTATTGCTTTATATATAGGTGATTTTGATATAACTTTCCTATAGATTTAAGTTTTTCAACATGGACATTCATAGACATATGCGATAAAGTCCTATATGTCCTAAGCCATATCATAGCATTTATTGACTCCTAACAACATTCACAAGATATCATGAGGTAACCATATGTCGTACCTACATGAAACAATGCATATTAAATACATAATTAAGTGTAATAATTAAATTGCAAAGTTTTATTTCCTTTCGTACACAAATTACTTCTTATCAACTTAAATGGTGTATTTGCGTAAGCAATTGAGTTCACATGTTTTCTTGAAATATACCTACAAGTAATAACAAAGGACAAGAAAAATAAAAATTGGTAGTTACATTTAAAGTAATATAAATTGTATGTATTAATTTACTAATAAACATAGAGAGAGTGGAATCACTGCCACCTCTGAGTTATAGACGTTATGCATCTATCGTATATCTATTATTTTTAAATTTTATAATAAGCAGCAATTGTATTAGTTTTTGAGACAAATATTATTCTTATTAAATGATGGAAGTGGAAAAATGAGCTTACAGAATAAAAAAGAACTCTGTTTATTTATTTATTCTATTAGCTGTTACACACCGGCAACTTCGTCAGTTTTAAGATAAAATATAGCCCTTCACGATATACATATAATCTATCTTCACGTCTAATGTCATTAACATATGTTCTTCTGTATAGTCATAGAACGGTAAGAATCAGACAGACATACTTTCGCATTTGTCATCCATATTATATTATTGGCCATATCCAATATTTTCAATCCTATTATTAACAGAGGCCATAAATGATTCCTGTATTTTTAAAATAAATGACAATGTAATGCGTCATTGTGTTATAAATAGAAAATAGGCCGGCATCAGGTATAATGTACCGGATTTGTATCCGTACCTCAATTGCTTTTCAGGAAATCTCACTGTCTAACTTGTTTGACGTATACTGTCGCAACCTGGATTCCACGCTTAGGAGGCTGACATTCACCCTCTATCGTCAGACTGACATGACGTGACTAAAGTTGACACTTTCCTAAAATACCTTGATGATAAGTACCTTGCTATATGAATGGTTGTACATTCGAAATAAATGCCGGCTTTTTTTATCGATTGCAAAAAGAGGTAGATTTTAGTAGATATGAAGCTTAGTGTATTGGTGTATAAGTATTTAAAAAGACTAGAATGTAAAGTTTAAAGATATGTATATAACTTATTATATACATATTATGACATACACTAAAAACTGACACAAAGTTATCATTGTTACAACTGTATATTTACCGCAAAGGTTTTAGAAATGAAAATGTTGGATTGACCTGCAGACTAGTAAGTATGTCTATTATCAGTATTGGTATTGACCTGGGGCACAAAACAAAACATTCAAGTCCAACTGAATTAAAAAAAGATAATAAATATTAAAAATGTGCTGAATTGGTGTAAAACCATAGAATAATTATTACATACTATATGCTGTAATAGGGAGCATAATCCAGAATGTCGTTTACAAGAAGTAACTTTAAATTATCCATACAAATAAAAAAAATGTCACGTATGTATTATAATTGTTATAATGATAATAGACATACCTAGTGTTAAATAAGTTGATAAACTCAGTCACGACATCATTAATAATCACTTAATTATTATCATGGTCACATCGTAACTTATGATGACTTGACAGAACTTATTATCTTTATAAGTAAGTATATAAAATATAAGTTTTCTGTTGTACTGGTGTTATTATATCTCTTAAACAGTCACCTGAGATAGACTATGTTATCAAAGCAATTAAAATCATCGTTTTGAGGGGGCCAGTCGAGGATCGTCAGTAAATGGTACTCCCATTTACTGTTCAGTTGTTCAATTGCTAGCACTGA